ATCTTGGTTGAAACGCAACTGCGCGATTTATGTGCTGTGGTGAGTGAGTGAGTCATCAGTCCACCAGTCTGCTTCTAAACTGTTCTATTGCCGTGTGTTTGATGCACATGATCTAGGCATCTGCTGCTGCACCGTAACAAAGCTTGCTTGGCATGAGTCATCAGTCCATCATGTTCTTGCTTCTTATTTTTCAAATACCGTGCGTTTTATGCACACGATATGCTGGCATCTGTTGTTGCACTGCAGAGCTTCGCCGATAATGAGTCACCAGTCCACCATTAAGCATCAAACCAGTTCTATTACCAGGCGTTTGATGCAATTGACCTGGGCATCTGTTTTTCTCAATGTAACCGACCTTTTCGATACGCCTTCGTCAATGAGAATTCTATGAATCATCCATGCTTCATGGGAGTGAGAATTCTTTGAAATCTCAAATTCAGCATCAAAACGTTACTTATGGCGGCGTCTGCTTTGAAGAATAACGGGACGAAACATCGTGTCAAACATTTAATGCAAAAAATGAGAAGCACGAGAATAACTTTGAAACTTGTCGTGCGAAAATCGGTGTACAGTATTTTACACTCGTACTATTTGTACCTAGCCATCAACGGTCAATTTGATTCAGAACTTCTCACTTTTTCCCATTCAAATTTAGCGAAACCATGACGAAAGCCTCATCAGCACTAGAAGAGCTTCCAATCGACGTTCAGCTCCACGCCTTTGACTTCCTCGACGTTGACAGCATTGGCCAAGTCGCAAGAACCTGCCATTGTCTCCGAAATCTCGTCTTTTCCAACGATGCACATGAACTCTGGTTGAATCAGTGCCGGTCTCGATGGGGTCATGTCGATAGAGACTCCTACTTCATCGACAAGATTGATGTCCCCAAGGCACTTGCAAAGGGCGAAATGAATGTGCCTCTTCTTCTTTCCATGACTCCACAAGCATTGCCGTCAAAGGTTGTCGACAAGGACAACCTATTGACTACTGACAAGATTGAAACCAGTCAAGATCAAGAATCTGGTACCGTCAACATCCGTTACACCGGGCCAATTGGAGAAGATCAAGTTCACTCCATTCGCTCTGACCAACCACTTCCAAGACCTCAGCTATGCACAAAGTCTCCAAGAAGGAAGTTGCGGCTACCATCGCGCAAAAATAAACAGAATTGGAAGCCATTTGTTGCTCCATTCAAGGAAAAGGACGACTCGATCAACGTTACTCCAAGAACTGTATCATACTTTGAAGTTTCGATCAAGGCTCAAGAAGTCGAGGAGCAAGAGAGGGAAAGAGTCTCTTTCCAATCTCTCCTCGAAGAACAAGAGTCAACTCCAGAGGAGCAAAAGGACTGTATTGCCATCGGGCTTGCTCCGCAAGACTTTGACTGCAATGGTGCCCTACCAGGACATGATTTCTCTTTTGGATATCACAGCGACAATGGCGGCCTCTACCACAACGCTGGTAGCAGAAAGAAACATACTCATCAGTATGGTCCCGGTGATACCATTGGATGCGGCGTTGACTACAACACTGGGGGTATCTTTTTTACGAAAAACTCGAAACTGTTGGGTTTTGCCTGGAAGAAGATCGATACAAACTTTCTTGCCAAAACCGATCTTTACCCTGTTGTAGGAATTGATTCGGAAGACTCGATTTCGATCAACTATGGTCATCAACCGTTTCAATTTGATTTGTCGGGGTATTGTGAGCAGTACTCCAAGGCAATATCGAAACGATACCGGCTTTGAGAATTGCCCGCGAGCAATGGACTTATGTAGGATTTAAAGTGTACAATAGCATTTTGTCGATGACCCTCATTTTGGCTTCATTAGACGTATAGTGCCAGGGAAGTAAAAAGTATAGTGCCAGTGAAGTAAAACAACAAGTTTAACTTCTCTTTGGCCAGTGCCCGGCTCAAGACATCAATCACGAATCCAGCCAGTTCACTACCGCTCGGTAAAGGACTACCATGACGAAACCTGACCATTCAGAGCATGGGATAGACTATCAAACCGTTATCTTCAATACTTTGTCCATATAGTGCCGTCCTCGAATGTTATAGACCTTCGTTGCATATCGAAGGCTGCCGAAACCTTTCCCTTGTCTGGAAAGTTGAATGTAAACGAAGTCCCTGCCTTTCCGGGAAAAGTAGTTATCTTATTTTCATCCCGAAGCTGCACCACACACTCCGGTCCCTTGACTTGCCTTATGATGATAACTCGATTTGAATCTGTACTATCTTTGAAAACTCCAATTGGGCCTTCAAACTTTTTGTTTATCCAAGCGTTTTTATCTGGAAACGAAATGATTCGTGATCCCTCTCTGTTCTTTGTAAAAGTCCCTTCGAGGTTCGACTGTCCACCGATTGGACTGAAATCAAATATGAGTTTCATTTCTTTTCCTTCTACGACTTTCACTGGAAGTTCAATCTCGTCATCGGATGGTTCATTGCGCAACAACAACGTTGCCTTTTGATTGCCTCCGAACAATACTCTGTATCCGTTGGGAAGCTTTGGATCAAACCAAACCGCTTGATATTCCGTAGGAACCATTGATTCGTCCTTTGATAGCGCAACTTGGGGTAGTAGCCAGACGAGAGGAAAAGAAGCAATAGAAAAAATTGCATCACGCCTTCTCAGAGCTCCAGGTGTTGCAGACTCTGAGTTTGCTAATCTCAAGGAAACATCGAACTTTGCACCGGTGGCGGAATCCAGTGGAAATTGGAAAGCATTGACAATCAAGCTTGACGCTATAGCTGCCAGAAGGACAAAGAAGCCTATTGTTTTCTTCGGCATCGGTTTCAATACCTACCGGTACCTTTGATAGTGTCAGTTATTAGTTTATTGCCAAGTAAGCGATTGAGTTCGAAGATCCACACGGACACGTCGAACATACCCTGGAGAGCTACGATATACTGCACATGTCGGATATATGGTGCAAATAATGAGAAACTTTTAGACCACGAGTAAAGGATGAACGTCAAGACTGATAGTCTACGACTAGCCATAAATGTAGAAACAGAAACACGCAAGCCGTAATGCCGATTTATCGACACACACACAAAATACATGTGAAACTGATCCAGAACAAACGTCTTGCAGTTTCGAAATTTAGTTGAGGAAGGACAATTTCTATACAGATGTCACAAGTTCCATCATCAAACATCGATAACTGAATGTTTGCAGTGGGATGGACGGTGTAACAGCGTTCAATCATCCCGAAAGAGCCTTATTTCCTACAAAGGAGATTGATGTTCTGGTTTGCCTTGTAGTTTGGGATGATCACGAAGGAAGAATAATTCCAGATCCCAACCACTTCCGTGAGTTGTGGAATGGTGAGAGTGGAACAGTCGCCAATCCAGGGGAATCAATATCTAAATGGCTATACTCCAACACATATGGGGACTTCTCGGTTCAAGCTCGCGTGGTCGACTGGCTGCCTCTCAATCAAAGTGAAGCCTATTGGGCCAACGGGAACATGGGTCATTCCAACAGCACAACAACTATTGGGGAAGCATTCGTTCCTGTTCTCGAAGCAGCAGCAAATTCTGGAATAGACCTGAGCAAGTATGACTATGACGACGATCGATCGCTGGATAGTATTGTTTTTGTCCATAGTGGGTTTGCTGCAGAATTAGGTGGAGCCGATTGCTTTACAGGGGCGAATCATACAGATCGAATAATATCCAATACATGGGACGCTGATATCAAGATTGGGTCGACTGGACTTAAGCTGGGTAGCTTCATCACAGTTTCAGCATTCAATAACCTTTGTGACCTTGGTCCAGCAAATATTGGAATCCATCTACAACAATGGTTACGTTCGCACTTTGGTCTCTCGGACACATTCGATTTAGGTGGAAGATACGAAGAAAATAGTACCGCTGTGGGTGGACTCGGCGCCTTCGACATCATGTCATTTGCCGGGGGACAAAAGGGCAGGGCCGATTTTCCTGGAATACTCTCCCCATATGGGAAGATGGAGCTTGGATCACTCGATCCAATTGAGATCACAAACGATGGAGTGTACACTGCTCGGGCTTCTGCTCTGCATCCTGATGTCTACAAGATTTCATCACCCTATCCTTCTGGTGAATACTTATTGATTGAAAATAGACAGCCTGTTCTTTCCGACTTGTATCTCTGGCAACCAGGTGGAATTGCAATTTATCACGTTGACGAAAACACTGGTGGGAACGGAAATCGTGAGAGAGGAGGTCCATTCCTTGAGGGCTGGCCAGGAAACGGAGCCCATTACAAAGTGGCCCTAGTGCAATCGGACGGAAAATTCGAGTTGGAACAAGGATTGAATCAAGGGCACATGGATGACTTTTGGAAGGCCGGGGATATCCTTGGTCCGGGCAATGGAGAGACCGAAGCCACATCAGAAGGAACGTACCCAAACACTGATTCATATGTGGGAGGGAATATCATGGTTACTGGACTTCAAATCGATCAATTCCAAGAGACGAAAGTTGGGGTGTGGAGCTTCCGTGTTAGCAACCTGGTCCCATTTGTCCAGAACGAAACGCCATCTGCAGAGTCACCAAACCCACCCTCGCTAGCACCCACTTTCTTGTTGGACAACATTTTCCAAAACCCGCGAAACGGACAAGTGAATTGCTATGGGCCTATCTTGAATGATCCCGATTTCTACTGTGACTGTATGGATGATTGCACCGCCAAATCCAATTACGTGTGTGCGTGTTCCGAGGCCCAAGCCTGTTGCTCTGCCTTTTTGGAATCGCTTGATAACTGGGACCCATCGATCAATCCTAGTTCATCACCGAGCAGACTTCCTTCAGTCCAACCATCCAAGGTGCCAACTTTGACACCGAGCAACAATCCGACAGGATCTCAAGTCCCCAGTTCCAGGCCATCATTGCTGCCATCAATGATACCATCTTTGATTCCCAGTTCCATGCCAACTTCGGTACCAAGCTTCCTTCCTTCTGAATCAATGGTTCCTTCAAATATGCCAACTACGATGATCCCACCAATGACTAGCAGTTCTAGCATGGAATCCGGTTTTATTGTCGCAATCGTCTTGGCTATATTGTTGTTGATGGGCATCTACATTTTGATTCTCTACCGACGTCTCATGTGCATCGAAGAAAACAACGACGAGAATGCTACTCCAGAAGAGCGCGATGGTATCATGATGCCTTTGGAGGAAAATCATGATGGAGTGTCGACCTTGACGCCCAGTCTGTTGAGCAGCATGCCGAGTTTCAATTCCCATCTTGCTCGCATGAGATACTGGGGATACGATGGATCAAACGGTTCCATTGATTACGAGCCCCCACCGGTGCCACCACGGCACGATAATTCCGCCCGCTTTTCGACGGGATCGAGTTTGGAAAATTATGGATGGTCGGTTTGAGTAGGGTTCGCTCTTGCGTTTGAGAGTGTTTGTGGTGTTGTATTGTATTGTGTATGTGTTCATGCATGTGATTTATGTTTCCTGCTTTTTGGTGGTAAAGTGATGTGGTACGGTACTCCCTGTAATATATGTATTGTGTTCTTGTAGAACCAAGGGAGACCGTTTGTTAAGCTTCGCTTTGCGTAGTGTCAATGTCTGCTTTATAGAAATTATTGTCGCCTTTTGAAGAGTAGTAACTAGACAATGCTTGTCGTAGGATCCGACAAACTGCTTTACTCCTTCCGTCGTTAGTTTGCTTTATCCAAACTTGGCCGATTTCAGCACCGTGTTTACATCTTGATCCCATTTTTCTTGATAGGAAGTAATCAATCCAGTCGATGTGTCCCGCTTCAAAATCAAGGTTCCCGACAAGTAGACGACGGGCTTGAATGGAATGTTGAAGCACAAATATTCCGAGAATCGAAAGGATGCCTCGGAATCCGTCACTTTCAATGTATCCGGAATCAAAGTGACTTCCGATTTGGATGGTACAAAGAGTTTTTTGGTTCCCTTGATCCATTTGTCGAGTGTGTAGGTATCAATTTCATCCGTGAACATTGCCGATTCGTCGTAAATCTCACGGGTCAAATCTGCCGAGGCTAGAAATTGTCGAGTGGTGACGTCTTCGGTAATGATTTTGGATAGTTCGGCGTTGGATAAATTGGTCAATTTTGGCTTTTGTTCCGCAGTGGCAGTAGCCGAAGCAACGGATGGAAGGAATCCTGCTGATGCGGCAACGACTGCTGCGGCACTTGAAGCACCTTGTTGGAGCATTCCTCGTCGGGAGACGCCGCTTTCCATAGAACTAGGACTCAATGCTTGAACGGCACATACCAATGACAGAAAAAGGAGGAACAATGGAATGGAAGACATGGTCGTTGCCTTGCTGTTGCTGTTGCTCTTTTTCTTGTTATTGGATTTCAATCAATCCAATGATGACTCTGGTGTTGACTTGATCGATCGGAAAATCAATCTGAAATTGAATCGACTTCATGGAATGAATTGAGCTCCTGATCAATGGGATTGATTCATTCATTCAAACCTCCTCTGGGCATTTTTTATGCACAACCATGAATCATTTACTTAACAGATTTCAAAAGTGTAGTAGCGAGGTACTAGGTTAGTGACTGGTTTGCACCGAGGTCGAATCATAGGATTCGAAAAGGACAATCAATAGGATTGACAGACAAACCCGGACCAAATGGGGTACCGAGCTATGGTGCAAATGAGAGAGAGGGTGGTGAGGGCGGGAAAAGCAAAAAGAGCTGACGGTCTTGACCGAGCAGCTAAACTCCTTCTATCGCCTCCATCATCCCACAAGCTCCCATTGCGAACAATGTCTTCTCCAAATCTTCCGTCCTCTTCGTCGACACTCTTCGCTCCGTCCGCCAACCGTGTACTCCACTGAAGCGACGCGCCGTAATCGACACGACGGAAATTGAGACTAAGGAAGAGCTAGAAACGCCCATACGTCTCCCGTCTTGCCGATCTATTAGGATTTTCCCGGAATTGCGCGGTCGGTAATAGAACCTTAAAACTCTTGATAGAACTTGTTGAAGCGCCTCGCCAGATAATAAAAAAGAAATGTAAAAAAGCCGTAATTGTGTCAATTTTGGAACGCAAATGACCTTTAAGAATTCGATCGATTAAATGGCAAAATGACAGCTTTTAAGCCCAAACCCCAAAGGTGCTCAAAACTCGCCTAGATGTTTTGATCCGAACCTTGGAGTTCTGGAATCTCTTAAGGCTTAAAAGGATTTTGATATGGCAAGTGGAATCAAGTACCAATAGTCTCGTACATATGACAATTCGGATTCAATGTCTCGGAGAATTGTCCCCATAAATTTGAAGGCACTGGATTGCCCGTAATTTTGTATGCAGTAAATCAAATAAAATCATCTTCGTCGTCTCCAAACAGAGCACAAATCAATCGTAACACGGTTTAACAAACACAAACATCGTCTTTCAATAGGTATCTATATCTAACAAGCAAGATCATAGATTCCACAGCAGTCTCACAAACAAAAGCATCTAACACCGACAGCATGCCACCCAGCGTAGATGATTATGGCGAGGCTTCTGTTGAACTAGAATGCAGCACTAATAATGATAACAGAACAGCGAAACCTATTATCATCACCTCCGCAAACTCACAAGGCATGAAGCGACGAGTCTCCTTCAGCGATAAAACTGACATACGGCACATTGAAAGCACAAAGTCAATATCCAAAAAAGAGAGGAAAACAAGGTGGATGATGGGCAAAGATTTCTTGCGCATAAAAGAAGATTGCGACAATGAAATGATGCGAATCTTCAACTCTCAGAAACCTTGCATGCGAACGGATCTTCGAGGTCTAGAGTTGTTTGATCCTGAATCGATTTGCCGCAGTCGGTCCAAGCACCGCAAGGTTGTCAATGCCGTCATTCGTATGCAAGACAAACAAAGTGATAAAGGAGGAGTCAATCCAGAAAGTATTCGAGAAATGTACTGCTATCTGGTTCAAGACAGCCAAGACGATGCACGTGCCATTGCTTGGATTGATCGGGAAGTGGTGGAAGATTATATGGCCACTACCATGACCGAATTCGAAAAAGTACAACAGAGGAATCAGCGAATGTCACAACTAAAGGCAGGCTCCTCAAACAAATCGAAAGGCACCAAACCTGCATTGAGGCATCGATTACTCAAGTCCTTCCGAATGCCCAAGAAGGTGCCGAGCAATTGAGCGATTGAGCGTCATCCTACCAACTGCCTTACCATGCACATAGATACATCATTGCCACAGTGACAAAGCAACTGTGGATTTTATTGTTTCCATCCATCCATGCTTCTTAGTTTTGCGATTTTAAGACGCTGCTACCGGATTAATTCATTTTAACTCTACACGCATATATCATATACCCATTGTGTTGGCTAGCATGCGTTTTTTATATCACTTTATATCTCTTGATACCATGCCAAACTTTGTGACCAGTGCTTACCTATATATACACTGTGGAGCAGTACAGTAGCTCTATCCCAACACCATAAAGTCTGTTGGCATCAGTATAGGTTGGGACCAAAGTAAATACCTGGAATTCCATGTCACTGAGGATGATATCCATTCACAAGTCTAGCAGATCGGTTGTCTGCAACACTCCTTGATGTGGATATGCTGGAAAAATCGTTAAACCTGCTACTGGCCATTGATGATGTGTCCATGGTCGAATTGTTTCTATGCACCTCTACCTCGGGAACAGCAGGATGCACCTCGGTTGCATCCTGATTCATCGCGGGGAAGGAAAGCTGGTTCTCATCGTTCAAATCTTGTTCATTTCTAGCAAATGTCGATCTAGGTGCCCCCCGTCCCACTGAAGAATCTAAATTGGAGAGGATTCCACCCATGCTTTCAGAAGCCACAATGCCAGATGTACAAGGATTATTCTGCTGCTCCAGCAGGCCAATGAAAACGAGAATCAGTCGAAAGATAACAGCCCCAAAAACACATCCAACAACAAACGCCAAGGTAAACCGAGTCGATCCCAATCCCAGCACTCCAATGGATTGCAGGGTAGCAAACCAGCAACCAGGCGGTATGGATCCACCATACGACTTTGCCACTCGTGACATTTCCTTTGCGGCAAAGCTTCCAGCTGGAATTCCATGTGCCGTGAATCCCAAAGAATGTACAAGACCCAACACCAGATAAGGAGTTGCTATACCGAGAACAAGACTTCCAACACTAATTCCAGCACAAGCTGCAACTTGCTTGCCGCTGGTCGTATCTGGCATTTTTGGCACTAGTTGCCAGTTTGTGGCGCTGGATTCTTGTGCATTGGCAGAACCGTCCTCGTCGTCTTGCAAAATGCTAATGAGACCTTCCACCGAGCAAGCTAGCATTCCTCCAGAAACAGAGGTTATCACCACGGATCCATTATTGGGGTGATGTCTCAAATACCATTGTTGTGTGGGCAATGACGATTCCGTTGACAAAGTCACTTGAGTGCAGTTAGGAGCTAACTGAAGGTACCCTTTATTGACATCCGAACGAATGGTAAAAGAGTCGCCTTCAGGTGCTTTCTGCATATACCATACGGCTCCAACCTCAAAAGTATCCGTCGAGTAGGGTGGTTTATCGGTATTCTTGGAGCATCGAAGCTGTTTGTTTCGACCCATGCAATGGAGATAATACTTTCCCAAATTGGCACTTTCGAGATTCCACCAGCACTTGTTCGATAAGCAATATGACTCGATCGTTGACAAGTATCCATCTTCATCAAGTTGCAAAAAACGGTTGTGTGCCAAAGAACGGATCGTAACTGTGTTGTCAGTCGTCCCATTGCTCTCCTTCTCCAGCTTCCATAGTTCCCAACTGTGCTGATTCCTGGTTGTATTCACCCTTCCCCCTGGAAAGGAGGAGAGATAGAATTGCGAATGTTCCCAAGGAGAGATAAAGAAAGTTCCATCCCCTCGGTTCGATTCGACGAACCGCCAAACCTCCCACCCCTTGTACTTTCGACTTGTGTTCACGTAGCCAAACACATTGGCTCTGATTCGAAGGTTACTGTGGGTCGAACAAAGAAAGTACAGCTCCCCACCACTGGATCTTTCCTCGCAAGGAAGCACCATGATAGATGAATGTCATATCTGTAGTGATGTGTTGGTTTCACCTGAAAACCTGAATCTTCCAATTTGTTTTAGTCCAAGAGTTCGTCACCAACTACTGTAACGCATGGGCGAGACCCAAATAAGTTTTTCGTTTGAGATACTTATGATAACCTTATTTTTACTCGAAGAAGGTCCTCAATACCGGTGAACGTTGATCCATTATCGATCGACCAAAATCCAATTGACAGTATTTCACAGGAAGACTTTTATAATAGTTTTGCGGACATCAAATTGTCAATTCAATTTCATCGCTTCATTGATGTTGCTTGGTTGGCTGCTCGAATTACTCGCCAAACGTGCCTAACGCCCCTGGTGTTCATGATAACACCAATCATATTGAATATGGAGAGTGAGTCTTTTCGGCGCTACTACTGGATATTGATCAGCTGATAGTGATTATGATGATGCGATGGTTCTTGAGTGTTCTCCAAATCTCCATTTCTCATCTGAAGCTCGGCAGTTCTAATGAATACCCGGAGATAGCCATGCCGAACAGTAGAACATGAAAAAAGTCAAGATCATCATGATCCAACGAAGCATTATTATATAGTCAATGCCCATAACGACGGCGGATGAGGAATTGCCACAGCAGCCAGACATATCTCCACTAGAAATTCCCAAGGCCACGTCCGTACTGTAGAATCAACAACACAAGCAAACCTTTCTTATCAAGAATATCAGAAACAAGCCTCAGAGTATTCTCGCCGGATTCAGATATCTCACATTTCCGCTCAGTTTGTGACCCGAAAGCTTTTCTGCCATCTCTAAACCAAACTGAGAACTCGAATCTTTGATATTTCCATATCCGCCTTTGGAGTATAGAAGTATGCCCAACAGTTTGTTTTACATCATACCTATTGTTGCCATAGCCTTGACGGCATGGCATTTCAACAAGAAGGAAGGAGAAGAAATGGAAGAGGATCCACCAGAAGACAGCTTGGGGGACGTCTCTCGCAAGATTATGACTCTCTTGGACACTACAAAGAAGAAGTTTGGAGACAAGTACTTTCATGTAAAACTGGCGGTTACCCTTCCGGCTTTGCTGCAATTGATTAACCAAGCAGAAGCTAGCCGATCTTCTGACACAAAATCTCCAAGAGATGAAATATACAGTAAGGCTGGAAAAACCGCGACTGCCAAAGGTGAGCCTTATTTTGGATATCCTACCATATCGTTCGAGTCTGGGCATGTTCAACCCTTGTTGAATGTTGTGTTTCTCTTGTGGTTCCTTATTTCTTGCACTACTCCAGCTCACAACTCGCTTATTTTCTTTTGAACATTAGAGCTTGATGGGCTGGGTGGCTATTTAGACTTTGCAGATTGGGCATACCTAGCCTCAAGGGATGAAATAAAGAAAAAGCTTGCAGGACGTGGATACTCACTGCTCAAGCACCAGGAAGCCAGAGAATCAGGACAGGTGGGTTTGATAACAAAGCCGGCTTCAATTATCATTCAGTCCACAAGACAATCCTAACAATTGATTTTTTAAATTCCTATATCCGTTGTAGGTTGGCTATTTCATTGCCACCAATGCCGATACGAAGACTGCTCTAATTGGTGTTAAGGGTACCTCCTCTATGATTGACGTGCTAACAGATTGTTGCTCGGCTGCAGTTGTTCGAAAGTTGGACCAAAGTTTTGATCCCCAAGATGAGTCATTGAAGGAGATCCGGGCTCACGAAGGCATTCTCTACTCATCTCTCGCCTTGGCAGAGGACTTGAAACCTTTCATCAAAGAATTTTTTCTTCCGCTTGGGTACACGCTTCTACTCTGTGGCCATTCGTTGGGAGCAGGGGCTGCTAGCTTGACATCCGTCTTACTTCGTTCCCAACATCCACCTTTGATGAAAAAAGGCAACATCAAAGTGGTGGCCTTCGCTAGTCCTCCTGTATTGGATCACAAAGCCGCCAAGGCATGTTCATCGTTCATTACTACGATCGTCAATAACTCGGACTGCATCCCCCGGACAAGTCTCAATAACGTGCAAATCTTGCTTGAGCTGCTTTCTGGTATTCAGGAAAAGCTTGTTGAGGCAGGATTCGACCCCGTTGATATGAAGTCGACTTCAGCGTTTTTCGCGAAACTAAGAGAAGGAGCCGCAGGAGAAATGATTATGTCGTCCGAAGAAGGACTCAAGTTACTCAAGAAAGCGCAAACTATGGTATCGCATGACGATCCTGACCATCTGTACATAGCTGGGGAGGTAATGCTGCTTTATCAGAAATGGCAAGATAGGAGGAAAATGTCAAAGGGGAAAGAAGCGGAGTCAGAGGAAAAGGCTGCAGATGAAATCGTGCCTGAGCCAAAGCTGCCAGGTTATTGTGTCCTTACTGATGGTTTCGCAGAACCTCTAAGCATGATTGAAATCAGCAATGAGATGGTCGGAGATCATCTGTGCGGTTCGCACCGAATTATAATCGATAGTCTCTAAATCTTGGCGACTTGCATCCTCTCCCATATAATTCAGTTAGGCTATGTGTTAATCCCATTCTTGTTTTTGGGCGAGGATTGTGGGTAGGCTGTCTACAGAGAAATAACATCAGTATAATCTTATGATCTATTAAATACCAATAAGATGGAGCGTGTTTGCCGCGCTGTGCTACCGGTACTGATTGTACAAGAAGGATACCACGAAATGACCAATGGCTTCCCATGTTCTCCTCAGCTTTATCAGAAAGAACGAGTATCTATCATGAAGCATGGGCCAAAGCAAGGTCGCACCGATACCGCACCACAGCCTTTCGTTTTGGACGTGTACTCTTGCTTTGCCAATGACCTTATGCTGGAGAACGCTGATATAATGTCCTTGAAGGACTGAAACATCCAATTCGCATTTTTTCATAGGCAGACTTTTACACCAGTAGTCCTAGTAATAGTGCAGACGAAAAATGTTTTATTCAATTTCATCGCTTATTCATGTATGTTTTTTAGGGTGCTGGGATTACTATTTGCAAATAACCCATCCCGAAAGCTTATTCTGGTGTTCACGATAACACCAATAATTGTATTTTTATATATGCATATTGGTTCCGCATGTAAATCGTATTCTCCGATTCTCTATTCTCCATCATTTCGTGCGCTCGTAGTGCGCTCGTCGTAGGTTCGAGAAGAGACTAATATTGATTTTTGTTGTTTTTGTTGTCACCGCATGATGACGCACTCATCGATCCATTATCGCAAACCTGTTAGTTTGCTCTGAGTGCGTGCATGATCGAGTCTAGAATCTGATCATCGTCGTCGTTGCCGGCTTCGATAAATCCACCCTCCGGTCTCCGGATCACAAATCTGTAACCCTCTGACCGCATCCATCGCAACATGGCTTGGGCGAAACTTCGCTTCTCTGCCCTTGGTAGTGGATTGTAATGATCTCTCCAGGCAGGAACAATCTCTTCTCGAAAGACTCGGTTTCCTTCACTCACGTTGGCGTGAGTCCAGTAACCTCGACCAAGAACAATATCGTGAGGTGTCAGGGTGTTACTCACTGATGGTAGGGCATCGGGGCGGGACACTTGGTTATCTTCGTCTTCCTCTTCAGCTTCGCCTTCAGAGATCGGTTCGTTATCTACCGGAGGCCGTGGGTGCCCATTATTGTCCACACCAGCGATATTGGCTTGATTGGGATCGGGGCCTTGAACGTTGGGCTCAGCCCCATGGTTTGCAACAGGCAACCCTGGCTGCTGGTCCTGGTGGTCTTCGCGGAGACGACCAATACCCCAAGCACCGCCTCTGTCGAGCTGATGGGGACCAATGCGGAGTGGCAGTGGTTCAAGGAGATTTGCGTCCACAGCCTCGGGCGGTCGTTGAATGGGATCGGGAACAGCTCTATAGTCGAACTGCTGGTGGAACCTCATGTCGGCACGAAAATCCAAGTCCACCAGAGCGTCATGGACCTCGTCGGCGTCAGGAGCGTTGGACTCTTCGTCGGAAGAGCCCCATGTTTGACCAGCGTATAACGGGCTTGCTGCATCTTGGTTGAAATTCATGATGATTAGCAATGAGTTTTGAATGCAAGAAAGCAGAACTGTGAGCTTCATTGATCGATTTTCTTGCGGGGCCTTTCTCGCTTTTGTGTTTCGGATGTGACTCTTGGTCTAATGCAGAGAGAAAAAATATTTCAAAAAAATATTGCTACAGCTTACTACAGCTACAGAAGACACTACTCTTCCTTTCTCTTTTATTTTCAACAAGAATGCGGGTTTCGATATAGTTTGAAATATATTTTACCGCAACCCATCTTCACCTATATATTCTCCGTTGGGAATAGGCCCAATCAAAATATTTTCAAAAGCTGTAGAAAATACCTGTACTATTACTCTTCCTTTCTCTTTTATTTTCAATAGTGCGGGTCTCGATGGAAATATATTTACCAAAAGACACCGGCACGGCTAGTCTGACCTCCGCCTCCCACATCTGGTGAACCAAATCGGAGTGGAAGGACAGACACATCGAATAATTCACAAATTTTCACAAGTTCAAAATGTATTTTATATACTGTATGATAAGATAGTTACTATTTGTAGTCAAAAGTCGGTAGCTGAATTGAAGCTTTTTTAAAACATTTGAAGACAAAGTAAAAGAGCTGTCGGCTCTACTAGATACGATTTGACTGTACATATATACTACATCTAATATGATTTTGGTGCATCTCATCTCAGTGAATGACAATTTTCAAAGCATCTATGTAAACCAATTTTTCATTACCACCGTATTAGGACTAAGAAAGCCCAATAAGTGTTGAACCCGGAGGCAACAAGTCACCAATGGATGAAGGCGATGAAAAGAATGAACAATTGGCAAAGTCACGACCATGATACCACGGAAATCCTGTCGATCGCGATGACGGCGGATGAGGAAATTGCCACAGCAGCTAGATACATGCCTCTGATAGAACTGTCAAACGAAGCATCTCAAGAACCATCGTCCAACTGGAACAATCAGCTCAATAAAGCTTCAAGTTGAAAATGGCGATTCCAATTATGAACCGCGAAAGGTTTTCATGTCCAAAAAGAAGAAAGAATTTATTTGCCTCTCGGTGTTCAGATCATACAGTAGGTACTGTATGTTCCGCAGACATAAAATCGCTCGTCTTTCAGCGAACCTTGCAGATTGAGATAGTGTGCCTCGAAAGATTCTTCTCCAGAATAAGTCATGTGACCTTGAGAACGCTTTCATAAAATTTCAGTTCCGAACACAGATTTTGGAATAGAGAAGAACTGTATCATGCCAGAGAATCTGTTTTACGTCCTTCCTATTGTTGCCATAGCCTTGACGGCATATGGTTTCAGTAAGAAACAAGGAAAAGATACGGAAGAGGCTCCACCAGCCGACAGCTTGGGGGATGTCTCTCTCAAGATCAAGACTCTCTTGGACAGCACTAAGAAGAAGTTTGGAGACAAATACTCTCATGTAAAACTGGCGGTTACACTTCCGGCTTTGCTTCAATTAATTGACCAAGCAGAAGCTAGCCGATCTTCTGACACATCGTCTCCAAGGGACGAAAGTTATAATAAGGCTGGAAAGGCTGCGACTGCCAAAGGTGAGCCTTATTTTTTGGTCATTCTACGATGTATCTTTCGAGTTTGTGCATGTTCTAGCTCACGACTTTTTCGCTTAACTTCTTTTGAACCTTTTAGAGCTTGATGGGCTGGGTGGCTATTTAGACTTTGCAGATTGGGCGTACCTACCCTCAAGGGATGAAATCAAGGAAAATCTGGCAGGACGTGGGTACAAACTACTCAAACACCAGGAAGCCAAAGAAGCAGGACAGGTGGGTTTGCTGGCAAAGCCGGCTGTAATTCTTATTCTTTTGAAGGAAGATAATACTAACACTCCATTGGTACACTGCAGGTTGGGTATTTCATTGCCACCAATCCTGATACGAAGACTGCTCTAATTGGTGTGAAGGGTACCTCCTCGATGGGTGACGTGCTAACTGATTGTTGCGCTGCTGCTGTGATTCGGAAGTTGGATCGAAGTTTTGATTCCCAAGATGAGTCGCTGAAGGAAATCCGGGCTCACGAAGGCATTCTCTACTCCTCTGTCGCCTTGGCAGAGGACTTGAAACCTTACATCACCGACTTTTTCCTTCCCCTTGGGTACAAAATTCTACTCTGCGGCCATTCTTTGGGTGCTGGAGCTGCTAGCTTGACATCCGTCTTGCTTCGTTCTCAACACCCTCCCTTGACAAAAAAAGACAGCATCAAGGTTATGGCTTTTGCTAGTCCACCTGTATTGAACCACAAAGCAGCCGAGGCGTGTTCATCGTTCATTACTACGATCGTCAACAACTCTGACTGTATCCCCCGGTCAAGTCTGAATAATGTAGCAATCTTGATGGAACTGCTTTCTGGCGTTCAAGAAAAGCTCACCGAGGCAGGAATTGACTGTAAGGACATGAAGTCTACAGCAGCATTTATGGCGAAACTACGAGAAGGAACTGGAGGAGCTATGATTATGACCCCCGAGGAAGGAGCTGCTCTACTCCAAAAGTCGCAAACTATGGTATCGCGTGACGATCCTGACCATCTCTACGTACCTGGGGAGGTGGTGCTGCTTTATCAGAAGTGGCAGGACAAGAAGAAAAGAAATGAGGCGAAAGATCCGGAGGAGAAGGGCGAGAAGAAAGTGTCCGAGCCACCCTCGCCAGCTTACAGCGTCATTACCGATGGTTTCACAGCATGTCTCAATATGATTGAGATCAGTAATGATATGGTCGGAGATCATCTGTGCGGTGCGTACCGCCTGAAGATTAATAACCTCTAAATGATTTTTGCGACTTGTTCCTTCCAGTCTCAGTAGGAAGAATAGGAAGCATTTTATTCATGCGCATGAAAGATTGATATAGTCCTATTCAAAATGTTTACTTGCAAAAAGAGTTTAATATTTTTAAAATCTATTTGCAAACAGATCCTTGAAATGAGCTCAAGGGGTTCGCAACAACACCATAAAATGTTTCTCCAAATTTCCATTCGCTCATCTTTCCTTCGTCGGTAGGCCCGTCAATTTTTGTAATGGTACGCGCAGTACCGGTACATACGCGCCGTACCTACCGGTATAACCTTCGCATGGTGACACGCATCGTCACCACATTTCATATTTCACATTGTACATTGTACATTGCACATTGCGCATACCAGTTCCCATGTGCACTATACTGCTGCAGCGCTGTCAATTGCCGCAATCGATGGTGAGATGCAGTCCCTGCAAGCGTGCATCACCTTGTTGTAGATACGCGCGTCCTCATGGCGGACTTCGATCCAGCACTTTTGTCCAGCAGAGTCCTTGGTGGGTTCCACAAACCTGTAATTTTCAGATCGGAGCCAACGTATCATTTCTTCGGAAAAGGGTGACTTGGCTTTGTTTGGGAGTGTCCTGTACCTAAGCGCCCAGACAGGAACAATGACTATCAACCAACGGCGGTTTCCTTCTGATTTTTTTGGGTTCGAACCGCCACCTCGACCAAGAATGATGTCTTGAGGTGTCAGATCGTAGAGGTAAATCACCCGATGAGGTGCCTGGTGGTGGTTTCCTTTGCCTTTGATGTTCGATCGACCAGGATTGGGCGCTTGACGACGGACAACAGCTGCCAGCGCTGTCAATGCTGCAAACGCTGATCTGTTTGCAAGATCCTGGTCCAGTTGGTTGATACTTGAATGGGGATCCACTTCTTCTTGGTCGGAAGGGTTGTTTGGTGGTGGCTTAAGATTCCCGTCCACAGCCTCGGGCTCCTGCTGATTAGGAGGAGGCTCGTGAATTTCGGGACCAAGTGGATGGAGCTGATGGGGATCAACGTGTTGACCAGAGTGGAGGAATTGCTTTGCCTCAATATTCCAGGTTTGACTCTCGGGCATAGCAGGAGGGATAGGCGTCAGTTCATCATCTGTTTTCTCCACGTCCTTCATACAATCGAGGTACACGTCGCTTTGGGTGAAATCTTCCGCTTCCAGGTTGGCGCGACTGCCAAAACCGTTATTCTGCTGCAAGTCCTCATCTAGAGCATTGGAGTTGATGGTGTTGATAGACATCCCTGCCCAGGATTCTTCACCGTCAGACTTCCACCATGGGGATAGACTGCGTACTGCATCTTGGTTGAATAGCATGATGATTGGCAACGAGTTTCTTCGAGCTCAAAACAAAATTATGAGGAAAGATGGGGCGTTCTCTGACATTTTAAGTCTTGCTATGAAAATGAAACAAGGAAATAAATTTTAAAGGAAGGAAATATTTTTCTAGTAGAGCGACTGTGGATGCTACGCTTTCGTCTGCATTGCAATAAAAAGTATTTTCACCATTGCGGATTGCGGGTCTCAAAAAGAAATACCGGTATGTTTGGTTCATGGAAATAATAAATAAACCTTTTTTTTAAAAAATATTTCTAGTACACATGTTCTCCAGTTCTCCATTCAAAATGGACTAAGAAAGCCCATCTGCCTTGTTATTGTATTGGAAAAAGTATGAATCAGGATGCATCTTGGATCAGCATCCGGGAAGCAGGACAGAAACCAATAAAAAATCAAAGCATTTTAATTGCCTGCTAGCTTATTATATGGTTCGGAAAGGGATTATTCTTTCCTTTGCTCTTGATCAAGAGTTGAATCCGTTTCTGATTGTCTGGACTCAAGATTCGCCATTGTTGCAACATGGTCTGAAAACACTGGTACAGTTTGGCCACCAGCTGGGAATGCCCCGCCAAGATCAAGTCCAGTCCAGCATGAAACACTAGCTCTACTGTTTGGGAATTGATATTGAGCAGCAGTGAGGCATTATCGTTTGCATTGTTGGAAGCACCATCACCACGAGATGTAATGGATTCCAAGTACGGTTCGAGGCTTTCTTTGGTCCGCAAGTTGCGTTCTTGTAACGACGACGAGACAGATCCTACGGTTTGGCAAAGTTCTTGTAGCATGGTGGTTTTAGTGGCAGTTGTTGTTTCCGCACTAGTAGTAGTACTGCTACTGTGACAGAAGATACTACTCTTCCTTGCTTTCTCTTTTATTTCTAATTGGGAATAGGCCTAAACAAGTCCAGAGTCGTACTATTGAGTGCATGAGATTTGTCGCTTGTTTCAGCTACTGTCGGTAGAACAGGAGAGGAACCACCAAAGATCAAAACATGCAATTGCCTGCTAATTTATTGTAACCACCATCGGATACATTTCTTTGTCTCGGTTTTGCGAATGAAAACTCAGCATCAAGATGGGAAAGTCATGATACTTCGCTTGAAAGGCAATTATATAGCTACAGACAAGAAGGACGGGTACTTCAGATTACAAACGCAAGAGCCACGCAATAGGGCCCATACCTTTTTGTCCTCAATTCCATTTGAAAACATGCACACGGCTGATCGAAGTTCTTGATTGGACCACTTGTTTCTTCTTAAAATTATCGACAGTCTTCCGGTAAATATTTTCCTGGATTTAAGATCCTATTTGGATCAAATAAACGTTTGATATCATACATTTTTGACAAGGTTTCAGACCCGTGCAATTTTGCCATGTACTTTCGTTTCTGCTGCCCAAGTCCATGTTCAGCAGATATGGAGCCACCCCGCTTCTCTACTCCTTCAAAGACGTAGCGGTCAATTCTTTCCCTGAGGCTTGAGTTCGTCTCAAAGTTACCTCTGCACACAACATTACAATGCAAATTCCCATCTATCACATGCCCCCAGTTGAAATAGTCTAAGGAGCAGAAGGTTCTGTCATTCAGCGCTTCCTTCAACTCCTCTACGAATCGCGGAAATTCTGGAATAGGCAAGGACACGTCATATTTGTAGACATAACCGCTTGATACGCAACTTGGATTGCACGATTCTCTCAAATACCACATCGCGTTCATTTGTTCGAGAGAAGCTGCAACAACCCCGTCAACCACGTAATCTTCTTCATACAAAATATTCAAGAACTTGTCCATCTTGGCCTGATCGTGCTCTGCACAAGAGCCATGTGATTCTACTAAAACATAATAAGGACAATCTTGAGACGCTGGGAGAGGGAGAGGTTTCGATTGGGTTTGACAGACAAGGTTCATGGCGGGGCCATCGATGAACTCAAACGCTGCCAAAATTTCTCCCAGAGATTTCTTTGCTATCTCCAGGACATTTAACACATTGTCAAATGAGTCACACGCTAGCAAAGTAGTACATCTAGATGGTGGAAGGCGAGGGCACAAGAGAGCTGCCCTTGTAACTAACATTTTGAATCATTGTCAAGTCAGTCATTCCTCTAGCCGAAGAACACAAAGCAATTTCAAGAAGCACTTACCAATACCAAGGGTACCTTCCGCACCAATAAACAAATGTTTCATGTCATATCCTGTATTGTCCTTTAAGTTTGCAGTGGTGCAGCCCATATCCAAAATATCGCCGTTTGCCAGCACAACCTCAAGTCCCACTACATTTGCGTGCAACGATCCATAACGAAAGTAGAAGGATCCTCCTGCGTTGGTACTAATGTTTCCACCAATTTGGCAGGTCCCTTTTGCACCAAGGTCAACGGGTACAAGGTGATCTTTTGCCGCTGCGAAGTCAAGGAGATTCTGCAAGATACATCCTGCATCACAAGTGAGGATACCGGTGGTTGGATCAAGGCTGTGAATATCGCTCATCTTCTCCAGTGATAGGACCACTTCGCAGTCCAGAGGCACTGATCCACCAGTTAATGCCGTGTTTCCTCCTTGTGGAACGACACCTATCATTCGGGAATTGCAGTATTTCAGTATTCGAGATACTTCAGCAGTCGATTGCGGACGCACAACAACTCGAGAGTTTCCTTTGTACTGATTCTACAAAATCAGCAAACCAATTCAGCATGATCAGATGTAAGAGAAGACTACTCAGAAAGATCTCTTAACAACCAAATCTCAACGCACCGTCCAATCATGGTTGTAGCGGGTCAGATCCTCGCTGACTCCATCCTCTGCGACGAGCACACCATTTGGTCGATTGTTCAGCAGTTTTAACAGTTCCTGCACGTCGATTTCTGTGGGGCGATTGAGGGATGCCAATGCTGTAGAGCTTCGGCTTATGAAGCGATTTGCATACCTTCGTAACGATGACTGATTACGAAACATTGTCGTCGGAGAAGGAATGAGGAGTATAGGCGCGCAGTATATAGTCGATCCGAAGCAATATAACTGACAGTAATTTTTCGAGGACAATAAGATATTCAGGTCGGCTCTAGACTAGCGAAGGACGGACTGTATAGTGTTCCAGCAAATTGAAAATTATTGTCGGAATAATAAGCAGCAAGACCGCAGCCTTGGAAGACGCAGCACTGTCATCCATGATGCTGCTTGTAGCAAGCGTTGTTGTAGAAGCTCCGGCGCTGACCTAGGCTCATCCACCAGACACCGCAACCGCGATTCCCGTAATTTCCAATCCGGCTGCTCCAATGGGTTGAAGCGTCGCCAAAGTAATGCTGGTTGCACCGGTTCCACCCAAACCAATAGCCTCAGCGTTCATCATACCCGCGGCTGCAGTGCCTGCTCTGATTGGTGTGAAGGGTACCTCCTCGATGGGTGACGTGCTAACTGATTGTTGCACTGCTGCTATGATTCGGAAGTTGGATCGAAGTTTTGATCCCCGAGACGAGTCGCTGAAGGAAATCCGGGCACACGAAGGAATCCTCTACTCCTCTATCGCCTTGGCAGAGGACTTGAAACGAGATTCTACTCTGCGGTCATTCGTTGGGTGCTGGAGCTGCTAGCTTGACATCCGTTACTACCCTCCCTTGAAGAAAAAAAACAGCATCAAGGTTATGGCTTTTGCTAGTCCACCTGTATGGAACCACAAAGCAGCCGAGGCGTGTTCATCGTTCATTACTACGATCGTCAATAACTCTGACTGTATCCCCCGGTCAAGTCTGAATAACGTAGCAATCTTGATGGAACTACTTTCTGGCGTTCAAGAAAAGCTCACCGAGGCAGGAATTGACTGCAAGGACATGAAGTCTACAGCAGTCTTTATGGCGAAACTACGAGAAGGAACTGGAGGAGCCATGATTATGACCCCCGAAGAAGGAGCTGCCCTACTCCAAAAGTCGCAAACTATGGTATCGCGGGACGCTCCTGACCATCTCTACGTACTTGGTGGGGAGGTGGTGCTGCTTTATCAGAAGTGGCAGGACAAGAAGAAAAGAAATGAGGCGAAAGATCGGGAGGAGAAGGGCGAGAAGAAAGTGGCCGAGCCACCCTTGCCAGCTTACAGCGTCATTACCGATGGTTTCACAGCATGTCTCAATATGATTGAGATCAGTAATGATATGGTCGGAGATCATCTGTGCGGTGCGTACCGCCTGAAGATTAAAAACCTCTAAATGATCGTGTCTTCTTGTTCCTTCCTCTCCCGCGTCTAAGTCTCCGCAGAAAGAACAGAAAGCATGCTGTCGATGCACATGAAAGATTGATATAGTCCTATTCAAAATATATACTTGCAAAAGCGTTCAATTTTTAAAAACTATTGCAAACAGATCCCTGGTGTTCAAGTTACACCAGTTTTTATTTAAAAAATGAAAATATGTATTTTAATATGTTCTCCAAATCTCCATCATTCGCTCGCCCGTCCTTCCTCGGTTATACCGGTTCCGGTACCAGTCTGTCATTTATTTGACAACATTGTCACAATCCATTGCATTTCACAATGCACATACCAGTTTCAATCTGCATATTATGCTGCTGCTGCAGCCAGCAGCAGCAGCAGCCCTGTCAGTTTACCTCAATCGAAGATTATTTGTGTGTGCATCGCATTTTGTGCATCACCTTGTTGTAGATACGCGCGTCCTCGTGGCGGACTTCGATCCAGCACTTTTGTCCAGCAGAGTCCTTGGTGGGTTCCACAAACCTGTAATTTTCAGATCGGAGCCAAAAGATCAACGTTTTCGCGAAACGACTCTTGTCGTCCTTTCTTGTGAGTTTCTTGTAATTAAGCTTCCAAGCTGGAGCAATGATGTCAAGCCAACGGCGGTTTCCTTCTGATTTTATGGGGTTCGAACCGCCACCTCGACCAAGAATGATGTCTTGAGGTGTCAGATCGTCATCGTAGAGGTAAATCTCGACAACAGCTGCCAACGCTGCTGATGCTGCCAACGATGACTTCTCTGCAAGATCCTGGTCCAGTTGGTTGATACTCGAAGCAGATCTATTGCGCTGGTGGGGATCCACTTCTTCATGGTCGGAAGGGTTGTATGGTGGTGGCTTAAGATTCCCTTCCACAGCCTCGGGCTTCTGTTGATCAGTAGGAGGCTCGTGACTTTCTGGGAAAAGTTCATCACCTGAAAGAGTCAACCGTGGTCGTTCTGCAGTCGGCTGGTCCTGGTGGCCTCCACCGATTTGACCAATTTCCGAAGCAGCTGCTGGATTGAGCTGACGGGGATCAAAGTGTTGACCAGAGTGGAGGAATTGCTTTGCCTCAATATTCCAGGTTTGAGTCTCGGGCATAGCAGGAGGGATAGGCGTCAGTTCGCGATATGTTTTCTCCACGTCCTTCATAAGATCGAGGTAATCGACGCTTTGGGTGAAATCTTCCGCTTCCAGGTTGGCGCGACTGCCAAAAACGTTATTCTGCTGCAAGTCCTCGTCTCGAGCATTAGAGTTGATGGTGTTGATAGACCTCCCTGCCCAGAATTCTTCACCGTCAGACTTCCAGCATGGGGATAGACTGCGCACTGCATCTTGTTTGAATAGCATGATGATTTGGCAACGAGTTTCTTCGAGCTCAAAACAAAATTGTGAGGAAAGATGGGGCGTTCTCTGACATTTTAAGTCTTGCTATGAAAATGAAACAAGGAAATAAATTTTAAAGGAAGGAAATATTTTTCTAGTAGAGCGACTGTGGATGCTACGCTTTCGTCTGCATTGCAATAAAAAGTATTTTCACCATTGCGGATTGCGGGTCTCAAAAAGAAATACCGGTATGTTTGGTTCATGGAAATAATAAATAAACCTTTTTTTTAAAAAATATTTCTAGTACACATGTTCTCCAGTTCTCCATTCAAAATGGACTAAGAAAGCCCATCTGCCTTGTTATTGTATTGGAAAAAGTATGAATCAGGATGCATCTTGGATCAGCATCCGGGAAGCAGGACAGAAACCAATAAAAAATCAAAGCATTTTAATTGCCTGCTAGCTTATTATATGGTTCGGAAAGGGATTATTCTTTCCTTTGCTCTTGATCAAGAGTTGAATCCGTTTCTGATTGTCTGGACTCAAGATTCGCCATTGTTGCAACATGGTCTGAAAACACTGGTACAGTTTGGCCACCAGCTGGGAATGCCCCGCCAAGATCAAGTCCAGTCCAGCATGAAACACTAGCTCTACTGTTTGGGAATTGATATTGAGCAGCAGTGAGGCATTATAGTCTCCGTTGTTGGAAGCACCATCACCACGAGATATGATGGATTCCAAGTACGGTTCGAGGCTTTCTTTGGTCCGCAAGTTGCGTTCTTGCAACGGCGCGAAAGATCCCACGGTTTGGCAAAGTTCTTGTAGCATGGTGGTTTTAGCGGCAGTTGTTGTTTCCGCACTAGTAGTAGCGGCGCCACTGTGATATTGATAATGATGATGTTCTTGTTGTACCAACGAAATGTTGCGCGAAAGCCACACAAAGTGCTCCAATTGACACTTCCCCGCCATTTGCAGCATGGTTATCACACCTGGATCCCGACTGGTTTTCTTTTGTTGTTTCATCAGCAAGCGTGCTTGTGAGGTGGACACAATCCGTAAGGTATGATACGCCTTGGGGTGCAACCAATGCAATGCCGATAACTTGGTGGCAAAGACATTTTGCAAAATGGAAGATTCCATCACCATGGACGGATGAAAACCTGTCGTTTCCAATCGTTCCATAATGGTATCAATCTTTTGGCTCCAGGAACGATGTTCGTTCAATTGCTTGGCAATGAAATCATCTTCAGTTCTACCCTTATAAGTACAGACTTGGCAGTGCCAAGAGGAATCCTTGCCCCACTGAAAGAGTGTTCCAATCAGAGGCGATTTTTGGGATCGGGTAGTAAGTGTACTACACTGCGGACAATTCAATGGATTGCACTCGTCCCAACCAAGACATCGGGTGCAATTGCACAAAAACCGCTTGAGCTGCAAAATGTTGCCTCGTCGTATCTGTCGTGGTTCTTCGTAGACGTGACCCGTGTAGCTAATGGTCAAACGTTCTCCTTGGGCAATTTTAACTGTTTCCGTAATATATTCGAGTTGGCCTTGGGGCGTCGTATCAAAGGAAATGTTTGGAGCGCAGTGATGTTCCAGTTTGGAACCCAGCGGAAAGAGAGCCGTTTTCGAACCGGCCTGAATGTCTTCGTATTCGGCGTAGTTGCCAGTTCCTTCGGTTCGGACATCATGGGCATTGATCAAGACAATTTCAACCAGCGTTCGAGCCAATTTAAAGTCTAGTTTGGAAGCAGTCGCTGTATCTAGTTTGGTTTCCTTTTGATATCGTTGAAATTCGTCCTGTATGAGCCCCATCCGTTCTGGATCTTGTTCCACGGAGTCCGCTTGCATTTTCATAATCGCAGCTTGTTGTTCAGGAGTTGCCTTCAAGTAGGCCTCCCAAAGACCAACATAACCATCTTGGGTATTGAAACTAACAGCTGGCTCTTCACGCAAGACGACCTCCCCAGTTTGAAAGTCCTTGGTGGCAATGGCAACTCGTCCCAACTCGGAATTGGTATCGACCACTTGCACTCCTTCACCTCCACTGTTATTCTCCTTTGATTCTGCTGCTGCAATATTGCCTCCATTTTGAGTCGGTGCATTGTTGGAAGCTTTTGTTTTATTCTTTGCTTTGGATTTGGCTTTCTTTTTGTTTGGCATCTTAGTGTCTGCGGTCCTTTGTGAAATGATATGAGTAAGATGTATGTTGGAGAATGCGAGATATGCGAGACTTTATTGAATGAGGTTGAAACTAACAAAGTCCTTCCTGACCAATTCACCACTGTTTTAGGTGTTCCCCCTTAGTTTGGTCATCTTGAATCTCCCCAACAAGTGAAAATGCGAATCAAAATCAACACGTCAGTCGTCAGCCTTCGGACCGGATCCTCGGTGATGTTTGCTTCTGACAGCGACACCATACCAAGTCAGGATCAAAACTGCCGTGGTGATTTTATAACGTTCAATCAACAATACTACCTACTGACTGTCCATAATCACAATCTCTCATCCAAGTAGCAACCATGGTCAAGACTCAACTTCTTCTCAGTGCCGCCCTTTTGGCCAGTGTCAATGCCTTTTCGGCACACCAAATGCCAACCAACGTACGTTTTTTCAGGATGCCACACATGACCTCGATCAACTGGATACCTTTGTGACCCAGTGAATCATCATCATCATCGGCATTACCATTATCATTGTCATTATCACGAAACATTATACTTACCACTTTATTCTTCCTCTTCTTCTTCCTCTTCTTCTTCTTCTACTACTAATACTACTATTCCTATCACCACCAATACAGGATGTTGTTGCCGCTACTAGTACTAGTACTACTGCTACTACTACTACCGCTGGACGTCGTGACTTTCTAAAGTCCGCCTCTGTCGCTGCTGCTGTCGTCTTGGCAACTCCCACCATGGCATCTGCCGTCGTGGAGGTTCCCGAACAAGTCACCTCTTTTGAGTATCCTAAGAACTGGGGATTGACGTACAAGTACGACGAAGATGCCGAAAAGGTCCGCGCCCACATGTACACTGCCACCACTTTGGCCAAGGGAGCGGAAAACATGGAGGATTTCGGAAAGAACATGAAGAAGGAAATGGTTGACTTTGTTTCCTACTACCGTCGTTTCCCACAAATTGCAGGAAAGCCCTCTTTCTCTACATTGTACACATCCATCAACGTTTTGGCTGGACACTACACTTCGTATGGTTACAAGTACCCTCTTCCCGAGAAGCGCCGAAAGCGTTTGTACCAAGAGTACGCCGAAATCTCCAAGTCGCTCAAGCGTGGACGTTAAGCTACTATGAAATACTACTACTAGCTGGTCATATATATAGCCTATCTAAACAATCGCAAAAAGCAACTGTGCAAAAGTTGATGATGAAGTTGGCAAACTTGCAACAACAACAACATCATTATCAACTTGCAACATATAGATCTGGAAAGTACAACACCAACAAAAAATAAATACCATAAAATAGCAACTTTCAATCGATATGCCAATGCATGATGATGTTGATTTTAATAAGTTTAGCCAGGAATAGTAGCAATCGATAATGTTGGACGACCAGTTTTGGAACATATTTGGAAAGTGTAATCACCACCGCGGCTTGTCATACTCCTCAAATTTCGATCCAGTCAGTTGTTTCATCTCATCTTGAAGTCAGCAAGATTGGTCGTGTGATGCTGTTGTTCTCTTGTCATTATACTCGATTGTATCTCTCTCAGTTTTCTTATCATTGACCTGTAGAAATGATCCATTCCAATGCAGCCAAATGGAAATCGAATAGACAGCCAGTAGGGTTTCAGCTACTAGCAGGCGTGTAGAATGAATGAACAAATCCACCAATGAATAAATGAATCCTCAATCAATCAATGAATCCAAGAAGTGAAAGTAAACAATGATCATTGCAGCAATGGTATTATTTTATTTCTTAAGAATCATACAGTACACGTACAGTACGAATCAATCACAGACTCAGACCGATATTCATATTCATATTCATACTCATTTGCACATCGCTGTCATTGTCATGATAGTGGTTATCATTGTAGTTGCCATCAACAATAGTATTTGTCCGTTGGGCTTCCAATACCCTTCGCTGTTCGATCCATTCCCAATGATTGTCAAGGTTGACCGACCCATCCGGTTCCACGGGAATCAAATCGGCCGGAATCCCATGCGTCATGAGCTGATATTTGCATTCTTGATCGCTCCCATGATGGAGTCGCATCCGCAAGCGCATGAATTTGCAAATGGTGGCCACCACCATGTTCAATGTGGCAACCCATTGATCGGAATCGGCACATAAATGATACCCCACGGGTCGGACGGGGACGCTCAAGGGAATGGTGGTAATTTGCTTGGCCAAGTCGCGGTCGAATCCTCCGTGTCCGTGGGAGGACATTTCAAAGGTAAAGTCGCCACCACTCTGCATGTCGTGATCGTAACGTTCCAGAGGCGACCGCCCAATTTCGTATCCCACGGCCGTGACGCCCTTGATTTGATTGGTTTCATCTTCCAGTAGGGTCATCCAGAGGTACCACAAACTGCGAATCATATTGGCAGGTTCCTTGTATTTGAAACAAGTATATCTTCCAAACAAGATGGATCGTCCCGCTCGATCGGGTTTGGGGAGGACTTGGAAACCACCCGAACGCAAAGCTTCCAAATCATCCTCGCTTAGATCATTGAGCGTAATTTCCTGAACGAGTTTGTCTCGACCGAACAAGTTGAGTTTGGTCTTGAAATGGCGGACCAATCGTTTGGCCGCCTTTTTGAAATTTCCCAATCCGGCTCTCAGAAAGAGTATTCGAAACTTTGGGTTGTGGACAAAGTCAAAGGACATTTCTTCCGCTAGCAGATAAGCCTCCTTGTTTTCGTGAATGTTGTTGATTTCTTGTTGCAAAGCATCAAAGTCTTGTTGATTGAAATAAGCCTTGGCATTGGGAACATCAATGCCGTAAATATCTTGAGTGACTTCTTGTTGTCCAATGGGTTCCAAATTTTGCAATTCTCTGGTCAAACATTTGGCCGGATGATGGCTTCCAAAGGAAAAGCCATTGTTGTTGTCATTGTTGTTGTTGCTGTTGTTGGACGTGTTCTTACTACTACCACTGATACTGCTACTGCTACTGGTAGTAGTAGTAGTAGTATGATCTTGTCTCATTTCCGCATGACCATCATCAGCATAACCATTCCGTCTCCGTCGATTGGGTTCTTGAGAGGAGGAACGGAGTGGAGCTCCGAGAGTAATTTCCTCTCCTCCTCCGCCCAACCGTTTGAAGTCTTCCACACTTCGTTTGCGAGCCCCACTTCTCATCTTTTATATTATGTATTATATATTATATAGTATATATTATTGAGTAGTATTGTCGTTGTTGTTGTGGTTGTTGTATTCTACTGGAGAGTACTTGTGCAGTATCTCTCAAGGAGGGTGGTGTTGCAGAAAGTGCAATCGATGGTCTACCGGTAGTCAGCTGCTTGGAAATGAATTTAGTTGAGAATGAGCTGTCCTCGGAGAAAACGGGAAAAAAGCACCAAGCAATATAATAAGACTTGATCCGAAGTTTCGTTCACTGTTACTGGAACTGAGTGAGTCGAATAGATCGATCAAATGGGCCGGCTGGGTGCACAGCAGTGCGTCATTTTGCCACCTGCTGCTTTGGACACACAAAATAAAATTGGGGACGTCGACAAGCAAGCAAGCAGTACCAGGTACTGGTACCTGGTACGGTATACCGGTATGACAACCAAAAATGCTGCGGTGTTTGTTACGCGCGCCCGTCCGTCATGCGACATTCAATGGGTCGGCCGACGAATTTCAAAATACTGCGAGCTCCTGCGGTGGACGAAAACAGTCCAAATTTTGGCAACCAGCCCCATCTTTTTTTGGTTTCTGGGATAGAAATAATAAACGGAGAGTATCATTGGTTTTCACTTTTTACTTCTTATCACTGAGCGAAACGGAGATTATTGACTCTTTGACTTGATTGCCATACAGCAATATTATACAAAACCATCAACATCAGCATCAGCATCCGAATCAGTCATTTCAATCTGATACCACATATATACTTTGAACTTGGCCTGTCATCTATTTGTTTCCTTTCTTGTTTCCTTTCCATTTCCATTCCTTTCTTCTCCAAACACTATAAACGCAATACAAAATGATGTCAGCCACCAACAAAAAGAGCGAAACGCCCTCGTCTGATGCCGAGAAACGAAGAATCAATGCCAAGAGCAATATCGAACGCCTCGATTCTACGGAAAGCAATGATTTGGAACAACCTCTGTTGGAAGCATCCTCCTCTTCGAATTCTCCTACCAGTGATTCCTCTTCCAATGGCAGCGGAAGTACGACCAGCAGCAACATCAGCAAGGGTGCCATTCAAAATGTCAAGGAAGAAGTGGTCAAGAATGGATTGGTCATTGGAGCCTGTGTCTTTTACAGTTTCTGTAGTGTCTCCATGGTCCTCGCCAACAAGAGTTTGGCCTCTAGGTAAGATTGGTCACTACGGTTTTTGGATATGATATAATATGATGACATTGGTGGAATTTATCATACATTGGATCCATCTTGTACTCACCTCATTCTTCCATTCTTACCTTCTTTCTTATACTTCATGAAGTTACAATCACTTGATTGAAGGAGATTTGAATATTTTGCTAGTCGTCATTCAAGCCATTGTCGCGGTTCTTGCCGTCGAACTCTGCAAGGCCTTGAAGTGGGTCGAATATCCTTCCTTCTCCATGGCAACGGCCAAGGAATGGGCACCCGTCAACATTTGCTTTTGTCTCATGTTGTTTACCGGCATGGCATCCCTCCAATACAATTCGGTTCCCATGGTCACGGTCTTTAAAAATTTGACCAACATTTGCACGTGTGCGGGAGATTGGTGGTTTTTTGGAAATGTTCCCGAACGATTGGTCATTTTGGCCTTTGGAATCATGCTGGCGGGGGCCATGGCGGCAGCCTGGAAGGATATTACCATTAGCGTGACGGGATTCTTTTGGATGATGCTCAATTGCTTGACCAGTGCGGGCTACGTCCTCTACATGAAGTTTGCCACCAAATCGGTCAAATTGTCCAAATTTGGCATGGTCTTTTACAATAATCTATTGTGCATGGTTTTTTTGTTGCCCGTAGCAGCGTATATGGGACAAGTCAAGGTATTCTTTTCGACCGAGGCCATTCATACTACAGACTATTTTGGAAAGAATTTCTTTGCCGGATTGGTGGGATTCTTGCTGAATTTTGCATCCTTGAATTGTGTGTCATTGGCAGGAGCAACAACCTATGCCATTATTGGATCTCTCAACAAGATTCCTCTGGCCGTCTTTGGCTATTTCATCTTTGACAGTATCATTACCAACGATACTTGGTTTTTCATTGCCGTTAGCATGTGCGGGGGATTCTTGTATTCCTATGCCAAACTCAAGACGGCCACGTCGCGCAAGGACGTGTCTGGCAAAAAATAATCGAATGGCCGCTGTTGTCTTGTTGTCTTGTGGTCTTTGTGCGCCAAAAAGATGACTCTTGACATTCATGAAACGCACAATGAGAATGCATCAAAATACACATAAGCGCACACAACAACACAATATCATCATCATCATCATCATCAAGCAAAGCCAAGATTAAAATGTTGTACCGCCGTTGTCAAACAGGGAGAGACTGTTGGTAAGATTTTAAATTGTCCTTGCCGTCTCCTCTTGAGCATTTTATTTTTGAATGAGCCGCTACTACCTACTTGCCATGATGACAGCCATAATCCATTTTCCATTCTTACATATTTTAAAAAATGGCGAATGGTGTAAATGTATAATATATCTATCTATATAAACACTCCTAACAATGCACAAACCAAAATTTTATTTTCATTATTGTAGTCGTCGTACTGCTACTTCAATTCTACTCCTTCTTTTGCTGCTGCTGCTGCTGCTGATGATGATGATCGGAAATGTGACGCTTGTGCAATTCGGGATGGACTCGTCCAAGCAAGGTCAAAAAGCGATCACTCATGACGGGCATGTCATGAGCACTCACCACTTCGTTGTAAACTTGCTCAATGAGTTCTTGGCGTTGTTGCTGTTGTTGTTGCTGTTGTTGGGTCGTCGAGGCTGTAGTTGGGTTGACCAAACAATCCAACAAGGCTTCCAAGAGCAAGGGTTCCATACTAGCAGAACCACTGCTGCTGCTGCGATTACCACTGCCACTACCGCTACTATTGTTGGTCTGACGGGCCTTGGTAAAGACATCTTGGGCAAATTCCAGTCGCTCTTGGTCATTGGTACTCAGTGAAAGACACTGCAGAAACATGCGATGGGACTTGGGACGCAATTCCGTTCTAGGTTCCTTCTGCTCGGCCAAGCGGTACATGGCCGTGGCAATTTCCACAGCGCGTTTCTTGGTGGCAGCCGAAGCATTCTGGGCCACAGAATAGCAAGTCTGCCAGACCAATCCATACGACAGGGAGGTGGGTACATCGTTGACATTGTAGACGTGAGAAATTTTTTGAGGAGCATTCTGGTAGAGCAATGGGCTCGAGTACATTTGAAGTTGCTGGAAGATTTGAAAGGCACGCTCCATGGCGACCGCCGCTGTTTCGTCGTCGACGCCAAAGGTGTCATTGGTGGGACTTTTATCCTCCGACACCAAATGCCGTTTCTCGGCTGTATCGCTCCAAGCTCTCAAGGCATGTTTGGAGGCAAGGTATGGAGAGAGTGGGTATTCCTGAAGGATTGCTCGACAAAGTTCCAATCGGATCGAGACTTCATCGGCTTGTGGTCCATATTCGGCCAGACGATAGAGGTGATGAAAGGTTTCTTCATTGGGGTACCAGACTTCATGGGTAACCATCTTGTCAAACAAGGTCAAGGCATAGTCAAAATCCTCATGATTGTCAAAAACAGTCTCTCCAGTTTTGGTGCGGACAAATGGTGTCACGTCCTGGGCCTTCTTTTTTCGCTTCCGTCGCTTATTCAAAGCATCCAACAAAGAGTGAAAGGTGGATCGTTCAATCGAATCTTGCAATTCCGAAATCGAATAGCATTTCCACATGTTATCCAACAAATCCTTGGCCTTCTCCATGCGCACATCTTCCGCATCCATCATGGCCCCATCGCTCTTGGCAAAGATTTGAATCAAGAGCTGAATGGAAACCGAATCCTTGGGACGCAATTGTTGTTGAAGAGTTTCAATATTTGGTTTGGAGGACAACAAGGCTTCCCAGGTTTTGGCTCCAAATTTCAGCGTGGCCAAGGCATGGACGCGATCATAGTACCGATCCAACGAGGGCACGGCAATGTTGGCCAAACATTGGAATCCAATAGTGGCACAACTGTGCAGCTCATTCGGATTCATATTGGACTGCTGGACTTGTTTGGAAAGAAGTTCGCAAACTCTCTTGGTGGCCAGGGAAGCCGACTTGGGAGAAAACTTCTTGGGCGATTTGCGCAACTGTTGGGCAAAGCCCATGGCATCGGGATTCTCCCCACCAGACGACGAAGAGCGAGGCGGTGGATCCTTTTCCGTCACTTGCAAATAACTCATGAGAACATACCACAGCAATCCTCTTCGGTGGGAAGGATACCTGTAGTAGACTTGTTCTGTCTGATAGGCTGCATCGAGTGTGGCGGTATCTTGATAGGCTCGAATCAACAATCGCACCATCTTGTCGGTCAAGACTGGCGATCGGACCGTAGATCCACCCATGCCCGCTGGCACTGTATTGGGAACTTGATCAAAGATGCGTTGGATTTGGCTGGCTCGTTGCTCTAGAATGGCGACCAGTTTGGCATCTTCATCCGGTAGTGACTGCGGTTTGGATATTTTGCGAGTTTGTCGTCGATCCATGTCTAGATCATCGTCATCATCATTTTCATCTTCTTCGTCCACCACATCCATCAGGTCCTGTCCCAAATCATCGTCCTCGTCTTGAAATGCTTGGAATGCCACCAATGGTGGATATGAAAAGTACAATCGACCCACCAATTTGTTGTAGTGGTAATGGTTTGGGGCGAATTGGACATCATCATGAGCCGACAAGGAAGAAACTTCCAATTTCTTTGCCATTGGAGTAGAAGGAGAGGGGACGGGGACCATGGAAGGATCGTTGGAACCACCATCTCCCACGACCATGGACTTGATCCAAGCCACCCAATTCTTCCCTCCTCCTTCTTCTTGCTTTTCTGGAGGAGGCGGCACCGACTTTTTATCATCATCTCTATCCTTCATCCCAGTACCCTTTGGATTATCATTCAATAATAGCTCTTTATTCGTTTCCGTCAATGCTGGTGCTGGCTCTTGTTTCAAGACTTGTTGAACCAAAATGGCGCGATCCTTTCTCATGGTTTCCCAAAAGGGCAAGACAGTAGTCAGTATATCAATGGCATCCTGTTGTTGTTGCAATTGACGCTGCAATTGTGTTTTTTGCTTTGTGTCCAGATCATTTGTGGAACTTAAAGTCAATTCCGATTCGGCCAATAGTGCCGTCGTGACAAAGAAATCATGACAGAGGGTACAAATCTGACCAAATAATTCTTCGGTTTCCAACAACTTTTGCTTTGTGACTGGTCCTGCAGCTCCAGTGGGATGTTGAAATTGAACGGCATGTTTCCATTCGGTAGCAATATTGGAATCGTCTGGTTCGAACCATTGATTGCGATATTGGACAATGGCCTGACACAAGGCTACCTGTCGTTCTTCGAATCGTTTGCGTTGGACATTGGCATTGTAGCTTGATGATTGGTGGCCAGACGAAGAAGAAGAAGAAGTTTCCCATTGGTCCATTAATAGTGTGGCAGGAGAAGGTTTGCTGTCTCGTCGGTTATGATTCTGAAAACGATCAGCGGCACGAGAAGATGATGGTTCTTGTCTATGATTGTTTCGTCGATTGTTGCCTCGTCTGTTGCGATGATTGGAGGAATGCCATCGGGTTCCAGTAGAAAACGTTTGCCGAGGTCCCAAGGAGCCATTTGTATTATCTTGGCTTGAATGAAAATAGCGCAAGGATTCCAACCGTCTAGAGGTAACTGATTCCTCTTGGATCTTGTTGTTTCCCGACTGAAAAAACCTGAAATATGGTTGTTGTGTTGGTCGTATTCTTTTGTAGGTTAGCGATGATTTGGACGCCATTTTCAGTGACCTATCTACCTTCTTGAATGAATGTATTAAGGATGTATGCGTGGTGGGAAGAGTATTGTTTAATATAGTCAATATCGGTTCCGATACGATAAGCCTCCAATTTTCAATTGTTGAGTTTTTCTCACGCTCGTTTTTGTTTTTGATGGCAACCAAAGCCATGCGCGATTGCCAACGCGCGAAATATGTCACAACAATGGCCACGTGGAAGTTCGTCGAAAGATATTTTTCGAAAAACACATCAACAGAATTAAAAATTGCCATTCCTTTTGCTTGGCTACATACTCGTATATACAATCAGTGGAAATGGATTCTCGTCAAAGAAGTTTCCATAATGCGAAAAGTCTCCTACCACTGATTCTTTGTCTCGCGGGCATAACACTCCAGCCAACACAAGCTTGGACGGCGGCGACGACGACGACCACTTCCTCAATAATACGTTCATCGTCGTTGCCATCAACAATAGTATCACAATCTCAATTATTTGCTGCGAGGAGGAAGAATGATAACAGCAATGATAACCAAAATGTTGATAATGCCATACAAGAAACCGACATGAATGAAATTCACAAGCGAGTTCGAGAAATGGATCCCGAATGGTACGAACAGAACGTGTTGCAACGTCTGGGTCAGAAATTGTCACGGATCACGAGACGAAAGAAACGACAACAATCGCCACCACAAAAGCAACGACCACAAAGGACGCTTCGAATCGACCAAAAAGAGGATCAAGATGTAATTGATTTGTTGGACAACGACGTCGACTTTGCAACACCATCTCCACGACGGAATAAGATTTCAGACATGCCAATACAAACAAATTCCAAACCACCGCCACCACCAGGAATTGTCAAAGAAGCGACCAAACCTACAACCAGAACCCAATCCTCGCCACCATTGCAATCAAAAGAGAAAAAAGCACCAAGAAGGGAACCTCTAGAGCCAGAACCAACAATGAGGACGTCAGGAACACGAAAAAAGAAATTGTCAACACTATTCAATCGAGAAACGAGAAGCGACGATCGTGCCGCTCAAGAAAACGCCCAACTAGCAGCTCAAAAAGTAGCCGTAGAAAACAAAATACAACACGAGATTGACTTGATGGAAGCTGAGACAAAGGAAGAAGAGGTGGTCGAGGCTGCTGCTCGAGCTGAGCGATTGAAAGCAGAAAAGAAGAAAGCTGAAGAAGAGGCTGCAATAGCTCGCGTTGCAGCCGAAAAGGAGGCACACGAGATGACAGAGACCGCTAGAGTTGAAGCTGAGCAGAAGGTCGCCGCAGAGAAGAAGGCTCGAGAGGAAGCTGAAACCGCTCGAATTGCAGCCGAAAAGAAGGCACAAGAGGTAGCAGAGGCTGCTAGAGCTGAAGCTGAGAGATTGGCAACCGAGAAGAAAGCGCACGAAGAAGCCGAAGAAGTCAGAGCTGAGGCCGAGAAGAAGGCACAAGACGAATCAGAGGTTGCTAGAGCTGAAGCTAAGAGATTGGTAGCCGAAAAGGAGTCACAGGGAGAAGCAGAAGCAGCCAAGATTGAAATCCAGAAGAAGGCACAAGAGGTGGCCGAAGCTGCTAGGGCCGAAGCTGAGAGATTGGCAGCCGATAAGAAGAAAGCTCGAGAAGAAGCCAAAGCCGTCAGAATTGAAGCTGAGATTCATGCACAAGAGGTGACCAAGGCTGCTAGAGCCGAAGCTGAGAACAAGGCAGCCGCACAGAAGAAGGCGCAAGAGGAGGCTGAAGGCGCTCGCATTGAAGCCGAGAGGAATGGACAAGAGCTGGCAGAAGCTGCTAGAGCTGTAGCTGAGAAATTGGAAATCGAGAAGAAGGCACAGGAAGAGGCCGAAGCTGTTAGAGCTGAAGCTGAAAAGAAGATAGCCGAAGAGAAGAAGGCTCGAGAGGAGGCTGAAGCCGCTCGTATTGCAGCCAAAACGAAGGCACAAGAGGTAGCAGAGGCTGCTAGAGCTGAAGCTGAGAAGAAGGTAGCCGCAGAGAAGAAGGCTCGAGAGGAGGCTGAAGCCGCTCGTATTGCAGCCGAAAGGAAGGCAGAAGAGATAGCAGAAGTTGCTAGAGCTGAAGCTGAGAAGAAGATAACCGCAGAGAAGAAGGCTCGAGAGGAGGCTGAAGCCGCTCGTATTGCAGCCGAAAGGAAGGCAGAAGAGATAGCAGAAGTTGCTAGAGCTGAAGCTGAGAAAAAGATAGCTGCAGAGAAGAAGGCTCGGGAGGAAGCTGAAGCCGCTCGTATTGCAGCCGAAAGGAAGGCACAAGAGGTGGCTGAAGCTGCTAGAGCTGAAGCTGAAAAGAAGGTCTCCAAAGAGAAGAAGGCTCGGGAGGAAGCTGAAGCCGCTCGTATTGCAGCCGAAAGGAAGGCACAAGAGGTGGCTGAAGCTGCTAGAGCTGAAGCTGAAAAGAAGGTCGCCAAAGAGAAGAAAGCTCGGGAGGAAGCTGAAGCCGCTCGTATTGCAGCCGAAAGGAAGGCACAAGAGGTGGCTGAAGCTGCTAGAGCTGAAGCTGAAAAGAAGGTCGCCAAAGAGAAGAAGGCTCGGGAGGAAGCTGAAGCCGCTCGTATTGCAGCCGAAAGGAAGGCACAAGAGGTGGCCGAAGCTGCTAGAGCTGGAGCTGAAGCTGAAGCTGAAAAGAAGGTCGCCGAAGAGAAGAAGGCTCGAGAGGAGGCTGAATTCGCTCGTATTGCAGCTGAAAAGAAGGCACAGGAGGTAGCAGAGGCTGCCAGAGCCGAAGCGGAAAAGAAGATAGCCGAAGAGAAGAAGGCAGCCGCCGCAAAGAAAGCAGAGGAAGAAGCTGAGACTAGTAGACTAGCTGAAGAAAGGCAGGCACAGGAAAAGGCCAAAGAGGATGCCGACAAAATTGCAGCTCAGGAAGCAGCCGCAGAAAAGAGAGCAAAGGACGAGGCCGAAACAACCAGAGCTCGAGTGGAGAAGATTGCAGCCGAAACAAGAGCAAAGGAAGAAGCTGATGCTGCCGCCGTAGAGAAGAAGGCACAGGAAGACGCTGAGGCAGAAAGGATGGTAGCTGATACGAAAGCACGAGAGGAGGCGGAAGAAGCCAGAATTTCAGCTGAAAAGAGGGCAAGCGAGAAGAGACTCAGAGAGGAAGCAGAGGCCGCTAGAATTGTAGCTGAGAAGAAAGCTCGAGTGGAAGCCGAGGCCACAAGGTTGGCTAAAGAGAAGCGTGCACAAGAAGAAGTCGAAGCTGCCAGAATTGCCGCGGAAAAGGCTGACAATGAGAAGAAGGCTCAAGTAGCTGCTCAAATTGCCCGAAAGGAGGCCGAAGGTGCACGAGTTGCAGCTGACAAAAAGAGGCAGGCAGAAATGGAGACTGCTAGACTAGCCGAAGAGAACCGAGCAAAAGAAGAGGCTGAAGCCGCCAGAGTTGCTGCTGAAAAGGCTACCGCTGATGTAAAAGCAAAAGAAGTCGAGGCGGTCAGAATTGCCATGGAAAGGGCTGAAGCTGTTCGAGTAGCATCCGAAAGGAAGGCCAAAGAAGATTCTGAAGTAAAAGAACCAAAGAAGGAAGTAGGGGAAGCAGAGATCGCTCTATACAGGGATGGAAGGAGTCTACAAATGGTACCGATGAGAAAGTTGACAGGCTTGGGATATACTCTTTCCGATGTCTCAAAGCTGGAGAGCGCCGCTTTGGCTATCATTGTGGAGGATAGCATTCCTCGCCCTAAATCTGGAGTTCCATCTCAGTGGAAGGTTAGGAATCCCGAATCGAGGAGTGACATTGTGTTTGCAGCTACAATTGAAGAAGCAAAAAAGATAATGCAATCTGACCTTGAAACGCAGAGTAAACGAAGGACCAATGGTCGACAAAGAGTGCAGGGGCAAGGGACTGACAATTCGGAAGAGAAATCATCCGAACCAAACTTATCCAGAGAGCCATCTTCGGGTTCTCGTCAGAGAAGAACCTTTGAAAAAAGGGAATTGTCTGAAAATGAAACTGAAAGTATTGACTCTGAGAGCCCGGTAACCGCCCGTGCATCCGGTCAGGCCCCGGTAGAGAATCAGGATTTCACACCTGATGGAAGGAGGATGAGAAGCCCACAAAAACCGAGCATTTCAGAAAGCGATACCCTGAACGAAAAGCGAAGTCGCCCTCGACCCCCAGGCTTTGCAACGAATGGTGCTACCAGCAATCGTCCAAGACCACGTACAAAACGAGGGGATGAGGCGTCCAGACGGATCTATGACGTGCGCAGACCCTTGAACCCGAAGGCTTCGTCTCCATCCAGACCAGACCCCCCTTCTCCTTCAATGTTTTGGCCTGATATCGATACCTTCCGCGGTCTTCTTCGTAGTGAAGCACAACTTCGATTGCGCCTTCTTGGGTCCGACTGGGAGAAGACCGTCAGACAAGAGAGTGAATGGAGATTGGATTTGTACAAAGAATGGCTTTGGACATTGCACAACGGAGTTGGGGAGTCCATGGTTCCACCAAGCAGATACGAACGTGCCAGACGAACACAAGTAAGTGGGGAAGGAAGAAAGCCCAGAAGAGATAAAGTGAAGACAGACAGCGCACCAAATGATGGAAACAAAAGGAGTCGTGACCGACGCTCTAGATAGCTATGACAAACCGATAGAAGAATAAATCAATTCAAAAGACTATTTGGTAATTTTTCCCAATTCTATGGTGTTATATACAGCCAGCAGGTATTTCATCAAACGGACACGACTTGTACTTGCTTCCATCTCTTTTGACAACACTTCTGATCTCGTGCTCGAGTTTAATGATAGGCCCATGTTCAACATGATCAGGGTCGACAATATCTATGCATCGAAACATGCAATCATCAACGGCTTCCTCCAAGGTGTATGCCCGGCGCTTGAACCTGGGGTTGACATATGCCAAATTCAAGGCATCGGCCCGTTTGTATGACGACGGGAGGTCCTTGACGTACATGGAGATATGAGGCCCATAATTGCTCAGGTATATTGGATGCCCTTCTGAGTCATCGGCTGCCTCATTTCGAAGATCGACATGGCTATCAATTGTGGTTTGACTGTTCTCTTGAAACGTCAGGGTTTGGGAAGGACCGACCTGAATCGTGACAGAGTGTTCGCTTGCATCCTTGACAGTAGCTCCAAGAACTCGTTCGTAAAATCTTCCGATTCCTCCTAAATTTGAATTTTCTGGTACATGAATCTTCAGATCTCTCATGGCCAAACCTTCTGATCTTTCTCCTGGTTGTTTTCCACGGGAATCCTGATCTACGGATGCGTCACCACGCAGCAGATTGAAGACACTGCCCCATGGATCCATGACAAGAACACCACCGTCACTTGCACTCTTCACTCCGAATTTACTTCCGTCAAGACTTGATTTTGCAGCTTGTAGTCGCTCCCTGAGCTTTGACAAGTCCGGATATGCCAACGTGATGACACCGTCAAGCACCTGGGCTTCAGGCTTGCCTTCAGGCAAATGAAACTGGTTGGCACCAATGTTACACCATATAGTTTTCTTCCCGCTAACAACATTTTCCATTTTGCGAGGATCAAGAGCACATTGCAAGAAATCAACGTAAAAAGCTTTCAGCCAGTCATGTCGTCCTTTTTCGTGATTGATATTAAGGTGATCCAAAATCAATACGTTGTTGTTACTCAGTTCTCCACTTTCCGCTCTATACAAAGACGATTCTGTATTCCTCGTGGAGAAGCCTTCGCCTTCATTTCCAAGCAAAATTATCAGCAATGAGAGAAAAATAAAGCTTGCAGAACCTACGAAACACTTCATCCTCTTTCCTCTGCTGCGGCCACATTTTGATGCGTCGACGCTGACAAAATAGATGTGTCGTCCAAGAGTTGACGTATGCTGACGTCATGCCCAAAAATCATGACTCAGGCACATCAAATTCCGCCACGATTGAGTAATTCGAAATTCTGAGCGTAAACCACCTATCATCCATCATCATCAAATCCAGTATATACTGTAGCATACGAATTGCATACTGTACTCTCACTTTTCAGCATCTCGGATCTAAATCATCATGCAGTTCTCAATATTATCATTTCTGCTGTTATCAAGTCTCCTAATCTTGGAGCAATCCACGGCCTATGTTCTTTCCAACAAAGCTGCATCCACCAGCAGTGTATCACCCACCATCACCAAGAAGTCAGCCTACGCTCCTAGAAGAACGACGGACACGACAAAGATCGGAACATTGGAAGTGCCAAACGTTGGAATTGGAACTATTTCCTGGTCCAGCGATGACTGTAAGTTTGCCCTTGGTCCTTCATTCGCAACCGAAGAATTCAAAATTTCACCCTTCCGATACTGACTGAATGATTCTCCTATATATATATTCATTCGTACTACAGTTTTCAACCTTGAAAACAAAGAGTTGGAGCGAGTCGTTTCAAAAGCGTATGCATCAAATTGCGCCTTTGCTGATACTGCAGAACGCTATGGCAGTCACATGAAGACGGCTCTTGGCATGGGATATGGGGACACCGAAAAGATGACTAGCAAATTTTTAAATCGAGCAGAGGAAGCGCAGGGCCCAAGCAGAGTAAAACCTGTCATTGCCACTAAGTTTACACCTATTCCATGGCGAACGACAGCACAGAGTGTGGTTGATGCTTGTGAGCAATCACGAAAAAACCTTGGCGTTGAACAAATTGACCTGTACCAAATCCACATGCCGGACATTGTGCAACCTCTCCGATTCCTTGGAAAAGATTTCGCAAAAGACGAGATCTATTGGGATGGCTTGGCTGAATGTTATCACAGGGGTCTAGTCAAGAACGTGGGAGTATGTAACTATGGTCCAACACTCGTGGAAAAGTGTCAACAACACTTGGCCAAACGAGGCGTACCCCTGGCATCGAACCAAATCGCCTACTCTTTGTTGGGTCGTCATGATGGCGCTCAAGAGACCCTCGACAAATGTAAGCAGCTTGGCATCAAGACCCTTGCATACTATCCATTTGCCATGGGATTGTTGACCGGAAAATACTCCAAGGAACTTCTAGCTTCTGAAGGCTGTGATGACAAGGAGATGTCGTTGATGAATGCTCAAAAGACCAGCTTGGAACTCAAGGATCTAAACAAGTACGCCAATGGGGACGGACTCGACATTCCGGACGGTGGTATCAACCCCTTGATCACCACCATGCTAACCATTGCAAAGAGAAGAGGAAAGACTTTGTCTCAAGTCGCCTTGAACTATATCATATCCAAAGGAGCCATCCCTATTCCTGGATGCCGAACGGTTGCTCAGCTCGAAGAGAACATCGGAGCACTTGGGTGGAGATTGAGCGCTACAGAAGTTAAAATGCTTGAACTTGAGGCAGACAAGCTAGGCTTCGGCTTTGACGGTGCTGGCTTCAAGCGTACGAGTGAGAAGTTTGTAGGATATGGAGTGGAAAAGTTCCGATTGGAGTGAGCTGTGCTTGCTGTGGGAACAGGCACTTGTGTCATTAGATATCAGCGCCTGTATAATTTCTAATTGTTTGATAGCTCCATTATTCGACGTACAGACAGGTAGATGCACCACCCGCTTTCGGTTTCACCTCCAGGGACGGCCGGGAAAATCAACATTTACTCCCAAGAATTGTATGCTAAATTTCTATTTCCCGGCCGTTCCAGTTTTTGTGCCGTAGGACCACTTTTTGCCGCGACTTCCACAGCAGTACAAGTACACGTAAAGTACAGTGCCGTATTCCACCTATTCTCTTGATTCCACGGTACATTTTGTACTGGTATGCATTTTTTCCATCATAGCGGCACAGTGTCCTGAAATACCTTCCTTCGCTCCTCCGCCGTTCCTGCGTGGGCTTTTTTCTCAAATAATAACGTCGAACACGCACAACCAAAGGTTTTTCAGGCAACTTGAAACTGGCTCACAGCTCACAGCTGCAAAAACGCTCCTCAGCAGAGCAAAAATCAATAAAAAAGACGCGATCACGCAAAAGCACAAAAAAAGGACATCGTTGCAAAAATAAAAATCAAGCTCAAACCTTTTCGTCAAACAAAAGACGCACACTACAAAGATGGTTGCGCAGCAGATAACTATCCCTGATGTTAGAGAAAGGACATTCGAAGAGAATGCAGTAATGGAGATTAAAGCACAGGAAGAAACAGGACTCCACCCTGCTTGGCTTGCAAGTCTTAATGGTCCAAACAACGTTCGCGGTCTGTCTCTTGGTCAATTGAACAACATTCCATTTGCCAACCTTCCTTTCGGCTATCCGTTCGGACTAAATGCTGGTATTCCTCCCGCCCTGCAAGCCCATCTCTTGATGGGAAGACCTCTTCTAAACGCGTTTTCTGGCCTTCCTAACACCACTCGCCTTTCACAAAACACGCCCGCTTTGGCTCAGTTTGCGCCTGGAATCCAAGCTCTACAAGGCAATCCTTCACAACAGCACTACATGTCAAGCAAAGAAAGTGGAATGCCTAGTGCTACCGAGATCAAGGAAGCAATTGCTACTCTAGCAGCAGCTGCTGCTGCGCCGACAGGTCCAATTACATCCGCTCCAATACAGTCTACTACTACTGGCACATCGCAGACTTCTCTACCAACCGTTGTCTTCATGGAATGTGACAGAGAGAGTCTATCTGATTACCAGTGCTTGTTGCGAAAACAAATCGAGCTCTTCGAAGCGTAAGTACATTGACCTGTGTCTTCATCTTTGGTCATTTTATTGTTACGACGACCTTTGCTCACATTACATCTATCAACTCCAGATCTGCACAAGATGTTCAATGGAATGCTCAAGGACGAAACAAGCCTATTGTGCTAGGGCAAGTCGGCATTAGGTGTAGATGGTGTGCCAATCTTCCTACTTGGTCTAGATCAAGAGGCGCTGTCTATTACTCTGCAACTTTGGACGGACTTTACCAAGCCGCTCAAAACATGGCCAAGAACCACATCTGCAAGAACTGTAGATACATACCAGCAGATGCCAGCCAAGAACTGACTAGCCTGCGGGAATGCAAGCGCAGAGCTTCCGGGGGGAAGAAATACTGGGCAGAAGGGGCAAAGGTACTCGGAGTCTACGAATGTGAAGATGGTTTGCGGTTTAAGAACTCCAAGACCCCAGTAGTACCGCCCACCAAACGCATTGAAATTGAACAATAATGCAACTAACTAGATGTATTTATTGATGATACATCATAAATATTAATACATCAGCAATGTGTTTGTATTTTACTTTTGTACTGAACGTGTTTTTAAAAAAATACCAATATTTTTTTGAACTGCTTGTAGCTCGTCGTCGTACCAAGAATGGAGAAGGCATGACACGTGATGTTTTCTCCAAGCGCTATTAATATCATACTTGACGTGTTCGTCTCCGATAAATTCGTCGAAACCATTGTCCATAAGTGGCAGGCCCAATCTATTTTGGCTTCTAAATGTGGCGGTGGCTTCAAAAATTCTGATCCATTGTAAGCGTAAACACGTACTGTACCTACGTTCCACAAAAAGGACGAGAAAGGTTTTCGTGATGATGCCTACTTAACGGTAGGTTTTGCATCGGAATCAAAAATCTTTTTAATTGTCCCGATTTTAACTGCGAAACATACCGGTACTCACGAGGAACGCCAAATATCCAAAAACCGTACTAAAAAATCCAAAACCTCGGATGGGACAGCTAACAATGGCTCAAACACGTAAGAACATTCAATGCATAGCGGATTCACGACCTTATGACCAAAAGTGTTCTCGTCTGCGTTAAAGGTCGGAGCGAAGTCTGAACCAAATGAGGGCTACCAACCGAGTGATCGAGATATCATGATGTGCTCACTACAGTAACAGGGACACTCTCCTTCACTACTATCGCTACTACTAGTGCAATTGGAATAGAGACGGATGCAATCAATGGGCACACAACAACAGTCGTGCTGAACTGCACACCGAAATACGTACTGAAAAAAAACCTATTCGGTACGTTTATTTTATATTTGCCTACATTTAAATTATAAAAGACACATTTCTGGTTGCTCTTCGTCTCGAAGTCAAGTTCAACTTGCCCAAGCGCTGAGCGGCATTTGTGGTCGTATTTTCATGAACGAGTAAATGTTGTATGACCAAGCTGCGTCAAGAGCTTTTTTGATACCGTTGGTGGCTCATGATCTGGCGTAGGGAATGTTCGCTGGATTTTGCACCATCGGGAACCCCAACGTAAACCGAGTAGAAAAAACGGGGATGCTTTTTTTTTATCAGCGTGGAAGAAAAACCACCGTTTTGTTCATTTTTCAGGAAAACAAAAAGCGGAAAGCCATCTCACATTACACATTGTAATGATCAGCGTACAAAATATGAACCTTCCAGAAGATGATAAGACATCAGAGCAACAACTTGCAAGAAGTGATGCTCTGCAGCATGTGGGATTGAACCCGTCTTTGTTTGCCAGTCTTGCTGGCCAAGGCTACAACGTTCCCAGCTCGTTGAATGCGAGCTCATTGAATGCCAGGCAGCAAGCTGGTCTTGGACTTGGATACCCACTGGGTTTCAGCGGCAGCATTCCTGCTTCGCTGCAAGCCCAATTGTTGATGGGTAGATCTCATCTACTCAATCCATTCCCCGGCCTATCGGCTTCATCTCATCTGAATCCCTTGAATCAATCCGCTTTTGCTTCTGGCATGCAAGCTCTACAACAAAGTAATGGATCGCAAGATCAACAGCAGTCGCAACAACGTGGACGACCAAATGCCAACGAGATCAAGGAAGCGCTTGCTACGCTAGCTGCAGCTACTGCCCCAGTTGGTGCTTCATCAGGGCCTCAAAAGTCGACCTCGGCCACAACCCAGGCTTCTCTACCAGTCGTTGTCTTTATGGACTGTGATGAAGAGAGTCTGTCTGACTACCAATGTTTACTGCGAAAGCAAATCGAGCTCTTTGAAGCGTAAGTACACTCTGATTTTGTCGTTATGATACTAATCATAATAGACGACACCATCTTTTCTCACACTTTCACTCGCCACTTGTTGAATACAATGCAACAGAACTACCAATGATGTCCAATGGAATGCTCAAGGCCGAAACAAGGCTATTGTTCTCGGCCAAGTCGGTATTAGATGCAGATGGTGTGCTAACCTTCCCACTTGGTCTAGATCTCGAGGAGCTGTCTACTATTCCGCCACATTGGACGGACTATATCAAGCTGCCCAAAACATGGCAAAGAACCACCTTTGCAAGCACTGCAGATACATTCCTGCTGACGTTCGTCAGAATCTGACTGGGCTACGGGAATGCAAGCGCCGTGCCGCTGGCGGAAAGAAGTATTGGGCAGAGGGGGCAAAGGTTTTGGGAATCTACCAATGTGAAGATGGGCTACGTTTCAAGAACTCCAAGATCCCAGCACCAGCCAAGAACAACAACAGTGAGATCGAAAGGCAATCATCACAACTAACAATGTAAACTACAGTGCAATATAGAACTTTGAGCTATCACCATTTTCTTGAAGAGTCACTTGTCGAATCATGACACGCAAAACCATACTAGCTTAACCCTAACCCTAGCTTTCATCATTTTCTTCCAGAGACATTGTGGCGCCAATTGAAAGGAACGGGACAGCACGAAAGTCGTTGAGGGGAACGCAAAAAATCATCTAGAAAACCATAGGTTTATACCAAAGGCGCTCCTAAGAACATCGGTATCATTAAATGGCCGTAAAAAGTGGTACACATCGATCTAACGCAATGTGAAAAGGCAATTCGTCTAAAAAATCAGGGAGGCTCGAAGGCTCGAGGCGAATTGTTTTCTGCGAGTTTGAAGGCGGTAGCAGAATTTCTGCAATTCCGGTCGATTGATCATTCATCCCAGTCGTGTCATTTTCAATATTGACGAATTGGACGCACCAGCTAGTGTTGACGGAGGTGTTGATTTGCACAGGCTGAATGAAAGTACAGGTTGAAATCATTAGTGCAATCCTTTGCTGCAATAAAACTATGAAAAGTTTGGATGTAATTAGAATTGGAGACCCACTGTAGGCAGTATTGCTTGGTGGTTTGTTAAAACTACAACTCGCGCACCTCCATCCTCCCTACGGTAGATTCGTTGTTTGCAATTGGCGTGTTCGTTGTTTACAATTAGCGGGTTCGTTGTTTACAATTAGCGGGTTCGTTATTTGCAATTAATAGGGAACGGACAAAACGAACTCTTTCGAGTTCCTGGTGTTTTCCTTCTCACTTCTGGTCAACCACTGTCACTGGTACACGTACCGGTACCGGACGTGTACCTTTTTATAGTCGTTACATGTCCAAGCTAGCTGATGCCCGCTCCGCCCGCAACAGTATTTCTTTTTATCACAAACACCAGTCCTTGTACACAAGATGTACGGTATTAGTAAATGTGAAAACTTGCATTATAATAACATGCAGTTCACAATCTACAGCAGTAAGGCACCATGCTAGCTGCTACAAAGTCACTGCATCCAGCCAGTAGCCTATCTATTGCCCACTCTCTACTACAAAAAACGTCAAAAGGAATGCAATTTCCCCCTAAAATCAGCATCTAGATAGATACGAGTACCTAAGAGTTCCTGGTTTGTTGCTTTCAGTTCTACCGCCGGTACCAGTACCAGGTACCTGGTACCGGTTCGGTCACGGTATGTCAGGATAGAGTCGTCTGTCCGTCATACATAGCACAGTAACGTAACCACTCTTTACACTAGTTCTTGGCGATTAACACGTCCTTGCTCATACCAACGTCTGAGCTCATAGATGAGTCCTACTAACACTCCCGTCACTCCTGTTGGAAAGCCAACCTGCTCAACAGAATGACGAATCTGAAAATTCTGAAGTTGAAGACTTCGAAATGGTTCAGAAACCTGCTCCAGCAGCAACTGTGCTGGTAACATCCTCACGACCACCATTCTTGGACGATGATATCAAAGTCATCAGCTCTTTAGTTTGGGTCACCCACAACGCTGAGAAACAGAAGGAAATTAAAGACTTTCTTGATTCGGCAGGCATTTCGGTTTGTTGCTTTCAGTTCTACCGCCGGTACCAGTACTCGTACCAGTGGTACCGGTCACAGTGCAATATATAATCAATCAAGCCAATTGAAATCCGCGCCAAAATGCATTCGTGAATGCAGTCACGAGTCTGCTTCCGGGTTTCAATTTTTGCATCGAATAATGGATATCGTTGCAATAGCATTATTGCATCGCATTGCGTTTACCACGTAAAAAACAACGAGCTTGGAAGCTTCTCCCCCATGGTATTTGGGACCTCCTGTCGATTCCATCTACTGTCTTCCTTCTTCCTAGTCATGCAAACATGCCAAGCATTTCATTTCTACAGGCAGGTACAAAAGCCAGCAACTCACGTTCAACGACGAATTTCCACGATACGGAATGGAAGACATCCGGACTTGCACGGCCGTCGAAGCTTGTCACAAGCTAGCTTTCCTATCAGTCTATTGGCATCTAGTAGTAATGACGATATTACCGAACAACTTTCTTCGCTATACGATGAAATCACAAGACTGAACAATGGATCACCTGTGAATGTCAGAAGTCCAAAACAAGTGTCGACTGCCATTTTTGGAAGTCCTCAGACGGCCACAAAATCGATACTGATGCAGGTGGCCAATGCTGGCAATGACAATTATTCAGCTTATAGCGATTTAGAAGAGGAAAAGAAGGAGCTTGCACGATTAGTTTTGGAGTATCGGGAGTTGATGAATCATAGCAGGGCCACTTCAGAAGTTAATAACGATTCTGATCCGAATGATATGCTCAAGGTAGCCAGCGAAAATCTGGAACAAGCGGAAGACTCCTTGAATTCAGTGGATGTGCAAGACACGCAAAATAAAATGGTGACTACAGACGATCTTGTGGAATCCTTCTTCTCCGCAAAACAGTCCAAGATTGATCCATATTGGAAAGAACCACTTTCTAAGCTGTCCAAGTCTACCGCCCGAGCATTGCTCGAACAATTGGACCCATTCCAATGTCCTATGGGTTATGATCCAAGCGCAGTCCCTCGTGGAAGTATCAAGAAACCAGCTGCCACAACAACGGCTGGAAAGAAAGGAAGCTTTCTATCGTTTTGTCGCCAACAAAAGCAAGAATACCCCCAATGCGTTCTTCTTGTCCGGTGTGGTGACTTTTATGAAACCTTTGGTCTCGATGCGATTATGTTGATCGAGCATTTAGGCCTGAATTCGATGGCTGGCAAGGCAAGAGCTGGCTGTCCATACCGAAATATTCAGCCCACTCTAAATGGACTGACGCAGGAAGGATTTACAGTGGCAGTGTTTGAAGAGACTGGATCCGTGGGAAACAACAAGCTCAAGTCACGATTCCTTTCGCAGATTGTTTCCCCTGCCTCACCAACGTATTTGTATGACAATTGGTTGCTGGGAGGAGGGGATCACACCCAACATGGTTCGCTGGAAGGATTGCCTCCTTCGAGGCCATGCGTTGGGATTGTGCAAACTGCAGCTGGGTACAACTTAGTCGAAGTTTCGCTGGAGGAAAGATCAGTGGCCTACTCCGAACGGTTGACTGCAGAAGCCGTGGCTTGTCGCCTCGCGGCGTATCCTCCAGCCGATCCATTGATCTTCATACCATCTACTGCTATGGATCATGTAGCGTCGAAAGGACAACAGTTGCCCTTCCTATCAAATGCAAGATCTACGACAATCGGAAGTGACGGTGAGCAAATTGTTGAGTCATCAATGGGTGGGTATCGTCTTAGAACTCGGATATTACCTGCGCACTTGATTCAGAAACCATTGGAAGGGATTTCGGACTCGGATCGATACATCAAAGCTGTGGTTGATAATTTGGTGGACATTAACTGGGCGCACTTTGATCAGACTGAAAATGATGAGGTATCCAACGATCGACCCACTGTTGACGACTTTGTTGTTTCCTTGGCGTCCACTGCAACAAACCCACTTTATGTCGAAACAGCAAACCAGCTGGGGCTTTTAGACAATCCCAGTATTCCGTCTCTGGCATCTTACGTTTTAGACGAAGCAGCACCTGCCCCCACGCGGCATTTCCTCAAGCGATACCTCCTCGTGCCTCCACCTCCGTCGATTGCCAGATCCATGTCAGAATTAGTCGAATCGCTGTTGAATCCATATGCCAATCCACTTCCCCCATTGACAGTCCCACCCATTGGAAAGGTTCTAAGTCTGATTCGCGCTGGGCAGGCATCCGCCAACATCTATGGCGAGCTGCTTCAAACTCTGTCCAATGTCGAACTCGTTCTCGCTGAGAAAAATGGTGGACTTCCGACAGCAGCTCTGTTGGCACTCTGCGAACACGAAAGTGGCATCCCTTGCTCAAGAGACTCTCTTGTTCAAAGGTGTAATAATGCAGTGGCTGTTATTGAATCTGTGATTAGTTCCATCTACCATGTCACCAATTCCGGTGTTTCGGAAAATGATCGTTTTGACTCAATTACCATGGACGATTTCGTTTCTGATGCCTTTTTCGAACGCAATGAGGCACCTTGGCGTGGAAGGATTCAACGAAAAGTTGCAATGAAAACCTACAGTAGAGTTGAAAATGCAGCACAGAATTTCCGACATGCGTTGGCTAGTGACTTCATATCGGATTCGGCTTCCAACAAAGCGCTCATCATTCACGACTTTTACAACAACTTGATCGCACTCAAACAAATACCCAACACCCATCTCAAGAAAGAAGACTACTTTCATCCAAAGGATAGGAACGGAAAGCTGCTGCGCAATCGGTACACCACCACCAAAGTGCAAACTGCACTTGACGAGTATATTGCTGCTTGTGATCAAGCCTGCGAGGAAGTTTCAACTATCCTCTCAAACCTATCGAAAAACATTCAAGAAGAGGGACACATTCCAGCTATCGTCCAAGCGTCGCATCTAAATCTTATTCTTTCTACAGCATACCATCATGCAGTCAAGGCATCCAAACAGAAATGGAATCTTGCCGAAGTTTTGGACGACACTGAAGAATCGAATATTGCTGAAACAGGAACTATGCATATGAAGGACGTTTGGCCATACTGGATGCCAAAAACCCAAGCAGTACCGAATACTTTCGATTTAAATGGTCTCTTTCTGCTTACAGCTCCAAACATGAGTGGTAAATCTACCATAATGAGATCCACTGCGGCCGCAGCTCTGCTTTCCATTTGCGGATTCTGTGCTCCTCTCAGCCGTGGTTCCAGAATTCCACGATTTGACACCCTTTTCCTGCGAGGTGCGTCTGCTGATGTACCGACGGAAGACAAATCTGCATTTGGTGCAGAAATGGGTGACATTGCTGCCTTGATGCGATGCTGTGGACCGAAGTCCTTGATTTTCGTCGATGAACTAGGCCGGGGCACTTCGCCGAGGGATGGGACAAGATTGGCGGGAGCAGTTCTTGAGGCCATGGCACAGCAACGAATGAATGGTATCTTTGCTACACATTTGCATGATATTTTGGACCTTCCTTTGAATTGGAAGGATCGAATAGCGAACAAGCGCCTCGCTTTAGAGGAGGACGATGGGTCATACAAGTGGACCTATCGATTAGAGGATGGGGTTTGCAAAGATTCGTTGGCGCTGGTTACTGCTGCTCGATTCGGAGTCCCCGATGAAATCATTCGCCGAGCTGAAGAGTTGGCTCAGTACTTGCCGGAGGCTGGCAATGTTGCCATTCCCCAGATCGAAGGCCAGGATGCTGCTGACCAACCGACAACACACCAGCAAGGACGATCCACCGAAAGCGCCACTACAAAGCAAGATGACATCGAATTCCGACGAGCAATCGATATGGCCGAAGAATTGACTGGGCAGCCATCGATATCAATCCCTCCTAGATGGAGTGCACCACCAGCACTCTGCAGCAATCAGTCATGCGTATATGTGATGGAATTGAATGCAAACCCGCCAAGTTACTACGTTGGAGAAACTGATTCCTTATCGCAACGGCTGAAGAAACATCGTAGCAAAGGCGCAGCCTGGTCCTCGGCTCGCGCAGTTGCCCTTCCTGTTTCGGACAAATCCGAAGCGAGGGCATGGGAAAGTCAACTGATCCAGAAAATGGTCCAGGCTGGCTTCCGAATGGAGTCGATCACTGACGGCAGAGTCCTTCGACATCTGTAACTTAATATAGTTTTTCGTGAACTTGCTATTAGCCAATAGGAGTTAGGTTCCTATTGATCTCCGCTCTCTTCCGCATCTTCAAATTGACCATCTAGTATAGGATCATCAAATTGACCCTCTTGAATTTCATATTCTGGCTGAACGACGAGTATGCTATCCAGACGATCTAACATCGCTTGACGCTCATCATCTGTTGCTCCTCTCTCTTCGTCTTCAAAAGCGTCAGTTCCAAACCCTCTGGAGGCTGGTGCCCAAATCATGTCTTCTTGCCCAAACATCTCGTCCCCTTCATCATCGTCACCATCACATGGGTGCAGAGACACCAGTTTGCAAAGCGCATTGAAGAAATCTTGACACATATTTGAGTCCAACGGAGTGAATGTTGCTTCAAGAGTCTCGCATCCATCTTCTTGAAGCTGCAAGTATATCGATAGTTCTGGTTCCTCAGTCATGGCGTGCATCAGTATGCAAGTAGCTCCAATTGCAACATCATTCGACGCGTCTTCACACGCAAATAAGATTTGCGAGGAAGAGATGAAGACATTCCCAGTCACATCTTCTTTGTTTACTTCAGTCTCACCGGCGGGCTTCTCTTCTGAGGAGGATCTTTGCCACTCCAATCGACAGGCAATGGGAGATGCCACAAACACAGGATCGCCCCGCTGTTCTAAGAATGCTTGTTGGGAGTCAATAGTCTTGAGTGCTGATAGATCAGCAGCCTCTTCACGAAGAATGACATGAGGAAACTGATCCTCGTTGACCATGAACATGTTACCTTCCTCTGTCATTGTAATTCAAAGTATTGGAGCGTTGTGATTCGACGACCAAGAGTTATTTCATTCATTCTTTGGTTCCTTTCGACTCACACAAGTCGACTTTTCGCGCGCTTTCGCACAACTTTTAGGACATCAAATTTCGGATCACTTTTTTCGAAAAACCGTTGCAAACAAGGATCACAAACAATAGCAATCACAGCTGCTCCTACAAACATATCCCTAATTCACAGTGTAATTGCCAGCCACAATGCCTCTCCAAGCTATTGACAATACATGCCCTACAGGTCGTGATAATAAAATGATCCGTCAAATCGATTCGAGCTCAAACATCACCGATCTTCGCGATTTCGTCTGTAGCAACCCAAAACTGTTCCAACGATTTCGCGTGGCCAAAGCTTTCTGCTGCAAGATTGAATCGATGCCATCGATGCCAGTAATGCCTGATGGAAGAGTTTTATCCTATGTGATAAGTATTCTATCTCAGATGAAAGTGACATATTCGACCAAAGCAATGTTTGAAAAAATGATGCACAACCTTGCCAAAATTGCCACCCGTGGACTTCATCAGTTCAGAGCAAGAGACATTGCATTTATTGTACACCATCTATTCAAGAAGAATATTCAAAACAAAGCCATTTTTGAGGCTGTCGGGGAAGTTATGCTGTCACGATTCCAAGACTTTTATCCAAAGGACATTGGCATGATTCTTTGTTCTTGCAGCAGACTTGGATTCAGAGCAATGCCCTTTGCTGATGCATTGGCAGACTTGATTATGCCCGAGATGGATTCCTATGAAAGCAAAGATCTTTCCAGTGTCATCTACTCATTCGGTGCAATGCGTGAACCCCGAATGGATATGCTCAGAAACGCGGCGTCGGCCGCAGTCGGTATTTCTTCGACATTCGATTCCCGAGATATGACTCGCATGCTTCGATCGTTTGCCATGGCTGGGTATTGGGACGAGGAGCTGGGAGAGACCATGGCAAAGCAAGCAATTTCAATTATGAGTACATTCAGCACCCTCGATGTTGGCCAATTGGCGGTCGCATTTTGCCAACAGGGGAAGCCCCAACGAGAACTCTTTTTTGCTATCTCAAAGCACGTTACTCAAAATTGTCACAAAATGACAGCTGAGGATATCTGCAATATCGTGTATTCATTTACATATTTGAACCATGGATGTCGAGCCTTCTACGATGAAATTGCATCAGCAGCAATTCTCATCATGGATACATTCAAACCATTGCACCTGCGATCTATCGTTTGTTCGTACTCCAAGATCAATTATTTTCATGCTCAGCTATTTGAAGAAGTTGCTGAGTCTTCCATTCTGAACATGGACTCATTCACTGTTCCATATCTGAAACAGCTTGTCAGACACTTTTCTAAGCTTCAGTACTACCACGAAGAGTTGATGCTAGAAGCTGGACGACAGATGGTTGATGAAAATGGGAAATTCCATGTGGAGACTCTCTTACATGTCCTGGACGCTTTCGCGATGCTGAATATCAAGCCTTCAATGCTAGAGGACCTCCATATCAAATGCAAGAATGTGATTCACATCTTGGAAACTACTGAAGAGCTCAGCCTGGTGAAATCACTCAGTCGTCTCCAGATGGAAGGCGATTGCATCGACAAGATCTCGCAGAAGATATCTGAGGATAGTCCTGACCTAACAAACGAGGAAATCGTTGAAGTTGCCAAAGTATTCACAATCGTGCAATACAAGAAGACTCAGTTTTGGACAGCGATTGGAAAAGAAATTCTTCGTCGTGATCATACCAAGTGGACTGTCAAGCAACTTGGGGTTCTATCTTCAGCCTTTGGTTCATTGTCGTCTTCCTTGTGTGCTGAACCATGGAGTGAGGTGGTTTCCAAGTGCTTCAAAATGTTCTTCATAATGTTTCAACTGAAGGAGTCATCCGAGATCACAATCCAAGACGTCGCGGCAGTATCCAGTGCAATTCCTTTTGGCAAGAGGGCAGGACTTCTCCCTTCAGGGTTCGTAGTCCAAGTAACTCGGCTTGCCATCAGCAAGGCACCGGAAGCTCGCCCTGATGACGTTCGTTGTATTTTGATCAACTTGTCTCAGATTGACCTTCCAATATCATCCCGTCGCAGATTTCTTGGTATCTACAGAGCCATCTTCAATGAAGTTTCTGTGTTCTTGAATTGTAAAGACTGCAAAAAGATCACCGAGGTCTATGTGGAGATGGATCAGATTCGAGATGATTCCACTTGGGCAAACAACTTCTCCTTTCTGAACATAACACTCTAGCCTTTCCAGCAGCCACTTTTACTCGAGGACGTGGGACGTGACTCAACCATTGTACTGTAGACTAGGTACATACCGGTAACCAGTTGGAACTATACACCTATATATATCAAACCATGGTGCACTTACGTATCAATACATATAGCACATAGTGCGCTGTCGTCCAATCTTGTCAAATTTGCCCACGACCTATCCAACTGTCGGAGAAAAGATTTCAAAATGAGTTTTGAGAAGTTGTCGATTTTTGGATGATTCTATGAGAAATCAGAGAAGGCCCAAAGGCTAACCACGTGGCCCTCGTATGTACAATCAGTAGTTAGCTCGGACAAATTTTTAGCATTCAACGCTTTTTCAGGAGGATTTGACGTCACAACTTGACGGTAGGATTGTCTCACAAATCAAAACATCTCACACATAGAACGCTTCCGTCTATTTTATAACAACAGCACCTTTATAGAAAAATACAAACATGCAAGTTTCGGATCGAACCAAACATTGTCTCGCCCTTACCCTCTTGGCAGGCCTGGCTTCCTATGTGATTTGGCATTTTGCAGGTACGAATGAATGAATGAATGAATGAACCAATCAATCTGAGTGTATACTATTTTTTCATTTTAAAATATCATGATCATTGGACTGACATGTTGGAAAACTCCTTGCGCACCTACAGGACGACCCGAAGTGGACATTGGAACTGACTTCTCCGGTATTTGGGCCGATCTATGGAATGAGGGACCCGAACTCAGTGACAACACAACCTATTACTGGCGCACTGGTGGGCGGGGTGGCCTCACGTTGGACTTGCTCAATCTTTTGGATGACACCTGGCAAGGAGAGTATGACATTGCTGCCAATGACTGGGAACAAGGTGATCCAGATGTTTTGACTCTACGATCCGAAAAGGGAGTCTCCAACATGCCCTGCACCATGGCATTTGGCGTCATGAAGATTTGCAACGAGAACTACGGTGATACTGGATGGCTTGGAATTAATGAGATCATCATTGGTGGATCAAACCAAAGGACTATCGAGTCCAGCCTGGCAAAAATGAATGATTACTACCTGGGACGAGCTTCCTTGGAGGAGCGCCGGTACACAAGTAAGTCAAAGACTCTGGCATTTATTCATGTAGTTGTCAATAAAATGATGGCTGTCAGGCACATTCTTGTCATTGGAAAAGCACTGTCTGACTCTTATCATCTCTTCTCTTTGCGTCGTACTTTAGTGTGTCATGAGCTCGGACATGGTTTTGGTCTCCCTCATACAGACGGTACGTGTGATGAAGGCATCAGCGGTGGTGTCCAATTTGCGATGTACTACCAGTTGACTAACAGCTCTACTTCTTCCCTTGTGGTCTTACAGAAAACTTTAACAATCGGGACCTAGGAAACTGCATGGATTATACCAATCGTCCTAGAAACAACTTGCTTCCTGGAAGAGACAACTTTTTGAGACTTCAAGAGATGTATGGGCTGCCCAACCAGCGACCACTTGACCCCGTTTCTCCAAATGACCAACCTGTAACACCAAACATGTTTGACCCAAACAACAGACCACAGGCGGAAGAAAATGCTCCCGGAGAGGATAAAAAAGAAAAGAAGGAGAATAAGGAAGATCGTAATCTGCGATCTCGTACAGTTGAAGAGCCGTCAGAAGGCCAACAGGAGCACTCGGAACTTCCCCGTCACTTGGCTCGAGAGTACAAAAAGGCCATGGCAGAACTGGAACACCACATGCAAATGCAGCAGCTAGAAAGCGACGAAGTCCAGGGTTCTGGATGGAGACGTCTCGAAGACCATTCCCATGGTGCCGAGTTTGTTCGACGTTTGGGCCAAGATCACCACATCAAGGTTCAGATGCTTTATGCATCACCTCAAAATTAGTTCCGTCGATGGCAGGAGAAATGGAAGGGATCGAACCATTTCAACTGCTAGGATACATGATAAACAGAAATATAGAACAATACATTATATTTGAATGGCATGTATGAACACATTCGGATTAGTGATGGGGCCGTGTGTCACTACTGTTTTTGAAAAAATGGTTTCAGTTCATTTTTGGAGGTACCGGTACTGTACGGTATTGTCTGTCGACAAAAATTCTGTATTGCCAATGCATCGCGCGCCGGCATGCACCCAGAGTGTGGAACGAGCTATTAACGACGGCAAAACTCCTAATTATGTCGACCGTGCAATTAAAGACTTGAATTTTTCGTGAAGATGGGAAGCTTCCGTGCGAGTTTTATCACGATTTTGAAACAGCCAATCGTTCATTACATCTTCCTGTTGAATTTCGACCTCCACTTAGACTAGATTCTTCACAGCCACACGATACAGACTTGGTGTAGTTACAATGGGAAAGGTTGCAAAGTGTTGTCAGTTGTCTTTTGCCGTCATCTTTCTCGGAAGTGGCGGCTACCTCATCTGGCACTTTCTAGGTCGGCCTGAATCAGGGACCCAGCTGAGGGACTCCCTCAATAACATTGATTTCGGTGATTTCACCAATGTTTGGGACAACTTGACCAATGATGCCTTTGATGATCTCTTGAAGAGTGATGCCGATCCTTCCGTTGGAGACAACACTACCTACGAATGGGAGAACGACAAAAATGGTCTCAGCTTGGAGGTGTACAACGCATTGGATGATACTTGGCAAGGAGAGTACGAGATTGCTATGGGTGACTGGGAGAACGGAACCCCGGACAGCCTGACATTGACTAGCACAAAAGTTACCGTTGATCGTGCTTGTACACCAGTCGATGGCGTGATGAAGGTCTGCAGTGGCAACTGTAAGTTTTTTCTTTTTTCACCATCATTGGATGAATCAATCGTGTGTTGATTTGGTGATGTCTCTCATATGAATCTTGCGATATGTTGGCCAACCAAATAGACGGAGAGACTGGTTGGCTTGGTATCAACGAACTTATCATTCTCAATAGAAGAACGATTAAGAACAGTGTCGCCAAAATGAACGAGTTCTACCTTTTGAACGCTGATGCCGACAAGAGACGGTAAGTTAATTCAATTGTACTCCGGATTTCCTTTAGTTTCGAGTGATTTTTTCATTCTTACACACTACTCTTCCCTTCAATATAGCTATGTCATGTGCCACGAGGTAAATATTGATGTTTTTGAGAATTCTAGAAGTTTTGAAAAGGTTTCACTGTTTCGACGAATCCTCAGCTCAACAATGTTTTTCGTTTCATTTCCTCTCCGTTGCTTCTAAAGATTGGACATGGTTTTGGATTACCGCATACCGGTAAGTTTGAGCTGTTACTATCGTACTAGGAGAAACAGAAATGGCTTGATGTCACAGGGAAGCTCACTTTATGCTTTCCATCATATTTTCACAGACGAACAATTTGACAATGTAAGGGGTCAGGGTAAACAGAATCGCTGGGGTCTCGAAGGCAATCAATCGCACTAACCTTTTCAACTGCCTCTTTTTTCACTATAGCGAGATTTAGGGGACTGTCTTGACTACACCAACACACCTCGGGTACGAATGACGAAATGCAACATTGAATCTTCGATTGGTTTCATTTGACTGACATTCTTGTTTCTTTAGAACAATCTTCTCCCTGGGGAAGTGAACTACAACAAACTACAGGTGCTTTATGGCACAGTGGGTGGTGGTGGACGCAAGTTGCGAGCAAAGGAGGTCGAGCCCACTGACATTCTCGGATTCAGTCCCGAGTTACTTGCCGAATACAACAAGGCAAAGCGTGAACTCGAAAACATCTCCAGGACACACTCCAGAAGGAGGCGCCATTTGAACGAACATGTAGGCGATGGCCATGAGATCTACAGCCGAAAATTGGACGACGAACACACGCTCCAGGTTCAAGTGCACTATGTTTGAGGATTGCACGTTGATCAAATTCAATATTATTTATCAAGTAGTAGCTATGGGTAATTTTTAAAAATCCAGTCTGTTACGTCTCCACTTTTACAACTGAAATACACCACATACTTGTGCTCCAAGCTGCAATCGCTAGTTGCTACAAGGTAGGTCGATCGTGTTTAAGTCGTGGGCGCCAATTGGTACTAAATCTACTGTAAATAAGGTCGAATATGAAAAAGAATTTTCTAAAAGTAATCAATATACACTATCACTTCTCGACGTACAAAGCACTTTCACAATAGATCGTAGTCAAGATACAAGTCCAATTGGACATTCCATGTAAGTTCCTGATCCGCAGCTATCCTTCTTGCAATACAATGATGGGGAACTGCGGAATCGACGATGACGCATCGTCGGTTTTCAATTTCTTGGCATCCGGCTGCGGGATGTTTTCTTTTTCTGGCCACCGGAGTTGATTTGCCGTCTCCTTCTTTTCGAGATCAAACCAGTACTCATCTTCATCATCAAAGGCGATGAAATGATGACAAGAGATGATGCCATCCGAAAGTTCCATTTTCAGCTTTTGAATTGTACCTGGAAAAAATTGAGTGACGGTTCCCACCTTGAACTCTACTTCGATTCTCTTTCCAAGAACTTCGTCTTTGTACTTCATCTTCTGAGATCTTTCTTTCGGTTTCTTTTACGTCGCTAAGATTGGATGGTTGGTCGATATCCTCAAACGTGGAGTTTGTTAGGTTGACATTCCGAGTGTTTGTGCATCGAACAAATTAGTTCAAGTTGGGGGAACAGAATAATTTGATGGCGGTTGAATCAAATCAATCATATTCATTTCAAAGCAAAAGCGTAGTATTGGACCCCTTCGACCGAGTCGTGCCTTCTGTAGTACTTCGTCGACTTGAAAACGAGTTGCCTTTTTATTTTTTATCTACAAGATGGTTGTTTCGCTTGTCTTGTTGGTATTTTAAACTCAAGCCACTTGCCTCTTTCGTGTTTCCAGATCGACCACTTGACCGAAACGTGAGCACCAAATGCAATGGTTGCTAGTATGGCCGTGGTCTTGAAACCATGATACTAAGAAGGAGCAGGCGGAGGCCGGCGGCGTACTACAAGAACATAATGAGCCAGCAATTCGAGACACATTCATACGCAAAGTAAGGAACGCAATGCCGCGGTCCCCACTGCTTGCTTGCCAAGCAAGCCAAGCAAGCAGCTGTAGCCACGTTAGAGACAAATTCAAACAAGAGCCCACACAAAGTAAGGAACAAAATAGACAAATGCATACAGATAGAAAGTAATACAATACCGGTAGCCAATGTGCCCTTCGCTTGTTCTCCAAAATGGAAGGGAAAGCTCTTCTTCCCAAGGACACAAGGTATTTTGGCTTTCTGACCACCAAAGAGAACAAGAAGATCATGAACAAAAGAGAACAAGAAGATGTACGGTACCAGGTACCCCCGCAGACGAGACAGTTCATCTCATTCGTCTTTCTCAGACCGGTACTGATATTCTTCAGACCTATTTTAGCCGGTGTGTGATACAAATAACATAGCTGTGTGTTTCGCTTGCTGATCACACATCCGATCCAACGCTCCAAATTAACGATACAAAATTCCGATGCTCGATTTAACGAAATGAGGCGAAGTGCGGAACGGTGTCAAAAGTCATTATTGACAGTTTGGCACGGTTCTGTACTGGCATGATATTGGCGAAGCGAAGTTGAGTACCATAAAACGCTTAATCGGGCTGACGTGTGGATGGACTGAGAAGCTAAAGAATGTTCTCTACAGTCTTTTTCGTCACAAAAGCTCATGTTGAGGGGTATCTTCTGATTTGAATGCCATTTTCCGGTAGCTTTGACAGGAACCAATCTCCCACTTGCACAATACTCTTTTTTTCATGTTGTGAGAGCAAAATACCATACGTCATTTCAGAACCCATGACATCAATGGCAAAGCCCTCGCTAGCGAACATGCCCTCTGATAGAAAACGTAAGGCTCCTATCATCATGGTAGGATCTCAATCAAGAACAACCAACAAGTTGTCGCGGAGCGATAAGCTGGCCAAACTCTTGGCAGTGGAAGAGATGGCAGCTTTCCGAAGACGAAGAAGAAGGAGCTTTCAAGTTTCAGAAGTGTTGGATCAAGCTGGCATGAAGCTTTGGCGTCAGCGAGTTGTCCAATGGTTCTTTGACGTTGTTGATCATTTCGAACTTCCAAGAGACGTGGTCTATGTGGCTTCCGTGATTCTTGATTGCTACACCACTGACTACACCATCGATTCTGTCATCTCAAGCTCTCACTACCGAGAAGTCTCAATTGCTTCCATCTTTTTGGCCGCTAAAACGCTCAAGCCATCAAGAATGCCAATGGAAAGCTTGTTGCAAACCGTAGGCAAGACCTCCGGCAAGATGACCCTTCCCCAAGCGATGGAAGCGGTGCGAAGGGTAGTGTCAGCCCTCGACTGGACCTATCCCATTCTTGTCCCATCAGTCTTTGTGAAGCAATTGTTTGGAATGGCTGCGCCATTCTTTCCAGCAGGTCAGAGCATGAGTCTTCCGTTGGAACACATGCTCTACCTTACCGAATTGGCAGTCCTGGGCGATCTGTCGTCCTCGAGATCTTTTGCGTCGGACATTGCCTTGGCGGCACTGCTCCAGACGTTGAACCCCAAGACAGGTCCAGCGGATTGCTGTTTGACCCAAGAAAGCTTTCAGTTGTCGACTGAAAAGCTTGGGTCAGAGTTGAATTTGGACTGCTCCAACAATGAGACTATCCAATTTCTCTGTCAAGAGATGGCAGGTATCCATGCACAAAGCTTGGGCTCCATTTCGTCCCACCAAGAACCTAAGTCAACTCCTTCAAAACCAACTCCAGTTTTGATTGAGGAGGACAGTGAACAAGAAACCAGTTTTGAAGAAACTATTTTTGAAGAAAAGAACCAAGTTGAATCTTCAATGTGTCGGTCTCCGGCAAAGCGGATACGAACAATTTGAAAAGGCTTTTGATCGAGGAGGACAGCGGGAAAGAAACCATTCTGGAAGAACAGAACCACGGTATTGACCAAGCTGATTCTTCTATTTCTCCAGTCTCCGGCAAAACGGATTCGAACCATTTAAAATTGCGATGCTATGAAAAGAACAAAGACACCCTGCAGTGCTGCAACAGAATACCACCCACTAGAAACAATACAGATATGATCGCCAACAAGCTAATTTTGAACAAATGTATTTATTATCCAACGAATTGCAACTCTTACTACACTTTATTACTGTTTTATTTGAAGCTTTCAGATGCCGATCTAGTGCGCTTTGGAATCCATGATTTCGTAATATATAAATTTACCTTGCAGAGTTCTTGGCTTGTCAAACCACTGCAATGATATAGCAACCTAAATAGCAACCTAAATGGCAACCTCAATTTGATTGCCAATGCAGCACAAATGTCGCCAAAATACCAATTCTGAACTTCAGCAGATGATCGAATAATGGTGCCCTCTGAGACTTTCGCCTGTTGTTCATTTTCATGTAATCCAAGAGTATAGCAACTTGGGCTGATTACTAATGGATGAAGATCCTCAGAGCATTGTCCATGATTCAACGAGAAGTCGGGCGACTCGTTACAGTATTTTTCCAACGGTTCATCAGAAGATCCTACAGTACTATCCCCTTATTCGCTTTTGGATGATGATGATGAGAAGGCTCCTCGCAATAGCGATGCCCGATCCAATCCAAAATTCTTCATACAATCTGGTTTTTGAACTGCGAAAAAGGCAATCGCCATGGCAGCTCCCAATGCTACGATGAGAAGGGCACATAGGAGCGTGCAAAATGGGCCAACTTCCAAATCCAACCCACCAGAGCCCTCATCAGCGCTAGATGAGTTCGCTCCCCGTCGTTGCTTCAGGCTCTGAGCACGTTGCACGCGATTGACTTTTCTGGGGTGAAACATGTTGATGATGATGAGATAGGAAAATTTTAGTGCAGAGATATTAACCAATGATGATGAGAATGGTGATCACTGTGAAATGATTTGAAGGTGGTTTGTCTGTCTGAGGGTCATCCGTTGGATCCACGTGATGCTGGTACTGGAAATGCGTGAAGCAAATTCAAAATGATGACTTCAATCGTCACGGTTTCGGAAAAAATGATCGAAGACGAACGACAAAAAAATCTATTCAGTTTGATGGAGACCTATGAAGAATCATCATCTTGCCAGATCCTGTGACTACGCTAATCGAACTGAAACTAAATCAACTGAACCTGTCTATTGGGCCTCAAAACTGCGCGCTGAATCAATCAATCAATCAATCATCTAATTGACGGTGCCCTGAAGTCATGAAAATTATCGATTCAAGAACCAATTCGTTGCTACAAAGAAGGAGGGCCCTGAATCCCTATAACGACAAGAAAGAAGAATACTGTTCTTATGAATTGGGGGGATATTCAATAGGAGCTTGTGTGATCCTCCTGTTCTTTATTGGATTTTCAGCTACTGCATCATACCTGACAACTGCTTGTTCCAAGCTCGATGGTTTGGATGTATCGAAAGAAGGATCATCGTTACGATCATCTTCATTACCTGATACAAATGCAAAGGTTGCAGTACCGAAACCAACACCACAATCCCAAGCATCACCACCCCCTCCACCTGAGACCCAAGCATCACCGCCCCAGAGCACCACCACTGCGGATGGGCTCCTCCCACCAGTATGCACTGATGAACAATCCGCAGCATCGTTACGACAGCTTCCAGTGGCAGGATGTGCTTTGCAACCGTGGACGCAGTCTTGCTCCTTTACACAAGCTACAACCAAACCGTGTCGAGATCCCTATTGGATGCGAGAATTTTACGCCACCACCGAACTGAAGACGCAATTCAATGCCTTCTTTGTCGGGTATGTAACCAACGTTGACATGTATTCCGATACTCCCATAGATCTTCTTCATATTGGAACACACGACCCAAAATATGTTCCTCACAAAATACAGTGGGTCGAACTTTCAGGCTTCCAAAGTACGACTAGCTGCCAGCGTTCTGTAGAAGCAAAGGGAGCCACCAATAAGGCCAAAGTAGTTTTGGTGTTGCCTCCCAATCAAAGTGAGGATGCAATCAATCACTACAAAGAAAACTTGGATATCTCAGACGAAGCGTTGGAAGCTGTCGCGGACAATCCAAGGATAGATGATGCCTTTTTTGCTAGCAAGCTACCGACAGCAGAATCCCAAATTCATTACCTGAGGTACTTGGGTCTATCTCCCGACCGATACGAAGCAATGAAACAAATGACTCGGCTATCCAGTGTATGGTATCTGGAATTCACGGTGGATTGGAAGTGTAAGTCTTCACCTCTCAAGTGTGTGTTCTGGTGCTGACTAGTAATCTTTGACGCTTTCTCACTATCTTGGTCCATCTTTTTTTAATTTATAGCTGGCACTACCAGCACTCACCAAAGCGAACTCTTGCATCAATTCCTGCCGGAAAAGGGATTCGTGTGCTACTGGGCTGGTAATGGCAATCTTTGGAGGATTACCAACTGCTGGCAGAATCATTATTCCTCATCCACATGGGCAAATGTGGCTTGTGTCAATTCGAGAATACCGGACGCCAAACCCCTGCTGGAAAAGATGGAGAAGATCTTTGTGGAAACATTAGCGAAAGATATAACATTCTAAACATCTTAAATGTCGTGTAAGCAGTACTGTATGGACTATCGCTTTTCATGCACACGGGATATATGAGGTTAGATACCGTGGTGTAGTTATCTATTTTTAAAGCCTTTATCTGTACCTTGAGACAATGCCAACATAAATCCAACAGCTCCGGAAGTACCGTCAGTATCCATTGATTGTGAACCGGACAGCACTGTAGCTTGTCCATTCAAGTAAACCGAATAGTATTTCCTTCTGCCGTTCTCAGCACTCTCAAAAGAAGATCTCTACCATGTTATCCAGAATGAAATTGCCGGGGAGCGCCGAGAAAAAGAGCCGCCCAACGGTCGCCTTAACCCCAATGGAAAAAAGGTTGAAACAAAGAGCAGCCTTTGCTGCAAATGAAAGCACACTCGTCGAGGATATTGTCTTTGAGCTCAGTTTGACCAAGACTATTGTTAGCATTACGTTTCTTTTGCTGGTTGGGGCATCTCTTGCCACTTCCTACATTCTGTCAGCTCATCCTGAATGTTTTGGTCATCAACGGAAGGTCAACCTCGAGAATCAAATACTCCCCGGCGAAGTGCCCATGCTTCGCTCCGGGTCGGCATTGGGTTCTGCAGAGTCTTCTATAAAGAAGACAGAAAAAATGGAAAATATGATTGAAAAGCACTCTCTGGAATGCACATCTGAACAAATGGACAGTCTAAAAACTCAATTACCTGGTACTCAATGCGAGAGTAGTCCATGGACCCAAAAGTGTTCCTTTACTCTGGCAACTACCAGAGGTTGTCAAGATCCGTTATGGGCACGTCAATTCTTTGCTTCGACAGATCTCTCGTCGCCTTTCAAGGCTCTATTTGTCGATTATCTTCCAAATGATTCTCCAATGTCAGATTTTCCCATTGACGCACTTTACCTGGGGTCTCACAATACCGACGACAAGAAGTATGATATTGGTGCCTGGAGACAGGCTGCAAAGGTAGATCCCGCTTGTAAGAAGCCGGTAACACTCTCAGGGAAGAAGAATTCGGCTCAGAGTGTGGTCATGATCAAGGACGAAGCTGCTTTTAACAGTGCAACACGAATAAAGTCCGACCTTGGTCTGACCGACGACGACATGTGGCTGGAACATGTCAACACAGAGAGTAATGCCATGGTGAGAAAGTTTATTGCACAAAAGTTTCCTGGAGACGAACCAATTCACTACTTGAAGGTCAACGGTGGATACAGCTTTTTGGCTAGTTGGTTCACAACCAACAACCTTTCCAAGGCATGGTACCTTGAGTTCACTGCCAATTGGGTAGGCGACTGGGGCTCTGGAGATCTTGGTCTACTTTTGAAGAGTCTACTGCCGAAAAGTGGTTTCGTTTGTTACTGGGCAGGTTCTGACGAGAAGCTATGGAGAATTACGGGATGCTGGCAAGATCACTATGCCTTCAAGACATGGGCCAATGTTGCCTGTGTGAACTCGGGAAAAGAGGAGACGAAACCTCTTTTGGACAAGATGGAGGCTCTATTCCAGAAGACGCTAGAAGCAGGCAATACTTATTGATTCTGATTCAACTCTTAGTGACAGGCGAATACTACTGACTGCAGAATAATGATGAAATGTTGGATACATGGATAAAGTTTGTAATTACAATATTGTACATTATTTGCATGGCATTATTTACATGGTAGTTTTTGCATAGGGTTGTGTATATATGTACAGGGCTCGTACGGAGTTTGTAAATTTGTACCGAGCTTTCTATGCTTTTGCAGCACATTGATTGGATCGTAGCAACAGGCTTACCTCAAGAAGAGGCGCTAGCGCTGGAGATACGTTGGTTGAATTGTCTTGGATGATATTTACAGCTTGAACAAAACATTCTTGAGCTTTCATGGGTTCAGAGAGCTCATGGTGGAGGCTTCCAACAAGGAGAAGGGAGGTTGCGCTTTCTTCCACCTGGGAAGAGAACTCTCCAGGAGTAGTCGATTCGTCATCAAAACTTGACCGCAACGCTTCAACGCTTTTGCAAGCATTGACCAAGGCAACGTTCAGGTTTCCGAGGGCATGGTGAAGTTCAGCAATATCGCGGTAGATGGCTCCCAAAAACTTGCCTCTCGCGCATCCTTCGAATTCACTGCTCTCTTTTAAAACTTGGACGACTTCTTGGCATGTCTCCAAAGCTCCGTAGATGTTTCCCCTGGACTTTTGCATGGAAGCAAGTTTTTGCATTGTGGTAACAACATGGCGATCGTTGAGTTGACCAGACGAAGCAATGCTTCGGATTCGCAAGGCTTCTCGGAAAGACACCGAAGCGTCCTTAAGCATTTGTTGTTCCATTTGTAGGACACCGATGTTGTACACCAGACAGGCAATATCAGCATGATCAGGTCCCAACATATTGCGGCGAAGTTGAAGCGCCATTTGAAATGCCTTGATGGCCTTCTTGCAAGCACCCATCTTGTCATGAATGAGGCCCAGATTGTACCAGACGGTCGAATAAAGATTCATTGCCGTAGGATTCTCGTTCATAGTCTTGTAGCTGGTCATGGAAGCGTCCTCAGCATCTTCATCAAAGTCGAACTCATGCGCTAGCGCATTGCAGTAGTAGTGGATAGCTTGGGGGTATCTTCCAAGTTCCTGAAGAATTCGTCCAATGTTGTTGCAGGTCACGCTGACGCCAAAGTGGTCTGAAGGGTGGGCAAAGTGTTGTTCAACCTGGAGCTCTTCTTGCAAAAACAGCAGAGCGTGTTCCAATTCTTTCGCATGGAAGAGAAGGGTTCCGATGTAGTTCAGAACAGCTGCCACTTCGTAGTGCCGTGGGCCGACTTCACTTCGCTTTTCTTGAAGAGAACGAAGTCCCCATACCAAGTCTCTGGACAATTTATCATCTTTTTCATCATTCTTGATGAGCAATAGATAAATCAGTCCTGCAAGTGGATCGAGGCCGGATTCAATACCATTGCTGGCATGATGTGAAGCAATCTTGAGGTAGTAGAGCAGATGCGACATGGACTTGGAATTGTTCTTGCGGAGATACTCGGCTACTCCCAAATTGAAGTGGGCAGCAGCGATATCCACGTGATCCCAACTCAGTAGGGCCGTTCGAATGCTTGTGATTTCTTCCAGCGCTGCGTACACATCAATGCAGACATCAGCATCCATGTACTTGCTTCGGCACCAGTTGGACAATACATCTGAAAAGTCCAAGTTGTAGCCTGCGTTGGCTGAATCGGAAGCGAGGATAGTGCGACCAAGTTGCAGTGCGGTCTCAAAGTGTGAGATAGCCATGCACTCGACTCTTTGCTCGTAGCAGATCTGGCCGAGGTTGTTGCAGACGCACATGGCAAGGTGAAGATAGTCTGGAGGAAGGCAGAACCCTGGAGTGTTGCATACGAGGTTGAATCTTGAGAGAATCAATTCATAAAAGTTAGAAGCAGTTAGGAGGTCCTTTGTAGCATGGTAGATGATAGCCTTGTTGTAACAGATCACAAGTTGTAGAAGGGCCATATCCATAGTACCAGACACCACGATGGCTTTGCGGAACATTCTTGGACCCACATCCTCAACATCTTCCAGATACATGTCAATCGGTTGGCTTGTGCTTAAGTTGCTTGATGCTTCTGTACTTTCGTTGTTCATGCTTTGAGTCTTAATTCCCCATTCCATCAGGGGTGGTAGATCAAGACCACTTCTTTCTCCATTCGATGATGGTGAAGTCACAATGTGAAATGAGCGATCAAGCAAGGACATTGCCTTTTCATACTCTCCACTGTCGATCAGCTTGCTTCCGACTTCGAGGAGCATCATGGGACAACATTGACCCGACATGGCCTTTTCATACTCTCCACTTTCAATTAGCTTGCTTCCGACTTCGATGGGCATCATGGAGCAGCATTGACCCGGTGATTGACAAGGTAAAGATCCTTGTGTTTCCATATTGTTTAGCTCTGTTATACTTGTCAAGGACATTGTTCTGGATGCAATTTTTTTGAGCTGTTGAAATACAGAAGATATGCGACAGATGTATTTTTGGAGAAATTAGTGTGGATCCCGTCTGGTCTGGGAGTAAAAGGCTGATAGATTTCCCCGAGTGGTTGAATGCCACCTCAATATCCTGGAAACAGCGTCGCCACGTAAGTTTTAATCGGGAAACAGCCGATGACCTCAGTTTGCGTCAGTCAGATGCGAAAACACCTATGCGTTTTGAAAGTTCTTCCTAAGTGTGGAAACAGCTCTTGAATGCGCTCCTAATTTATTTATAAAAACGTGAGAAGCATTGTTTGAACACGGCACTGAGAGAGCTAAATGAATCTTCTAGACTTCGACATAATGACGCAAAGTGAGACTGAAACTCCTTATCCCGGTCACCAACAACACGGCTACTTTCAATCCCAGCGAATCAAAAGTTCGTAACGCCGCAGGTGGTACTCGGGTGGTACCAAGACATTGAGAAGCATTCGCTCAAAAGGTATCTGATCATCCGATTCCATCTGTTCGAGACGTTTTGAGCTTTCGAACATGCGCACATCTCTTAACAAAACATTTGGAAGGACGCCGCATCTCTGTCTGACGCAGTTTCTGAGCCTACAATCGTCATCTGTTTGTAAGAGGACATTTTCAACTTATGCCCTCATGGTACCGTACCATACCTTGTACCGTAACAACAAACAGTGTGACGATTGTAGATCGTGACTACGTCACTACGATTAGGATCTGAAAGCTGCTATTTGCATTTGGGACCTCAGCCCTTTTGCCACCAGCTGACACGAATGGAGGCGAGGAGAAAAAAATTCTGCCCTGGTGCAATTCTTCCGACTTCCGACAACTTGACCGACGTTTGATCGTGAAGAGAGGGTTGCTCGGTTATTTATCTATTGGAACGGTTATTACTCTATCTCCTGTAGTCTAGTAGGCAGAATCCGACTCCGCATATTCATCGATCACCTCTTGTACGGCATTCTTGGATCCCATGACGAGGGGAATCCGTTGGTGGACGTATTCAGGAACACATTCCATCACTCGCCGCTTACCAGTAGTTGACAATCCACCAGCTTGTTCCATAATGAAAGACATTGGAGCTCCTTCGTACAAGAGTCGCAGTTTACCATTGGTGTTCTTGGTATCTGCAGGATATCCAAATACACCGCCGTACAACAAGGTTCGATGGACATCGCCAACCATGGATCCAATGTACCGACTGGAGAATCGCTCACCCGACTTTCCAGTTCCTTCACGCCACCTCTTTACTACCTTTTGCATGGGTTCATCCCATTTTTCTAGGTTGGCTTCATTGAAGGAATAGATCTTGCAGTCTTCTGGAATCTTGATGTTTGGTTTGGAAAGAACAAACTCCCCAATGGTTTCGTCTAAGGTGAATACGTAGACTCCATTGCCCAAGGTCAGAACCAAGAAAGTGGAGGAGGAATATAGACAGTATGCTGAAGCAACAAGGTTGGTTCCAGGTTGGAGTGTGTTGGCTAGACATTGTGCTTCTTGCTCAGTACAGTCTTCTTCGTCCACGCAATCGTAGTCAATCTCACAGCAGTCGTCGTGTTCATAGATCTAGGCAATACACAACAGGAATAGACAGAGAGGAACAGGAATAGGAAACGCAGTGAGCATAGGGATAGAAACGTTGGTTCATGGGTACGATATGGCTGTCACAGAACTTTTTCTGAATTTCTCAGCATCTCATGGCTGTTTGGCTTACCCCAATGATTGTCCCCGTTGGAATTCCAGCATCCACATTGGAAGAACCATCCAATGGATCAAAGACGGCCACATACTTTTCTCCTTCATCAATAACAATTTCTTCCGAATCGGTAACTGCATTTCCAATCAAATCAACCTGTTTCAATTGTAGAAGTTGATTTTAAAACAATACAACAGCAAGAAAGGATATTTTGAGAAACATGTCTCAAATAACATAGAAGAAAACTCAAATTTTCACTTACTGGCTCGTCTTCTTCTTCAGATGCCAAAATACCTAATCGTCCTGTAAATCGAAGTGCCCGCTTCAATAAGTCATTCGTAATAACGTCCAATTTCTTTTGATCTTCCCCTTGAACATTGACGTTTCCTTGATACCCCAAGGTCTCAGAACTGGGCAACTGCGACCGCTTGACCAAATTGGAAATAGCCTTACATGCGGTGTCTATCGCACCAAAAAGAGTTGTAATTTCAGCAATCTCTGGGTTCAATATGGCCACTTCGTTCATGAATCGAGTCAAAGTCACACCTGTGGTCTCGCACACTTCATCAAAGACGGGCGCCTTAAGAGTAGGACGATTCATGGAAGGTGCCTCCTCCATTGTGGAAGCGAAGTGTGGGAATTCAGGTTGCCGGAAACGGTTGGTATTTGTGAATCCATTGCTTGATGATATCGTCAGGAACAGAACCGATAAGAAAAGCCTCATGCTGAAAGTAAAACGTTGTATGTTGTGTGCGGCAGAGAGGTATATTGATGGAGCATAATCGAGGCGTCATGTGGTATGAAGAAGATACTACAGTCGAATGAATCCAATATCCTGAAAATACGCGCGCCTCACAACGAAAATGATGAGCCAAGATGATTCAATATATTTCTTGGGCAACAATTTGGTGAACCTAGTTTCATCCCTATTGGAGACTCGTGGATACCTTCCTCACTGTCATCACAATAGCCAGTAAATCATTGTGCGAACCTGCATATTATAGGTAGAGTCACGCTTCCTTAGACCGAGCAAAATTCCGGCAACAAAAAATGAACCGAATTGCAGTCTTCTCCTCGACAATCCTACTGATTCTGGCGTCACGAGTTGAGTCCTTTTCTCCAGCCAATCCATTGTCGAAGAATGTTGATTCCCGTCACATAATTCATCAAGCCAAGGCTCCGGTCTTTGATGAAGTCTGCGATGTGACAGGAATCACTCTGAAACGATTCATGTCCGAAGTCGTCTTGCTGAATCCAGAACTCGGCGAATTGGGAACTCTATTTGGAGCCATTGATACTGCTTGCAAGGCTATTTCAAATTTGGTTAAACGATCGCAGTTACCTAGTTCCGAGACTTTGGGATACCAAGGAGAAGTTAATATTCAAGGAGAAGATCAAAAGAAGTTGGATGTGATTACAAACGATTTGCTAAAGAGAGCGCTAAGATTTACAGGGCGATTAGGTGTGCTGGCTTCTGAAGAAGAAGACGAGCCAGTAAGTTTTATTCCATCATGATAGATCAGAAATATTGAGAATGGGATGAATATCTAATACAAAGCATCTCTTATACATTTCAGTTGGATTTGATCAGTTCTCTGCCGAACGAAGCCATCTTTTCCGACACAGAAAAGTATGTTTGTGTCTTTGATCCATTGGATGGGTCTTCCAACGTCGATGCGGGGATTCCTACTGGAACCATCATTGGTATTTATGAACACGACGAAACTTGTGCCATTGATTTCGACGATTGTACAGACGATGAATGCTCCGAGCAAGAAGCTCAGTGCCTTGCCAACACATTACAGGCCGGTAACAATCTGGTGGCTGCCGCCTACTGCCTATATTCTTCTTCTACCTTTTTGGTATTGACGCTCGGGGCGGGGACATATGGGTTTACTTTGGATGAGAACTTGGGAGAGTTTATATTGAGTCACCCTGCTATGAAGATTCCTGAAACCTCGTCCATCATTTCCATGAACGAGGCCAATACCTTCATGTGGGACCAGCCATTGCAAGATACAGTCATGAAATGGAAAAGGGGAGAAGGCAAATCGGGCAACTCCTTTTCGAGTCGATATATAGGCTCCATGGTCGGTGACGTCCACAGAACGTTGCTCTATGGGGGCATCTTTGGATATCCAAGTGATACCAAGAATCCAAATGGGAAATTGCGACTCTTATACGAAGGTGCTCCCATGTCCTTCATTGTGGAACAAGCTGGTGGATTGGCAACTACTGGTAAGCAACGAGTGATGGAAATCACGCCCGACTATGTCCATCAACGAGTACCAATCATTTTGGGGTCAAAGAATGATGTACAAGAAGTGATTGATGCTTATGAGAACGCATCTGCGTCTGCTGTAGCGTAAATATAAGGAAATAAACAGGAAGTGGACATAAATGCGGTTGTATATCGCTGGCGCGTAAAACCCAAGATTCTCTTTCTTTCGTAAAATATGAAAGGGCTTCCAATTTCATCTTTGTGGATACCGGTTTTTCTGGGGGGAATACTGTGTACCAATTCTTCTCCCCGGCATTTTGAAACATGCACGCGGCCAAATCATCAACAAAGTGGTTTTTCGTTTTTTTTCGAAGTGTCGACATTCCTTTTTCTTGAACCCACGCGAAGTTGTTATACTTTCATAGCAAGGAAAAAGCTGGGATCGGCCCTCAAGTCCGCATTGTCCTGGTGCAAGTACCCCACAAATTTGCCACTGATTCATCATGACAAGCACTACTGTGATGGATCAGAACAATGAAACCGTCGCTTTTCTCAGGTCTCGAGAGTTTTCCAGCGCTCTTCAATCTGCCTTGACAGCCTTGAATTCTCATCGGACATCTGCTGCTGCAGCTGCAGATTGGATTTCCGACCGTAGCCCAAGCGATGAGAATCTTGATCTCTGTATCCTTCAATGCGAAATGCTACCGGAAAACGGCAGTGATGTTCCTAATGATCGAAATCATCATGCATTCGTTTTCGCCCACGGCATTGCATTCCTTCCTACCATAGCAACAGATCTTGAAACTATCTCTCCTATTCTCATCTTCAACGTGGCCCTTGCCTACCACCTCCTGGCTGATTCGCAGAATGAAGATACTTTCGAGTCTCGTCAAACGTTGCGCAAAGCTAGAAAGCTATACGAGTTGACCTATATCCAAGATGCCACTAGTCACAATGTTTTGTTTCAGTTCGCCATAAGAAACAACATTGCTGCTATTGAGCAAAAGATCGGTAGAGTGACGTCCGTCGACGAGTGCACAGAGTATTTGAAGTCGGTTCATCGGCTAATAGACCGAGGATGCAACTTGAGGATACGTCAATTGGAAAGCTTTCTGATGAGTATTCCTGCAACAGCCGAGACTGCTGCAGCCGCATGATTAGTAATTCCACCATTCTGGTAGCTCCAAGCTTCTTGCTTCTGGATGTCGCAACGATCAATGAAAAATAAATGACATGAACGATGTAGCAGTAGTCCTAGGATTGTTGAGAGCAGGATGTGTTTTATAAAAATAGATGTAAATTTCATAAACCCAAGAAGGGGTACCGTATCGTATACCAACGTGTTGAATCAAATCGGGTGATAGATTGGATGAGATCGCATCCAATTGCTTCTTATCAGAGCGACACATCAATCATCATACGGTACAGTACCAGGTACCATGGTAGTACACGTACCAGGTACACGTACCGGTAGGTAGATTAGAAAAAATGAGAAGGGTTTGGGTTCTGTGACTGGTTCGACTGCTTCACACGAAGGACTTTACAAGAACTAAAACCAACCACCAGCACCAGCATCATTTTCAAAAATTGCACTCTACCTGCAACTACAGACTACAGTATAATTCAGCGAGGTGAAGATACAACCACCTAAACCTCCATCCTCTGAAACTCTTACGTCGTGTACCAAAAAATGGGAGTTCTTGGAATCATAATCAGCTTTATTGTGGCACCAGTGGCTGTTCTCTTTGATCTTTGGCTCTTGGGAGCATCCGCAGGAGCCACGATACAAGAACGCAAAATATGGCAAAACAAAAAGCTTCCTTCCATTAATCCCTTTGGCCTCATCAAGGTCTTTTTGCTAAACGTCTGCTGGATGGGCGGAACTCAACTTGGTGTCATTTTGGGATTGCTCAAACGCGCCCTTATGGGAAAGAAAAACATGAACATGAGAGACTTTTGTCACAATGGCGTAGAACGCATGGTTGGACAACTGCTCATTAGACTATTCGTTGGGCCCGAGGTTATCATCCGAGGAAAGGAAAATCTCCCTCCTGAAAATCCAGGATCTCCTGCACCAGTGATGATTGCCAATCATGATTCCCAACTTGACATTGCTGCTGTCTACTATCTGTGTCGATCTTGGCGATGGATTGCCAAGAGCAGTGTCTTTTTCTTGCCCGGTGTGGGCCAACTCATGTACTTTGGGGGTCACGTCTTCATTGATCGAGTGAAGAAGAAGAACAAGTCGTCAACTGGGGCTCGCAATCTCTACATTAAATCCAACGAGTCCCTTCAAGAAGGAGTCCCCATGTTCTTCTTTCCGCAGGGAACTCGAAGATTGGGCGAACGACTCCCTTTCAAGGACGGGGCCTTTAAGATTGCCATGGAAAACAAGAGTCAAATTGTCCCAATTAGCATTGAGATCCCACTAACTGCCTGGAATTCCATGTATCCTTTGCAGGGAGGAAAGGATGTGGCACCGATCATTTTGACTATTCACAAGCCAGTCGATTCTAAGGACTTTAAGGAATTGGAGCCACTGAAGAATCAATGCTTTGATACGATCTACAGTGTATTGCCAGACTACACCAAGGAGAACTAAGGGTTGCCCAACCTGACATCTGCGTCATCATCTCTGTCGTTCTCATACTTAATCTCTGTGGTGTTTCTCTTGTCAAGATTTTGCCGTTGGTACAGTTTGTTGCCCACAAAGATTCCGTGTCTTGATGATAGAGTCAGTCGTAGTTAATTTTAAATACATTGAATATACAAAGTGGTTCAATTCGTCTGGTACATTACCATTTCTTTTCTGAGAAGATTATACCTTTTAGAGCCATCAAGTTTTTGACGCATGACAATTCATTCCATCCTACATTCCATCATTTCCTTCAGGTAACCTTAAAGTCTTTCTGACATCTGCTGACCAGAATGCGATTGATATCTAGTGCTGTTGAGTTTCACAACTCATAGATGATGACGCAATTATGTGCATTTAGTGTTGGATCCTACGTATGACGTATGAGTGTCATTTTTTATTTTAAAAAAGAACAAGAACACTATATTTCTGTAACACTAAACTTTTGTCTTTTGCTTTGGTTGCTGCTGTCTATTGTGCTGGCAGCGCTGAGATTGACGCCAAGCTGATGGGCGGTGCCTCTTGAATCCGATCCATGGCCCTTCGAATGGTCGCCCGACAAGTTGGTGTTGCTGCCGAGACGGTAATGGTGGCATGATTTTGCTGTTCTTCCAGCACATGATGATGATTCGACAATGACGACGCATTGATGTTGCTGTTGCTGCTGTTGTTGTTGTTGTTGGTAGTGCCTGGTGATCGAAAGGAATCCGCCAAAATAAGGCCGACACCAATCCCGACTCCAAAAATAGTAATGGCAGCGTTCATAATGGTAGAGAAGGAAAACTGTAGGAGGTTGTTGAGGACAAGAACGCTAGTGTTGATACGTCGTGTGGCAGTGCTTTGGTTGAGTCGATAATTCCGACGACCTTGAATGAAGCGTCGGGAAGTTGAAGTAGAAGCTCTGGTATCCAAGGAGGGGCGAGTGCGAGTAGTTCCTCTGTTGTTGTTGGTTTGTTCTTGTTCTTGCTGTGACAAGAAGTCAGGAGAGGATGAAGCTACTTCGTCCGTAGTATCGCTGTCAATGGAAGAAATAGACGAGTTCGAGTGAAAGGTAGAGGTCGAAGAATTAAGGTCGGAAAGTTCTGGTAGGGTAGTTGTTGCGGAAACGGTTTCGTCGGATGGTGCTGTGAATTCTTGACTGTAAGTATTCATAAAGATGCGTGTTGAAGGATGCTCTTGCTTGCTTGACAAGTGAAGAAGCTTGCAGATTCGTGGTTGTGAGGCTTCCTTGAAATGATTGATGACTTGACAAGCGTTAGAGAGGGAGTCGGCACTTGGTTTCTTACCTTTACGTGTCAGTTGGCTATTATTGTTGGCATGCAAAATCCAGGAAAGGAACCCGGTGATGTCAACAAACATCAACAAACATCATTGACGTCAGTCAAATCTCAGTGTTCGTCCTTCGCCAAAAAGTTTGGTCAATCTTCAACAAAAATCGAGAAGAGATTATTCTGCATGAGCCTCAAAACCGAACATTTTCGCATAATGGTTCCCACACAACATTTTGCAGGCGCTCCACACATTATTCATTCGAGGTACCGGTAGCCCAACAACAGCACTACTCATTATTAATACCATGGCGGACGGAGCGAACGATGAAGCAGTCGGGGACAACCCAGAACAAGCACCAAGCGAGGAAGTAGTTGGTGACGTTCCATCACCAAAGAAGGCAAAGCGTAAATCTGCTGCTGCTGCTGCTGCTGCTGGCAAGCGAAAGAGCAAAAGGGCTAGCACTCTGAAAAAGGAAGCTTCCAAGAAGGCGGTTGATAAGGAACAGCATGCTCCCGATCCACCAGAATCCGAAGCCTATAGCGAGATTAAGGAGCAACTGAACCAACGCTACAGTTTGGGAAGAATCCCTGAGGCAGTAAAAACAACATCGTTTGCCAAACAAGATTTGGAGGTTGGACGAAATCCCAAGGTTCTACTCAGCAAAAAGTCTTCCATCTTGGCCAGCTCGGATGATCCCTTTGCCACGCGAGAGGGAAAGACTCTATTGTGGCGAGATATCAACATGGTCTTGTCAGGAAAGAAGGATGGAGAGAAGGATCGATACCTGTTGGAGGGTGTGTGGGGGGAGGTGCCGCAGCGTAAAACGACTGCCATTATGGGTCCAAGTGGTACGTTGCAATTGCAGAAGATAGAATATGCGGTGGCAGTGAACATTCTGTATTCAATCGCTCATCTTGTCCTTGCTTTTTATTGTTATTATTGTGTCCAATCATGATTTGTTCTTTCTTTAGGTGCTGGAAAGACCAGTTTGTTGAACATTCTGGCTGGTCGAGCGGCATCTCGGGGCCGGGTCAGCATTCAGTCAGAAATTCGTTTGAACAACTACGTTGTGGATCCAAAAAAGATTGAAGTTCGGCAACACATTGCCTTTGTGGCCCAAGATGATTCGCTTCAAGTCACCGCCACACCACGCGAATCCATTTACTTTTCGGCCAAATTGCGATTGCCAAAAGATACCCCTGAAAAGACTTTGATCAAGCTCACCAACAAAATGTTGCAAGAATTGGGATTGGAAAAGTGCGCGGATACCTTCGTGGGAGGAGCCTTGCTGAAGGGTATTTCAGGAGGAGAACGCAAACGTACTTCCATTGGTGTCGAGCTGGTTGTCAAGCCAGCCATGGTCTTTTTGGACGAGCCCACTTCCGGCTTGGATTCCTTTTCGGCCATGCAAGTGTGTCGGGTTTTGCAAAAAGTGGCCCATGCTGGGTCCAGCGTATTGTTTACCATTCATCAACCTGCGTCAGATATTTTCAATCAATTTGATCAACTTATTTTGCTGAATAGGGGACGGGTCATGTACCAAGGAGCCGTTGACGACATTGAACCTTACTTTCAACAGAGGGGGCACCCATTGCCACCTCGATACAATCCAGCGGATTGGATTATGACTGTGGCACAATCAGTTCCCTGGGAGGAATTGATTTCGTGTGGATTCTTCCCAGAAGACAAACGCCATTTGCCAGATCCAGATACCGAGATTTTCGTCGATGGCAAGGATGCCTCCGGTCACCACAGCGATGAAATGGATGATAAGAGCTACATCAGAGCTGGCATATTGACCCAGGTGCATCTCTTGTACTCAAGAGAGATCAGAAATATTACTCGGGACAAGGCCTCGATTGGAGCTCGATTCGGATTGACTATTTTCTTGGCCGTTTTGATTGGAATCATTTTTTTGGACGTTGGAAACACGGACAAGGCCAAGCCACAGAATTTGCAAAGCCATTTCGGCGCCTTGATCATGGTGGTCCTCATGAGTATGTTTGGTACTGCCCAACCTGCCTTGTTGGCGTTCCCCGAGGAGCGTCCAGTTTTCCTTCGCGAATATTCCACCAGCCACTATTCCGTCGTTGCCTACTTTATGGCGCGACTTTCCATGGAGGCTTCTCTTACGGCCCTTCAAGTCTTGCTTCTCCTGACGATTGACTACTTTTTGATTTCGCTGAATGGTCCCTTTGGCATCATGTATATTGCTGTATATGCCTTGGCAATGTCCAGTACCGCACTGGCGGTTCTATTGGGTTGCGCTGTGGAAGATCCAAAGTTGGGTCAAGAAATGCTCCCCATTCTGTTTGTTCCACAGATGCTTTTTGCTGGTTTCTTTGTAGTACCCGAACTCATTCCCGTCTGGTTGCGATGGGCCCGATACTTGTGCTCATTGACCTGGGCGATCCGTATCATCATGGTGGAAGAGTTTGGAAACGGTTGTGGAGGTGGAGAAGCTGATGCGGCTTGCGAAAGAGTCTTGAACTCTGTTGGTGCCTCCGAAGATGAAACATGGTGGAATTGGCTGATCTTGATTGGATTGTTTGTTGTCTTCCGATTGGGGGCCTTGTTCATTTTGCGACAAAAGGCACTCAAGTTTTACTAGAGGAGAGAAACGGAAAAAAAACAACACGTGGCGTTGGATCACTGGATTTGCACCAAATACAGGTGTCCAGGTCAAAATAATGAAGAGCGTCTTTGCATAATCGCAAATTTGGAAAAGGAGCTCGATCATAATATGTATGTCAGTATTTGTTTTGCATACATACTTAGTGAGGAAGAACAATCAATGGGGATTTTATAATCGAAATAGTCAAGCTTGCATAAAATACTGATTGTAGCTGGAGCTTACTGCAGAACTTGTCGAAAATGGAAGATAAAATTTCTGAATGACAGACAGCAACAAGATTGTCGTCAAAGTGCTTTAGACCCATTTCGAACCAGCGGGACCAGAAGGCTCCTCGTCTTGAGCATCTTCTTCATTGTCCGTGTTGGCTTTCTCTTCGTCCTCCTCCTCATACTTTGTTGTCCAGCTTCGTTTTGCATCCATGGCGTTATTGGCGAGACCTGAGAAAACGAGAATGAAAATTGATCGTCTGGTGAGGGTTTCATATCCACCTATCCACGATATGCAACTGGCCCATTGTTGTAAAACTTACTGTCTGCCACTTTGTTGTTTTCGCGGTATACGTGCTCCAAGGTCAACTGACAGGGTTGCCCTGTCTGTTGTTGACACTCCTTTTGAATCTGCTGAAGCAGTCTCTTGGCGGAGCGATAGTAAGGTTGGAGCTTGGGACTCTTGCAGTCAAAGGCACCTCTGACTTGTTCAATAATTAATTTGGAATCGCCTTGAACTATCAAGGCTACAGACTCGTCAGTGCTGCTCAATTGGTACTTTTGTGTCTGCAAGACTTCCAAGACATTCTCAAGCCCACCTACCAAGCCCTGATATTCGGCTTGATTGTTCGTAAGGGAATCCCCAAGGTATTGACGAATCAGAGTCTTACATAACCGCTTGACACTAGTTTTGGATTGCGACTGCTGTATCCGCTTGGTCGCAGCACTTGTGGTCCTACTGGAAGAGCGATTATTGGAAGTGCTGGACGACTTTGTTGTTGTGGTGGTGGTCGATCGGGAAAGGACGATCTGAGTTCCCGCACCCGCAACACCAGGATTCCCACGGGATCCACCATCAAAATGAATGTGAAAGGTCAATCCATTGGCTGCGGCACCTCTTGCATGGATCGGGCCATTGGCGACGGCATCTGAAGTGCTTGTGTTGCACGATGCTTCATTGTCTCGGACCTTTTTCCGTTTATCATTGCCAGAATCCTCTGTTCCTTTGCGCTTACGATCGGCCTCGGGTATCACCACATTCGATGATAAAGATGATGACAAGGAGACAGCAGAGCCCTGAAACTGTTGTATAAATTCCTTGGCTTCTGACTCCGTCTTGAACCCCTTGTATCGGCTTCCTCCAAACCCATCCACTTGTGCTTTGCATTCATCCCATGTTGGAAAGATTCCAACTTTGCGGCCCTTGGCAACCGCATAGAATTTCTTTCCTTTGCTCTTGGGCATTCTCTGCTTTCTGTAAAATACTGTCGCGTTAACTGCACCACCTGACAAACAGTACTTGTAGTAATAGTCCACCTACTGTACAGTATAGTTTCCGTGGTGGTGTTTTGAAAATGGGACTGTATAAAAAAAACAATGCGTTTCAAGTTTTCAGGTTTCGGATTATTGTCGACTAATTCGATTCCACACAGTATTTTATCCAATCATCTCAATGATCCATCTCTGAAGTTTCAGTAGTAATATTACAGTAAGGTCTGGAAGTTAAGAGTTGTTCAATATACCGGTAGACTGGAGTGGAGGATTGAAAATTGTTTGCTAGCCGTGAAAATTACGCTGCTTGACTTTTGATACACAATCCGCCGTACCGGTATCTTTAATGCAAGCCTCACAACAGCTTCAATTCCAACAGCTGGTTCGAATGAATCAATCTACTATTTCTTGGTGGTCAAAGTTCAAAGTGATGCTTGGTTCTTTCGATGGATAGCATCTACATTTCAAGCATCGCCCTTCTGATACGCTCTTTAGCTCTTGTATGCTGTTTGCGATGACTTGAAAAGATTTCCAGTACCAGCACCGCTACATCCAGGACATTGTTGAATGTTCCAATCAATCATTTCTCTTCCATTCATTCCTGGATGCTTCCAACTTTTCATTCTTCTTTTTATTCCTCCTAACAATATAGTTTCCTCCATGTATCCAGATACTTGACTGCCAAATGTTCGCTCAAGTCTGTATTGAACTCCAATTCAGCATCCTCATCCGTCTTTATTGATCGATACCTCATGACCTTGGCCGGCACCCCCGTCATGACTGCCAGTGGCTTGACTGGTTTGGTCACAATGGACTTGGCCGTCACGACAGCTCCATCTCCCACGGGAATGTTCCCCAAGACGCTGGCATCATTTCCCAAAATGACTCCATCTCCCACCTTTGGATGACGGTCTCCGCGTTCCTTGCCCGTGCCACCCAAGGTAACTCCTTGCAAAATGGAGACATTGTTGCCAATCTTGGCCGTTTCTCCAATGACAATCCCACCCGCTCCCGCTTTAAGATAAATACCCACACCCATGGTACACGCCGGATGCAAATCGGCCGAATATCGTCGGCTCACGGTGGATTGCAAGTAGTACGCCAATCCCTTGCGTTGGGCATTCCACAATCGATGTCCGACACGAAAGGCCACCAATGCGTGCAAGCCCGTATTGTGGAGCATGGACGTCAAGGCGCTGTCAATGGAAGGACTACGAGTGGCGGCCGCAATAATATCTTGTTCCAACGCCAACAAATCTTCTGGATGGGGCGACAACATTTCGCACATTAAATTGACCAATTGGGTCGCTGGGATGAGTTCCGTCTCAAGTTCTTGGGCAATCACACTCGACAGGGCATCCAACAAGCTTGGTTGACTCAATACAAATTGATAAATTTGAGTTCCCACTTCGGGTTCCGTTTGCAAGACCAATTTGGCTTCGAGTTGAATTTGTTCCCACAACGAATGCTCCTGGCCATCGTCAAACAACCCCGATTGTTCGAGGACGGGGGATCGATATTGCGACAATGGAACAAAAGGGTCTTTTGCGGTGGTTGTTGTTGTTGTTGTTGTTGTTAAATGATCATCGGCATCCTCCTGTTCGTTCGCATTCGCCATGGAAAGAGCCGAAATTCTTATTCTTCTCGATTGTGCATGTCTTCGCTCTAGTGCTCTTGTGTTTGGAATGGCATCGGTAGTCATCGTCGAGCGTGCTGAGATTGGTACAGGAACCCAATAAGCATTTGAATGCGATAGTAACAATGATAAAGAGGCCAAAACCGAAAGGAACCACAGACGAGAGGATACTTGCGATGATGGGGATCGCTGAAATGATGATGAAGATGAATGGTGATTGCAATAAGTAGATTTCATTCTCTCTATTCTTTCTGAATTTTCTTGATCGTTTATTACAGTCGGTAGCTGACTTGACAATATTGTTTGAAATGAGAAGTGCGCTTATAGGTTGATACACAGAGCTATTTCCCTTCAGTTGGACAGTGTATGCTGCGAATATTTCTGTGAGGAGGGTTGATGGTCATCCGTTTTGGTGATTTTGATCCTTCGAGTCAAAGATGTGCGAGTCTGTCCGCACGTCGGTCCAACAATCAAATCGAAAGCAATCGAACAATTCGGCAACCGCGCAGCTGCGATTGATTGACACTCACTGCCAATTCACATTTTAGAAGATTTTTGTTGTTGTTGTAGTCCACACATCAATCACATCCATCACACATCCATCACACACAGACTCAATAAATAAGATCATGGCAGACGCAACAATTGCAGAATACGAAGCTCAATTAGCAGGCATTGAAGAATTGCTTCAAGCGTCTCCTGAAGATGAATCCTTGTTGACTCTGAAACAAGACATGGTGGACTTGATTGCCTTGACCAAAGCTGATGCCGATGCCGCTGCTGCAATAGCTGCTGAGAATACTATTGAAGAAGCAATCGTGGAAGAAACAACAACTGCCCTTCCACCACCACCTCCCCCGTCGCCACCCAACCAAGACAATACTCCACCACCACTCGAAATCTCATTGCAACAAGCCGTCCAAGCAGGAGCTGCTGCCGCTGCCGCTGCCTCATCATCTGCTGCCAACACAACCATAACAACATCTGAAAAACCCAAAGCGAAAAAGAAAAAGATTACCATCAATTCCGAATTTAAAGTTCCACCCCATCTCATGGCCAAGGAGACGGATTCCGAAGCGGAAAAAAATAAAAAGAACAAGCAGCTCAAGAAACTCAAAAATAAATTTCGACACGAAAAGAAGGAAGCCGAATCCATTCACAAACAGAAATCATGGCAATCCTTTCAAAAGAAAGCCAAACGCAAGGTTCCTGGAAAAGACAAGAGTATCTTTTCCGTGAAGGATTCCAAGACGATGACTGATTTTGGAGAACGCAAGCGACACAAAAAATTATAAATGGGGCGACTGATGGATGGATGGATGGATGGGATTTCTACATGCATGTGTATAATTTTAGAGGGGAACTGGTGCAAAAGGGAAGAAATGGGGACCGTGCCCTTTCATCATCATCGTCATCATCATTGTACAGTATTTTTTCGGCAGTGTGCTGATGCATGGCGTTCTCTTGTGTGTTTCTTTGTTTACTTGTTTGCAATTCTGGCTCAGTGCTTGTTGCCTTGGATTCAATGCTTTTGTTGTTGTTGTTCAATTGCAGTAACTACACAGTATGATACAGTATACCAATAACGTTGTGGCCCAACAGCAAGTGTCCGAGTCCTTGGTCTACCTGCTGCTTTGTTGGGAGGCTGACTGACTCGAGAATTATTGTATATTTCATTTGGAATGGGGAAGCCAGCTTGGAAAGTCGGATCATCGAGGATTGATTCTTCAAGATGGACTAGCAGTTTATATATACTGCTTTAGCTATTCAAAAAATATGTATCTGTAATCATCTTATTTATAATACAATTTATTATTGTTCTGCATGTTGTTGCGAAATTCGTGCGATCGTTTGGAAGGGGCAAAAGCCTGTGAGCCAAATTATTGTTATTTAGTGCGTTTGCCACAGTCCAAATTGTTCTAGTTCCCTTCTAACTTTTTCAATTCATTTCTTTTGAATGAATGAATCATACTAAGAGTAGTATTATACTATTACTTCTTATTACTCCACGCATTGGGAATACCATTGACTCTGAGCGACACATCGCAACGGCGCACAGCAACCAGTCGGATTTTGAGAGCAATCTCCCCATGTGGGAATTCCAGGGGCAGGACAACTACCCTCCTGAATGTAGTTCCCACTGCATTCGGTACACCTTTGTTCGTTGGTATTGCAATAGGGATAAATGACATTGCAGTCTTGGTAGTTGAGAGAACAGCAGTAGGTGTCAGTAGTCGTGGTTGCACCCGGCGTCGGTGCTGGGGTAGGAGTTCGCGTTAGAAAACTGCCTGTCGAATTCCAGTAGGTTACATTATTCCATAATAACAGTTGCGTTGGGGGAGGCGTTGGAGCTCGCGTGAGTTTCGACGTCGGTTTGGCGGTTGGAGCACGACTTGGTACGGCCGTTGGATCCTTGGTGGCCAAGATTGGCTCCATTGTCGGACCAGGTGTTGGCGGAGGTACCGGTGCTACCGATGGCTTTGTGGTGGTTGGTGAGCTCGAAGGCAAAACTGTTGGCTTTATTGTTGGGCCGGGTGTCGACAAAGGTACTGGTGCTGCCGATGGATTTGTGGATGGCGAGCTTGATGCAAAAGCTGTCGGTGATACACTTGACTCCGTCGTTGGACCAGGTGTTGACAAAGCGTCTGGTGCTACTGATGGCTTTGTGGATGGGGAGCTTGAAGCCAAAGCTATCGGTGATACGGTTGGTGACATTGATGTTGGTGAAGAAGACGGAGTCATGGATGTCATTGTAGATGGCGAGGTACTTGGACCCTCCCTTGGCACTGCAGAAGGAGACTGACTTGTTGGAACCAATACGGGCGCATTCACAGTAATGGGTGTGGCTATGCTTGGAACAGGTGTTGGTTGCGGCTCTGGCACGAGCGTAGGGCCAACAGGAACTTCTGTTGCCAACTGAACTGTAGGAGACTCGGTCGGACTATTGGTTGGTGATCTAGAGGGAGCATCCGTTGGTGATATGGATGGAGCTTCGGATGGTGTCACATCAGTGATATTTCTTGCATTCACCGATAGGAACGAGTCACCTAGGTCCAACTTTGATGCAATATTGTCACCGTTTTCCAACTCGTCCAATATGATAGCCTCGAGGTCGGGAGAGCTAATGTCAGCATCCAACAATACGGAAAATTCGACAAAGACAACATAGCACAACCCAGTAGTTGTTCTATCAACGCAGACTGCATCGGTTTGCACTTCGCCTTTGACATTGGCGTTTAGAATCGCATATCGAGAATCATCGAGAAATCCATTCAGTTCTCGGAATGCTCCACGGATCACTGGCTTTGCAATGTTGGTCAGCTTTCGCTGATCTCCAACCTTGCAACCAGCCATGGCCGGAAGCAAGAGCTCTTGAATGGAAGCCAACAACTCCTGTACCATTTCGTCAGTCATTTCAGTTTCACTCTTGACATTGATCTCAATATTGGCATTCCAGTTGACTTGTGACAGTGTACTGTTTCCTGGAATGGTTTGGTTGTTCATAATGGCAGCGCAGTCTTCAGCACTTGGTGGGTCCAGAAGCGGCTTTTCGGACGGTGACGCTGTTGATGTACCAGTTGGAGAACCGGCTGGAGCCTCAGGTGGTTCGGTTGCGTTGATGGTAGGATCTTGGAAGTCAGCATCTTGGGCTGGTGCACCGTCATCATCATCGCCTTTGAGAACAATGAAGGCTGTCACTCCACCGCCGATGACAAAAATGGCAAAAGCCAAAAGAATCCACATTTTGTAAGAAACTTTTTTTTGCTTTCGTGACTTTCGCTTCTTGGACGCCACTGATTTATCCTCCTCAACACCTGAGCCCTTCTTGAAAGAATCTGAGTCGTCCTCAATCAACACGCCAGCAACTACATTACCTTCCACTGGGGGAGTCTCTGAATCTGTTTCAGTCACGTGTCTCACTCCAGGCTTGTTGGATTTCGAGCTTCGCGATCCCTTCACTTTGCTCTTGGCACCGGCATCGTTTCCGTATAAGATCTCGGAAGTACTCCTTGTATCAGTAGTACTATTTGTGCTGCTACCTTTCTTGCTGTAATGGGAAGAAGACCCCGTCACGGCCTTTGACTTTGCTCTAGCATCTTCGTCATTCACTCCATACAATATTTGATTGCTGCAAGTTGTGCTCCTGCTTTGCCCAGATAGACTGACAAGTTCCACGCCAGGTTTTGCAGATCGCTTGGAACCTCGCAATGCCTTTGCTTTGGACTTTGAATCTTCTTCCCCGTACAATACAGCATTGCTACGGGTGGTACCGCTAGTGCTAATGCTTTGTCCTGATACACTAACAACTTCAGCACCGGGCTTCGAGGACCTTTTGGAACCCCGAGATGCCTTGGCTTTCGCCTTGGCATCTTCATCTCCGTACAATATTTCATTACTTTCAGCTGTGCTGACAGTGCCCCTGCTTTTCCCAGATGGACTCACAGCTTCCACACCAGGTTTGACGGTCATTTTCGAGCCCCGTGATGCCTTTGCTTTGGCCTTCGCCTCTTCATCCCCATACAATATTTCAGCACTTCGAGCTGTGCTAACAGTGCTGACTGTGCCACTGCTTTTTCCAGACGGGCTGACAAGATCCTTGATGCTACCCTTGCTACGAGTAGGAGAATCATCAGAGTCCTTTGCTCTAGGTTTGATATCTTGCTTATCATCGGAATTTGTTTTTGGGCTGACGCTTCTTTTGCCTCGCCTAGGAGTTCGAGATCTCGCTTCTTCCGCATCGCCATCATCTTCATACACAAATTCTGATGAGCCACTATGACTTCCTCCACTGTGTGAGGAAGACCGCAATGGGGAGCTCTTGGTGCGTCGTCTATGTCTGCTTCCACTTCTCCTCTTGCGGGAACTTTTGCGACCCATGGAATCTGATCGTCTACCAGAAGAACTACTGCTGCGACTTTGCGTTTTCTCTCTCCCATCATTCTCCTGCTGAGCGATTGCCATAGCATCAGATATGACAGCTTTTGAGCCTGTAGGGTTGCAACTCATTGATGCTGGCATCCGGTTGGAATAAGTGTATCATATAAAGAATAACCGAAATATGCCGTAAGATTGTGGTTGTTGTTTGTTCCGCTTATTCCAGAATTGAGCCAAAAGGCGAAACGCCTCCAGCAGTTTCTGTGAATGCTGTTCATCGCATAAATGTTTGGTCGTAAATTAACACCAAACCATTCAAATCTGCTGTTCTTCGCATAAATGTTTGGTCGTAAATAACTAATTACCTATGTAAAGGAATTCTTCAACTTTCAATCGAACACATATATATTGAAAATGTAATAACTGCATAGACACAATGCAACTTTCATTCGCACATATATATAGTATGCAGGATGTCCCCGCCTGGGGGGTCAAGATGTTCATGATACTGCTACCTACTATTACCAGGTACCAAACAATGCACTAGGTTACTCACAAAGCTTGGACAAGCAACTTTGGTATCATTTCCGGTAATGTCGCCGCATATAGAATGGGCCGAACGCACACGCAACGCTAAATTTCCGTAGCACAAGGTAATCGCGCTAAATAGCTATAGTATTCAGCCATGTCGTGACACCCACAAACTGAAAGCGACAAATCAATCTGTCTGCTCAAGCCACCACCATCCCACTACAGTAGCTACTATACCGACGCTTGCACAACACTGGGAATGGATGACGCTTCCAAGACCTTGTTGGTGGATTCTTCATCGAAGAGAGTAAGCACCGACGAATAGTAAACAAATCATTTTTGACTGTTGCAGACGGAGGATACCGCTGCCGAAGGTGGTGTGAGGTGGTAAAGAATCCTCAATAGTCACCAGGAGTTCAAATTAATTATTTTGGGCAATGATCAATTTTTTTAAAAGAAAAGGCAGATCAGTTTCAATTGACGAGTATCTTGGATTTAGTAGCTACAAATGCACATGAAAACTCGTATTGTATCTACTATTACTATTACCACTACTTCTACTCACATTGTCGATAGGATGGAGCTTGAACGACACATTGAAGCCTCGCACAACAATGATTCACATGATTAGTGCACTCTTCCCATTTGGCAATCCCAGTGGCAGGGCAGCTACCTTGTACAATGTAGTGCCCATCGCATGAGTTGCACCTTTGTTCGCTGCTATTACACCAGGGACTAGTGATATCGCAGTCCTTCAAATTTTCAGAACAGCAGAATGTGGCAGGGGTAACGGTAGGATTTGGCGTTGGTCCAGGGGATTGTACAGGTGTTGGTCTTGCTGTTGAAGTACGACTCGGAACAGCAGATGGGTTCGTTGTAGTCATTGTTGGCTCTATTGTTGGACCAGGTGTTGGCAAAGGTACTGGTGCTACCGATGGTTTTGCGGATGGTGCGATTGAAGCCAAAGCTGTCGGTGATACTGTTAGGTTCATTGTTGGGCGAGGCGTTGACAAAGGCTCCGGTGCTGCTGGTGGCATCATGGATGGTGCGCTTGAATAAAAAGCTGTTGCAGATACCGATGGCTCCATCGTTGGCGAAGGTACCGGTGGTGCCGATAGCGGCGTTGTGGATGGTGAGCTTGAAGTCAAAGCTGTCGGAAATGCAGTTGGTGGCATTGATGACGGTGCTGTAGATGGTGACATGGATAGCATCGTAGATGGCGAGATGCTTGGATCGTCCCTTTGCACTTCAGAGGGAGATGGAATGGGAGCCAACGTGTGTTCATCGACAGGCATAGATGTAGGTGTGCCTGAAACCGGGATTGGTGGCGGCACTGGCACAGATGTAGGGCTATCAGGAACTTTTGTTGGAGACTGAACTGTAGGAGACTTTGTCGGGCTTTTGCTTGAACTTCGAGATGAAGCACTCGTTGGTGGGGAAGATGAAGCTTCGGTTGGTGTCACATCAGTTATGTTCCTTGCATTCACAGATAGGAACGAGGCATGTAGGTCCAACTTCGATACAATGTTGTCACCATTTTCCAATTCCTCCAATATAATTGCTTCAAGATCGGCAGAAGTAATATCAGCATCCAAAAGTATGGAAAATTCCACAAGTACGACATAGCACAACTCGGGAGTAGTTGTATCCACACAACCTACATCTTCAAGCAATTCACCTTTGACATGGGCATATAGAATGGCATATCGAGCCTCATAGAGAAATCGTTTCAGCTCTCGGGAAGCTCCTCGGATGACTGCTTTTCTCAATTCGAATAGCTTTCGCTGATCTCCATTATTGCAACCAGCCATAGAAGGAAGCAGGAGCTCCTGAATGGAATCCAACAATTCTTGTATCATTTCGTCAGTCATTCCAGTTTCACCCTTGACACTGATCTGAATGTTGATGTTCCAGTCGCTTTGAGACAATGTATTGTTATCTGCAATGGTTTGGTTGTTCGTAATGGCAGCACAGTCTTCAGCACTTGGTGGGTCCAGAAGCGGCTTTTCGGACGGTGATGCTGTTGATGTACCATTTGGAGAACCGTTTGGAGCCGTTAGTATGTCGGCAGAAGGATCTTGGGTAACAGCATCTTTGGCTTGTGCACCTTGATCATCGTCGCCTTTGAGAGCAATGAAGGCTGTCATTCCACCGCCAACGACAAGAGTGATGAAAGCCAACGTAATCCACATTTTTTTAGAAGGTTTCTTTTTCTTTTGTGACTTTTGCTTCTTGGACGCCTCATTGGATTTATCACTCTCGACAACTGAGTTCTCCGCCATTACCGAATGAGAGTCGTCCTCAATCGCCATGTCTCCAGCCACATAGTCTTCCGCTGGGGGGGGCATATCGCTTGACGATCTGCTCTCTGATGATTCAGTTTCTTCAGCCACGCGTTTTCCAGCCTTAATGGACCTCGAGCTGTGCGATCGCTTCATTTTGGTCTTGGCATCGAGATCATTTCCGTATAATGTCTTGATAGTACTCCTTCTGTTACTGTGATGCGAAGAAGATCCCAACGATCCCTTGCTGCGATGCGAAGAGCCCTGCGCTACCTTTGACTTTGCTTTGCTGTCTTTGTCACTGATCCCATACAATGTTTCTATGGTTTGGTCGCTGCCAATATTAGCCCCTGTTTTGACAAGTTCTCTGACAAGATCCACACCAGGTTTGGAAGGTATTTTGGGGAGTCGTGATGCCTTTGCTTTAGCCTTGGAATCTTCGTCTCCGTACAACAGTGCAGTGCTACGGGCAGTACCGCCACTGCTCTTGTTGTGTCCAGATACCCTGATAAGTTCGGCTCCAGGCTTGAGGGACCTTTTCGAACCGCGCGATGCCTTTGCTTTCCCCTTGAAATCTTCATCTCCGTACAATATTTCAGCACTTGGAGCTTGGCTTTTTCCAGATGGATTGGCAAGATCTATGATGCCACCCCTCTTTGCTTCAGAGTCGTTTGCTCTAGGTTTGGTATCTTCGGCGTTGGCGCAAAAACTTCTGTGGCTGGTACTCCCTTTGCCTCGCATAGGGGGTACTCGAGATCTTCTGCCTTTCGCATCTCCATCTTCTACATCCAACAGTTCTAATGATCCGCTACTACTCCTAACACTATGTGAGGAGGATCGTATTGCAGAGTTCTTCTTGGTGCCATGTCTGCTTCCACCGCTCCTATTGCGGGAAATTCTGCGACCCTTGGATGCTGATGCACTTCTCCGGTCCTTGGAATCTGATCTCCTTCCTCGGGAATTTTCGCGAATTCTCGTTTTCTCTCTCCCATTAGCCAAAGCATTATTCTCAGCATCCAGGATGCTGGGAGCAGTAGCATCAGTTATCGAGGTTTTTAACGGGAGTCTACTCATTGTTGCTGAGATAGGGTTTAGGATAGCAAACCGAGTTGAATAATGTGAAGAAAAAGCGGAAGCAATAGGATGCTACTATTGTGATTGCGGTGGTTTTGAAGAAGGAAACGAACCGACAATTTCATTGCATTATAAATGTTTGCTCGTAAAACAAGTTCAGACGGTTGTCCCATTCCTCCGAACACACTCAGCATACCAGCCCACAATCGTTTTCCTATGTACCATTCCTCGTCGTCATGTGCAAGCGTGTAATATCCGCGTTGCGAAACAAGGGCTACAGTATCCTTGCGGGGCATATGTGCACGACAGAGCCCCAATGACATGCGTCCAAAAAATGATAAATAATCATCTCAAAATACTGAAAACATAACTACAGTATTTTGTGGTAGTAGTGATATAAAATGGGTTTTAGAAAAATAAAAACTGGTTGCACATGCTCGACTGCCAGGTTATTAGGGTAAATGATTGGAGATGGCACACGTGTACACGTGTACCTGGTACCAGGGTACCAGTACATGAATGTTACGAAAGTAAAATAACTACCATACTGGTGCTGCTCAAAATATGTATTTCGAGCCATCTGTGTCTAACGCACCATGCCTTTTTGGCAGTATTAATGACGGTACCGGTAGCGGTGCTCGATTTGTAGCAAGCCACATATTAGAAATTCATCACAAGACAGTATTATTGAGAGATGCAGGGTCAAGCAACTGCAGAAGAACAATCAAATATATGGACAGTGACGTACAGTACCATTTTACCGTATTTTTCGTCAAAAAGCTTGGACAAACTTCAAATAAATCATCCGAAGATCTTGAGCTAGAGGACACAGGTAGGTACACGGTGACGAATGTATTGATTTTAGCTATTTTGACCATGCAATTTAGAGTATCTTTACTACTCGCATCGCAGAAAGAATAAATCCTGTACGACACAGCGAAGCGTCCCACAGCAGCCAAACACATTGTTGCTGCAATCCTCAAATTTGGCGATGCCGATGCAGCTACCTTGCACAATGAAAAACCCATTGCAATTGATGCAGTTTAACACGCTGGAATTGCACCATGGATCAGGGATATTGCAGTCTCTCAAGTTGTTCGAACAGCAGAACAAGCTGTCAGGGGCAGCAGCCGTCAGAGCAGTGGTCGGACCGGGAGTTGGTTCGGGAGTAGGATTTGGTGTTGGGAGAGGTGTTCGAATAGGCGTTGGATTGGGTGTCGATCCGGGTGTTGGGATAGGTGTCGGAGCAGATGTTGGAGCTGGCGTGGGCCCAGGCGTCGGTTGTGCTGTTGGAACACGACCGGGAATGGCAGTTGGATTTGGTGCCGCCACGGTAAGCTTCATTGTTGGACCAGGTGTTGGCGTTATTGATGGTGAGATTGAAGCCAAAGCAGTCGATGATACAGTTGGAGGAGGCGTTGGTTCGACAACTGGCATGTGTGTTGGTGAAGAAGATGGTATCATCGATGGCTTTGTGGCTGGCGACCTTGAAGTCAACCCAGTCGGTGATGCACTTGACCCCATCGTAGGGCTAGGTGTTGACAAAACGTCAATTCCTATCGATGGCTTCGTGGTGGACGGTGAGCTGGAAGAGAAAGCTATCGGTGACACGGTTGGCAGAGGTGATGGCCCGATCACTGGCACCGATGTTGATGAAGAAGGTGGAGTCATACTTGCATCATCTGTTGGCATCGTAGAAGGAGATTGAATGGGAATCGACGTGGGTGCATCAACAGGAATAGATGTAGATATGTCTAACACTGGCGTTGATTCAAGCAGCGGTACGGGTGTCGGGCGTCTAGGAACCTCTGTTAGTGACTGAACTGTAGGAGACTCTGTCGGCCTCTTGCTTGGCGATGTGGATAAAGCACCAGTTGGTGGGGCAGATGGAGCTTCAGAAGGCGCCATATTCATGATATTTTTTGCTTTCACTGATAGGAACAAGTCATCAAGGTCCAATTTTGAAACAATGTTGTCACCATTTCTCCATTCGTCCAATATAATAGCCTCAACATCGGCAGAACTAATGTCAGCATCCAAAACTAAAGAAAACTCGACAAGGACAACATAGCACAACTCGGGAGCTGTTGCATCCAAGCAGATTGCACCTTTTAGCAATTCGCCTGTGACATGGGCATATAGAATGGCATATCGAGACTCGTCGAGAAATCCTTTCAGCTCTCGAGATGCTCCGGGCATGACTGGTTTTGCCGATTGAGACAGCTTTCGCCGATATCCAACGCTGCAACCAGCCATGGCTGGAAGCAGGAGCGCTTGAATGGAATCCAACAATTCCTGTATCATTTCGTTAGTCATTCCAGTTTCACCCTTGACATTGATCTGAATGTTGGCATTCCAGTTGCTCTCAGACAGTGTGTTGTTGTTCCCTGAAATGGTTTGGTTGTTCCTAATGGCAGCACAGTCTTCCGGGCTTGGTGGATCCAGAACCTGCTTTTTGGATGATGGTACCGCTGTTGGTGTGCCATTTGGGGAACCGGCTGGAGCCTCGGATACAAGTTCGGGCGATTCAGTAGTAGGATCATAGGAGTCATGTTCTTGAACCTGTGCACCTTGATCATCGTCGCCTTTTCTGAGAACAGCAAAGGCTGTCAGTCCACCGCCAACGACAAGAATGGCTACAGTCAAAATAATCCACATTTTGTAAGAAACTTTCTCTTTCTTTCCTGACTTCCGCTTCTTGGACACCACCGATTGTCCATCGTTCACAATTGGTTCCTTCGAATTGGAGTCATCTTCAATCACCATGCCTGCGACCACGTGGCCGGCCTCTAAGGGGGTAATACTCCTCGATTGTCTGCGCAGTGATTCTTTTTCAGTCACGTGTTCCACTCCAGGTTTGTTGGATGTCGACATTCGCGATCCCTTCTTCAGTTTGTTCTTGGCATCATTATCAATTTCATCTCCGTAAACGATCTCGATGGTACTCATTGTGCCGGTACTTTTCTTGCTGTGATGGGAAGAACGTCCCAGCATTGCTTTTGACTTTGGTTTGGCATCTTGGTCGCTCTTCCCATACAAGATTTGTATGGTTTGGTTGCTGCTAATGGTGCTCTTATAATGTCCAGATGCACCGACAGCTTCCACACCAGGTTTGACAGATCTTTTGGAGCCTTGTGATGCCTTTGTTTTTGCCTTGGCATCTTCGTCTCCGTACAATAATGCAGGGCTATGGTCGGTTTCGCCAGTGCTTTTGCTGTGTCCAGACGAACTGACGCGCTCAACACCGGGCTTGGAGGAGGACCTTTTTGAACCCCGTGATGCCTGTGCTTTCGCCTTGGCATCGGCATCTCCATACAATATTTCAGTACTTTCTGCTGTGCTGACAGTGCCCCTGCTTTTTCCTGATGGACTTGCAAGCTCAGCACCTCGCTTGGAGGAGGACCTTTTCGAACCCCGGGATGCCTTTGCTTTCGCCTTGGCATCTTCATCTCCGTAGAAAAGTTCCGACGGGCCGTTATTACTCCCTTTGCTGTGTGACGAAGATCGCAATGGAGAGTTCTGAGTGCGTCGTCTGCTGCTCATCTTGTGGGAGCTTTTGCGACCCTCGGATGCTGATCTCCTTCCCCGACCCTTGGAATCTGATCGCCTCCTACTAGAACTGCTGTGACTTTTCGTCATGTCTCTAATGTTATTTGGCACAGCATCATTATCATTCTTAGTAACAGCCATAGCATCAGGTATGGATACTTTTGAATATGAGAGGGGACTACTCATTGTTACTGGGATAGGGTTGAAGATTCAAAAGAGTTGAATATTGTGACGGATAATGTTCACAGAGTTATTGTTGGGTATTGTTTTGGACGGCGGTCCATTCTTTCTGCATTCGTTAAATGCGTGGCATGAACAAAGAGTGAACTACCCTTGAAACTCCGGTATCCTTTCGCTCATCTACGTGTAAAATATTGCGTAAACACTTTTGCGAAACTCCGTTTTCGCACCATAATTAACGCCGGCTGTTTTAAAATTCGTACCAAACTTTCGATTCCTTCATTCAGGTGGTTCTTTTCCTTGGAACGAGGAGCTATTTTTATATTTGTTGAAAAATATCGTGGGATTCGTACCTCTTCGATGATTCGGAATTCGGACGGTCCAGAAAAATCGCTCACAATCCTCTTGGGCCACTTCAGACTGCGTTCCATAGTGCGTTCCGTCTCTCTACAGAAAATTGATTGAGGCAACGTGGGTGCATCAACAGCTAGGAATGAATGTTGCATCAACAGCTAGAAATGAATGTCGGGGGACCTGGCACACACGTTGGTTGCGGCGTTGATATGGCGTCGGGCTTCGAGGCGGCCGACGCAAAAGCTTGTACTGTACCAATGGGCTTTTTGGCCGTATATTTTATAATATAGTCCTTGATCAAATTCGCAAACAGGCAAGACCTATCAGTTACAATTGATGCCTTCATGTTAGCTATTTTGACCATGCAAATTCGCATGCCTACTACTCGCATCGTGAAGAGAATAAATCCTGTGCAACACAACTAAGCGTCGCACAGCAGCCAAGCAAATTGTTAGTGCAATCCTCAAATTTGGCGATCCCTGTGCAGCTGCCTTGCACAATGAAATACCCATTGCAATTGCTGCAGCTTAGTAAGCTAGAATTGCATGATGGATCAGGGATATTGCAGTCTTTTAAATTTTTCGAGCAGCAGAATAAGCTCGTAGGAGCACGAGAGATTGGAGCAGTTGTTGTTGGATTCGGAGTTGGTTCGGGGGTAGGATTTGGTGTTGGTATAGGTGTCGGAGCAGATGTTGGAGCTGGCGTGGGCCCAGGCGTCGGTTTTGCTGTTGGAGCACGACTGGGAATAGCAATTGGATTTGGTGTTGCCACGATAGGCTTCATTGTTGGATCAGGTGTTGGCGTTATTGATGGTGAGATTGAAGCCAAAGCAGTCGATGATACAGTTGGAGGAGGCGTTGGTCCGACCACTGGCATGTATGTTGGTGACGAAAATGGTGTCATCGATGGCTTTGTGGAGACCGGGCTTGACGTCAAGCCTGTCGGTGATAACGTTTGCTCAATCATAGGGCTAGGTGTTGACAAAGCGTCTGTTGCTATCGATGGCTTCGTGGACGGTGGGCTTGAGACCAAAGTTGTTGGTGATACGGTTGGCGGAGGCGATGGCCCGACAACTGGCATCGATGTTGATGCAGAAGGTGGAGTCATGAGTGACATTGCAGATGGCGAGGTCGTACTTGGAGCGCCCGTTGGCATAGCAGAAGGAGATCGAATGGGAGCCAACGTAGGTGCTTCAACAGGAATGGATGTTGGAGTACCTGGGACACGCGTTGATTGCGGCACTGGCACGAGCGTTGGGATGCTATCAGGACCTTCTGTTGCCGGCTGTGCTGTAGGAGACTTCGTCGGACTGTTGCTTGGCAGTCTAGATGAAACATCAGTTGGCGGGGCAGATGGAGCTTCGGAAGGCGTCACATCAATAATATTTCTTGCATTCACTGATAGGAACAAATCATCAAGCTCCAACTTTGATACCATGTTCTTGCCGTTTGCCCATTTCTCCGATATAATGGCCTCAACACCGGCAGAAGTAATATCAGCATCCAGTAGTAAAGAAAACTCGACAAGGACAACATAACATAGCTCGGGAGTTGTTGCATCCACACAGACTGCATCTTTCAGCAATTCACCGTTGACACTGGCGAATAGAATCGCATATCGAGACTCGTCAAGAATTTCTTCCATTTCTTTGGAGGCTCCTGGGATGACTGTTTTTTCCAATTCGATTAGCTTTCGGTGATTGCCATTCGTGCAACCAGCCATGGCCGGAAGCAAGAGCTCTTGAATTGAATCTAATAGTTGCTGTACCATTTCGTCAGTCATTCCAGTTTCACCCTTGACATTGATCTGAATGTTGGCATTCCAGTTGCTCTCAGACAATGTTTTATCTCCCGGAATTGTTTGGTTGTTCCTAATGGCAGCACAGTCTTCCGGGCTTGGTGGATCCAGAACCTGCTTTTTGGATGGTACCGCTGTTGGTGTGCCATTTGGGGAACCGGCTGGAGCCTCGGATACAAGTTCGGGCGATTCAGTAGTAGGATCATAGGAATCATGTTCTTGAACCTGTTCACCTTGATCATCGTCGCCTTTTCTGAGAACAGCAACGGCTGTCAGTCCACAGCCAATGACAAGAATGGCGACAGTCAAAAAAATCCACAATTTGTTCGAAACTTTCTCTTTCTTTCCTGACTTTCGATCCTTCTTGGACGCCACAGTTTGCCCATCCCCAACAATTGAGTCTTTCGCCTGTGACGAATTGGAATCATCTTCAATCATCATCCATGGAACCACATGCCCATCCACTGGCGGAGTCATACTCCTCGATGATCTGCCCATGCGTTCCACTCCCGGATTCTTGTTGGATCTGGAGCTTCCTGATCCCTTCTTCAGTTTGTTCTTGGCATCATCATCGTCGTCATCTCCATAGAGGATCTCGACAGTACTCTTTGTGCCGATACTTTTACTGCTTTGGTGGGAAGAAGATCCCAGCATTACTTTTGACTTTGCTTTGGCATCTTCGGTACCCATCCCATACAAGATTTGTGTGCTTTGGTTGCTGCTACTGGTGCTCCTACTATGTCCAGATGCACCGACAAGTTCCACACCAGGATTGACAGATCTTTTGAAATTTCGTAATGCCTTTGCTTTCGCCTTGGTATCTTCGTCTCCGTACAAGACTGCAGTAATGTGGTCGGTGTCGCCAGTGCTCTTGCTGTGTCCAGACAAACTGAAACGCTCAACACCGGGTTTATGGGATTTTTTCGAATTCGATGATGCCTTTGCTTTCGACTTGGCATCGGCATCTCCGTACAATACTGCGATAGTATGGGCGGTATCGCTAGTACTCTTGCTGTGTCCAGACGAACAGACAAGCTCAGCACCGGGTCTGAGTGAACCTTTCGAGCTTCGTGATGCCTTTGCTTTCGACTTAGCATCTTCGTCTCCGTACAATATTTCAGTACTTTCAGCTATGCTGAGGGTGTCCCTCCTTTTTCCTGATGAACTGACAAGCTCAGCACCTGGTTTTAGGGACCTTGTCGTACCCCGTGATGCATTTGCTTTTGCCTTGGTGTTTTTGTCTCCATACAAAAGTTCTGATGGGCCGCTATTACTTTCTTTGCTGTGCGACGAAGATTTCATTCCAGCTTTCTTGGTGCGTCGTCTGTGGCCGCTTCCACTGCTCATTTTGTGGGAGCTTTTGCTACCCTTGGATGCTGATCTACTTCTCCGACCCTTGGAATCTGATCTCCTCTTTCGAGAAGACCTGTCGCGAATTCTCGTTTTCTCTCCCCCATTAGTAGGCGCAGCATCGTCAGCATTCTCAATGATAGTCATATTATCAGGTTTGGATGCTTTTGAATCTTTGAGGGGACTGCTCATTGTTGCAGTGATAAGTTTGATGATACCGAGCAGAAATGAAGATTGTGAGGGATGTGCACCAGAGAGTTGCCTATGGTCCAAGTTTAAGACCAAAAATGTGGCACAAATTGTATCGGACCGCCCACAATTCCTGTTCACAATAGTGTGCGGCAATAATTAAAATAAGGAGAGATCTGCCCTTTGAGACTCCTTGGTCACTTCCCTTTCGCTATATTCCGAAGAATCGTTTTGCGAAATGAGCGGTATTAATTTTGAAAGGAGGGAACTGCCCTTTGAAGCTCTTTGGTCACTCCGGCCTCCTTGAGAAGGTGTTCTTTTCACTCTATTACGATAGAATTTCTTCGCGAATTTCCGCGTTTTCCAGAGTCAATTAACACAGCTTAGCTTTCAAACTTTCGATTTCTTCATGCAGGCAGGGGAGGGGGGTTACCAAATTCTTCTCCTTGCGGAAAGAAGGGCATTTCGTTGAAAATAATACAAAATTTGTAGTTTCAGTTGCAAATGGTCCAGAACCGCTCACAATCCTTGCGCTCTCGCTTACCAAAGATTGAGTGAGACTGAGTCCGTACGATACTAGAACTAAAATAAAAACGGAGGACAATGGTTCATATTATATTACCTTTTCTGCGAGAGCTGTCTATCGTAGTCGTGGCCTTTCAAGACTGAGGCAAGATCCATCTAAAACTATGTCTTGACACGCATTTTGAAACGCGACAAGAGCATTACCAGGCGCATAGTGCCGTAGCGAAATTTGAGAACCCCATCTACTACCAGGAAAGACGATAATGTACTACTACATTATACACGTACTATACCGACGCTTGCACAATACTCGCAATGGAAGCTTCCAATACCTTGTTGAATTCTTCGTCGGAGAGATTATGCGTCAATCCCTCGCTCAGCGCCCGAGAAAAGCTAGCAATCATTTTGGGTTGTTTCGACAGTCGTGAATTTGCCTCTGCTTGGGAATATCCACCCGAAAGAGCAACCACCTTTAGACAGGCCGGATGATCCATGCATTCTTGATAGAAATTGTCTTGACAAGGTATGGATAGTTTCAAAATGACTTGTGAAATATTCTCGTCACCACCACTGCTTTCTTCTTGCAACTGATCCAAGGCTTGTAGCAGGCATTTCTTCAGAGTTTCTTCGCATTCTTGTTTCTCAGCACTTTCAATATTGACTTCAGGTTCCAAAATGGGAACCAATCCAGCCTTTAGTATACGCTTGCCATAGTCAAATTGTTGTTCCACTACAACTTTGATTCCTTTTGGATTATTTTCATGAATGACGGATCGCATCTTGGTGCCAAAGACTCCCATGTTTCTGGCGGTTTGCAGTTTTTCTTCGAGCGACACCAGTGAGGAAGAGGAGTAGGGTGCCGAAGGTGCTGGTGGAGATTCCTCAAACGGCTTCATGAGCTGAACACCTGCTACTTTGGGCAATAATCCTTGATCAATTTTCAAAAAGGGAATGATCTGTTTGGTGTTCCATAGATATTGGGCCGTCTGTTGGCCTTCGACGGTGCGATGAAGGGTATCTTCAAACAAAATGGCCCCCAAAACGCCACCAGCACTCTCCTGTGGAGACAAAAATACAGGGCTTTGCATTATCCGACATCGCATGCCATGGACGGCTTCAAACATGGAAGCTTCGTTTCCTTGGTACAAATCGGATGGATACTGGTAGTTTTGTAGCGCACTTGGCGTGGATCCTCCCGATTGGTCCAAGGCTGCCAAGAATCCGTGTCCATGGAGTAGTTGATCTCTCATTTTTTGAAAATTCTCATCGCTTTGCGTGCAGACAGAAGAAGCCGACGATGTTGATGACCCTTGACATACTATTGTCATCAGTATCAATAACACGTTCAGCAATGTCGTTGCTATTCTCATGTTGTTTCTTGTAATTTTCAGCTCAATTTGGTCTCTCTCTCTCTCTCTCTCTCTCTTGTCAGCTGATGTGTCGATAATGATGTTGTCGTCAAACTACCTCTGTAATGTTCACTTGTCTTGTTTGCTGGTTTCTCAGTTGTCTTCTCCTACTGTATTTTGCCAGATGTTTTCTGTCCACCGTCAATTTTTCAAATTTCTTCGACTTTCAACTTAAGATTCCGATTCTCCCCCCTCATCTGCAGTTCCCCCCAACCTTTATAAGCGATGCGGGCGCGCAGATCGAATTTGAAACATCAGTTTATGTTTCTTTCTGATTTGTCATCAATATTGTTGCTGCTGCTGCTGCTAATAATGAAACCATGGGCAACTCATCGCCCTATCCCAAAGCCAAAGGATCAAAACGAGATGCTCTTTATAAGGCAAAAGGTTCTTCTTCGGCTCTAAAGATTTTTGGCACTTCGTCGTCTTCTTCGAAGAACAACAAGAACACTCCTGTAGTTGTTGTTTTGCCAGAAGGGTTGCCAGTCGTCCATGCCAAGCTTTTCTTTCATAGCCCGACCTTACAACGAAGAAATATTCCGCCTTCTGTGGAACGGATTCGATTCAGCGCCTTTGAATCTTGTCAAGCACTGGTGGTGGTATCTAGACGAACAAGGACTATTGACGACTATTGAAATTCAATCCTTTGCCCATTGCACCTCCTTGCAAATGAAGGTAGCCTCACCAAACTGGATGAAGGTCTCTTTGCGTCATACTGTTGCTTAGAACGCATCCAAATCCCATCCAGTGTACAAGTCATCAGACGAGAAGCTCTTGTCGGATGCACCTCTTTGGTCCAGGTGGGTTTTCCAAATGTCCTTCGAACGATTGAAGCATTGGCCTTTTGGAAGTGTCACTCGATCAAAGATCTCGGTACTCCTCTACCGCCCACTGTCGAGACTATTGAATATCTGGCATTTTCCGAGTGTCACCGGTTGACAGAAGTCTCATTGCCACAAGGATTGAAATTCGTCAATGTGGAATGTTTTAGAGAATGTGCACTCTTGGAAAAAGGTCTATTTCCCCGCGTCCGTGACGTATATCATGGAGCGCGCCTTTATGGGATGTGCAAGCTTGTCAGATGTCCATTTAGTGGAAGGATTACAAGTCATTGAAGAGGGTGCCTTTGCGGACTGTGTCTCCTTGGCGGCCATCCAAATCCCATCGACAGTCGAAAGCGTCGCCTATGAAGCCTTTTCAAATTGTCAATCATTGATTTGCATCGAGATTTCTTCTTCCAGCTCGGTCGAACTTTGTGATGGTGCCTTGGTTGGATGTCAATCCTTAGTCAATATCTGCCTTCCCAAAACTAACAAGGACGAGAAATACTCCTATCTAGAATCGTGGAGATTTCACGGTTGCCCCTTACTTCAGCAGCAGTACGATTGCTGGTTGTTGGGCCGAATGGTAAAGGCTCGATTCAACGTACATCCAATTCACTTTAAATGCTACCATGCTTCCGAGACTACCGCGGAGGAACTGCGGCTTGCCATCCAGTCATCATTCGGAACGAGGAAAGATGAAGATGAGAGCGATCTGCTACTAATGGATTCGTTTGGAATGACGCCATTTCATGTATTATTGGCGTCAGCCAAAGCTCGGATGGATTTGTTACTCGTTTTGCTCTAAAAACTTTCACCAAAGTTACTGGATTGGAAGGATAACCTTGGCAAACGGGCCGACGAGTATTTGAGTAGTGTGTGGATGGATGGATCACGACCAATGATGAAGCTAGTGTTAGAAAAGAGACTATTGGATCGTTTATCTCATTGGGGCTCGCATGCCTTTAGGCTACAACTGGAACGAAAGATTCGTCGCCTGCTGGGGGCTGATGACAAAGACAGCCGAAAGAAGCACCTCAGAAGTGTCAACGTATTGATGAAACGATACCAGCAAATCGAATTGGTGACCCTACTAGAACTATGGCTTTGGAAGCAAAGAATGCGCACAGCAGATGGTGGGCTTTTAGAACCAATGATATCAATAGACAGGGCAGGCTGTCGTGGCAAGCGTGTGGGTTTTCCTTCATTCGGCCAATAGTCTTTGAGTTCCTTGGATCTGCTGAGAGCACAGCAAACTAATAATAGAGAGTAACTAAAGTATTCGTGTTCCTGGTAGTTAGAATCGGTAGTATCGAAACAAAACCTTCAGTTCAATCAGTAGAGCGAAGCCGCCATCCATTCCGGCAACAAAACATGTTCCACTGTTTTTCACGAAACATTATACTTGTACTGTACGTACTTGGTACGTATATTCAAACCGGATCCAACTTGTGGGTACTAGGATAGATGTTAGTCTGTTGACGGGCGGTCATTACTATTGTGGAACATTGAACATTCCTCACATTCTTCATGTTCTTCATCCCTTTGTTCTTGATCCGATAATCACCCAGTCCAAAGGCAATACTCCTTCGTCACAATTTTAAGCAAAAACATCAAGTAGAATGAAAACAATCCTCCTCCTTCTATCACATATGCTGGTATTAGCCACTACCGGTTTTAGCGTTTCTCCAAAGCGGCAGCTTCAAACAAGTCTACGTTCTGCACAATCTCCCGTCACCACATTATGGCAAAAGGTTGTTGCAAATTATGACGACGAAATGTTCAAGTTGTTGGACGATGAAATGGATATGGGAGGCAGTAACAAGAAGCTAGGAATCAACTTTGGTTCTCAGCTGATTCCAATGAGCGAACAAGAACGACTTGAACTGCGAGAAGATGTCAGACATATCATTGACGAACAAGTCACCAAAGGCTTGGCAGATTTGGGAAAACTCCGAGAAAGATGGATACGAAACAATCAAGAACGAAATGATTCTTTGGAACAAGTCATGAACATGAATGGAGTTCGAGAAACTGAAAAACTAAACGTGAAGCTCGACACCATGGTTGGCAAGTTCCTCAGTGAGACATCGGAATCTCGCGAAAGAACCCACCACATGGCCTGGGTGGCAGAAGAAATGGCCAAAGAATTAGAACGAGAGAAAAAGAGAAAGGAAAAGGCCAAACATACAACATACACATGGGATGATACCAATAACGAATGGGATGATTGGGACGATTGGAAAACTTGTGGTTAGTGACATTTTTTCCTTCTTCTCCGCACTCCTCCACACCACATGATGACAAAACTGTGCCTGCTCGAATCGGTAGTACAGTATAGATGAAAGTATTTAGAATATACATATTTAGTTTTGAACGAACGAACGAAAGTGTCCTTCTACTGTACAGTCGAACAAAGCGTTCCTAGTCTTCGAGTACAACTGTCCCAGGAAAATGATCCTTGATCCCCTTCTCTGGAATGAGTTTATTTTCAAATATCACCTTGTCTTCATCAAATGAAATGATTCGATTTTCCTTTCTAGCAAAGCAGTAGAAATTCGCTGCCATTGCTACTTTTGCCAAAGAATATCCCAAACAAATATGTCTTCCGAGCCCAAATGGATGGAATGTAGACTTTGCAAACTTGGAGGCCGCCAATGGATCGCCTGCGACCCAACGTTCCGGCAGGAAGACGTGGTTTTCAAAGGTCGGCTCCATCTTCTTTACGTCCTCCCTGAACCGTTCAAGGCAATGCCGATTCTCCTTCTTGTTCAGTAAAAGCACCATGGCGGAAGTGATATTCATGCTGGTTCCATGACTGGCCTCCAAAAGAAGATGCAGGTTCTCCCGAGCGTCCTTCTATGGGGGAACACCATCATCGTCATCTTTTTCTTCACCAGTGCATCCCATTTCAATGAGGGCATCCACAATCTGTTCCATAGCACTGCCTTCTCGATAGTCATCGTTGTTACCACCACCACCACCATTCTGCTGCTGGCTGTTCTTTCGCTCCTTGAGTCGCCGTTGGAAAATCTCGTCAAATCGTTGGCAGGAGAACCTTGCGGATATCCGTTTCTTTGCCTCCACCAATCCCGCTTGAAAGGTGGCACCATTTCATGTGAAAAGCAGTTATTAGGGCCTTTTCCGTGAGCGCAAAAAAATCGGTCGGTGAACTGGTCCAAGATGGCGCTTTCTTCTTCGTCTTCGTTGGATGTCTCGCTCTCGCGATCGATGGAGTCCATATATAAAGTAGGTTGCTCATCAGAGTTAGTTATAGCTGCGTTTCACGGATGACCTCTTGAATCTGGACTTCTTCCTACTGCTTCCAACAAGTTGTTCCACATGGTGGTCGTAAAGTCTTCCAGTATGAACTTCTTGGCAAATGTCTCCAAAAGCTTTTGGTGACAATAGAGACGAGAAAATCTTTCGTATCCGTGGGTAGAGTTTGAAAGTTTTGTTCGCCAAGAATTGGTTGAATATTGTCAGGCATATTGACGACATTATGGCCAATTGATCTTCTGGATTGCTTCGCTGGTGACCATGATCATCATGGATCGGCACCTGGCTGGTGTTTTGCTTGGATGGACGACCACATGGCTCCCAATTCAAAGGCTAAGCCATGGTAGCGCTTGCCAAGAGATCGAAAGAACCTTTGAGCATCGCCACCATAAAATACGACCATCACAAAGGCAGTGAGTGTACTGGTAGACAAGAAGAAGATCTGACAAAATATTGTTTGGTTGAATGGAAATGGAAACGGAGACGGAAAAAGACGTGGTTTCGTCCATTGATATCGAATGTTAAACAAGAACATTGTTTTGGATCGGTAAGAACATCCGTAAGAACATCCATCCTGACTTCAGTTTCCCTTCTTCTTGATCTACCGTATGTATAATACGAATATAGATTGATTCAACGAACTGTGCGCGATCTTTAAAATGAAGGACAAGTAAGATCCATAATAAGGCCTAACGACGTACCTTGGTTTTTGGTTGTGAATGACTTGCTGACTGACTGCATGCCAGACCAACAAAGAAAGATTTCAAGAATTCTCATCCTTCTCGCGCTGCGTGCGTCGGTGGATATCATACGGCGAAAATCTCGTACATACTTGCTCGGCACTTGTAACCCGTACCAATAAATCATTGCAGGAAGCATCGTTCATAAAATGACTTCCTTCACCTATGATGGAACGGAGGAATCATTGTCCGATTCTGGTGGTGGTGGTGGTGGTGGTGGTGAAGACAACAACGGTACAACGATTCCGGAAGACATTGAACAACTTGTGATTGATGCGTCCGTGAACAGTCTTCCCTCTCGACTCTGCTTTCAACGTTACCGGTTGCAGCAAGTCATCTTCAGTGCAGACTCGAAATTGACTACAATTGGAGCTGAATCATTTGTAGGATGCTATGTCCTCCGAGAAATGGCGATACCGCCATCGGTAAAAGTCATCGAAGAAAGTGTCTTTACCTACGCGAATCGCTTGACGGAGGTGGTATTATCCGAGGGATTGCTCACCATAGGAAAGGGTGCATTTTCCTGCTCCGGCCTTAAATCAATCACTATACCCTCTACAGTCAATTCGATTGGAGAGCTTGCTTTTACCGAGTGCGCATCACTGACAACGGTAGTCCTGAAAGAGGGCTTGCTCCGGATTGAAAAATCTGCCTTTGAAACTTGTCAAACCTTGCAGACGATCAATATTCCGTCTACTGTCGAGTTTATTGACGAATCGGCATTCTCAGGATGTTATTCCTTGGCCGAATGTTCTCTGATACCAGAGTCGTCCGCCTTGCAGAAGATTTCACGCCAGCTCTTTGTTTCCTGCGTGGCCCTGAGAAAAATTCAGATCCCCCATTCGGTTGGAACCATTGGAGACCGGGCATTCCAGGAGTGCTCTGGACTCTTGGAAGTGGATCTACCAGTTGGATTACGCTTGCTTGGCATCCATACTTTCTATGGCTGCTCTTCTCTACAACGAATCAAGATTCCTGATACCGTTGTGACCATGGGACGCTTTGTATTTGCAAGGTGTCTAGCATTAACTGAAGTTCAGCTGTCCAAAGGCCTCAAAGAGATTCGTGAGGGCACCTTTCTCGAGTGTCGAGCCTTGTCCAGAATTGATATCCCTTCTTCGGTAGTGGTCATTGGTCCATCCACCTTTGATTGCTGCGATTCGTTGGAGGAGGTGAATCTACCAGACGGTCTGACTACCATTGGGGAGAATGCCTTTGCCTACTGCCGTTCCTTGGAGAGAATCCACATTCCCAAGACCGTCACAGAGGTGGAACAAAAGGCATTCTTCGAGTGTACCTCGTTGAGGGAAGTCAATCCCTTGGAGAGATTGCAAGAGATTGGACCAGAAGTTTTCAAAAACTGCCATGCATTGCAACGGATTCAAATGGCGTCCTCGGATCTCGTCCAAGTGATTGAAAAATACACTTTTGGATCTTGCAAGCAATTGGTAGAAGCTACTTTACCAGAAGGTCTGAAGGAAATTGCAAGCTACTGTTTCTTTCAATGCACTTTGCTACAGGAAATGGAACTACCTACAACCGTAGAGACCATTGGGGCCTGCGCCTTTATGAATTGCAAGAGCTTACGACATGTTGCTTTGCCCAACGGAATCACCATTATTGATACCAAAGCCTTTTCACAGTGTCAGGCTTTACTCCGAGTCAAGATTCCTCCCAGCGTCGAGACCATTCGATCAGCTACCTTTTCCAGATGTTCTTCGTTGGTACAAGTGGATCTGTGTCGTGGATTGAAGAGAATTGAAGCCAGCGCCTTTTCTCGCTGTTCTTCTTTGGTGCGGATTGAGATACCGTCCACTGTGACGTCAATTAAAAAGTTTGCCTTCTTGCAGTGCAAAGCGTTGGTATCCTTTGTGATACCAAACGATACTGTCGAGTTTGCGTTTGCCTTGGACAATGAGTTGGTATCTGTGACGAGACCAAACGAATCAGTGGCCAAGATTGGCCATGGCGCCTTTCAAAAGGCTCCATGCCTCGTCAATATTGAGTTCCCACCTTCCATGAATGGAAAAATCAAAGACGACTGCTTGCAAGGTTGTGACATGTTGGAGGCCGAATACGGTCCCAACCCAGTACACCAAGTGTCTGGTCGGTTTGATGGATATCCAGTCCATAGGAAATGCTACCATTGTTCTGTTACTACTGCCGATGATTTGCGTCAAGCGATTGCGGCATCCAGTCGAAAATGGGATGGTAGCAGCCGAAAGCAACTTTGTGACTTGTTTGGCATGACGCCATTTCATGTATTGTTGTCATCGGTGGGTCCCAATCGCGATTTGTTGTCTGTGCTATGCGAGGAATATCCTGGATATGCCCTTGGGTGGAAGGACAAGCTTGGCAATCGCGCGTTGGATTATTTGATTGGCAATTGGGGGGCAACCTCGTCCAAATCGTTGATCCAGTGCGCTCTCCAAAAGTGGACCATGGATCGACTTGCGAGTTGGAATCGAGAATCTGCCATGGTGCAAATGTCAAGTCAAATGAATCTCATTGAAACCGAAAATGATATGGAACGCAGAGACCGCTTGTTACAAGATTTGTTTGTCGTCATGGAAGGGCATGAACGGGTCGAAGCAATTTCCGTGCTGGAACTCTGGTTGTGGAAAATGGGATTATTGGCGTCCACCATGGGCACAAATGATGATTCGAAACAGTTGCCACCAATGGATCGAGAGAGTTGTCGCGCGAAATGTGGGGTATCCTTTGTGGTGCCCAATGTCGTCGATTTCTTATTGGGTCATGGTCAAATTTCGACGACGACAACGACATGAATTGGTTGGATTGTCCAGTTTCCTCTCATTAGGATAGTTTCGCCTCTTGCTTTGTAAAAATATTTATATGATATAGACCCATTTCAATTCCTACGGTTTGACTAGATGACACCCCAATAGTCCAAACGTCTCGATGACTGATGCTTTTGCTTCTGCTCGTCGTCAACTCCCGGCAGATGATGCATGTTGTTCGATTTGTTTTTGTTCTGGTCAAGGTTCTAGAAGTTGGGTATCCAAGACCAAGGCGTCTGTTCTTGGAATCTTTTGACGAGTTCTCATTGGCAGGAAGGCGATGACGAAAGTACCACCAAAACATCGTCAGAAAAATGATAACCGGCAGAAGAATACATAGGGCGGATGACGTCCGTTGGAGGGAAAAACGTTCTGAAACTTCTCGTTTCGAATTCTAAGTGTACCGTCGACGTCAGCTGCGTGAGTAGAAAGTGTACATACGCGTCATTTTTATTGGGCAAAAAAATCCAAAGCTTGAACAAAGGCGATTGCAATTACGTGGTGTGTTGATCGATGTGGTGTGAGATTTTCACTCCGTTCCTTCTTGTTTCCCAACGCACTTGTTTTGCCTTCCAACAGTTCCAATAGTAGAAGGAAGGAAACCTATAGCAATCGATCGATCAATCAATAAATCAATCAGAACATGAGACGAAGCACAGCAAAAGGCATCCTAGCCTTGGCGGCAACTTATGGTGCTGCCCAAGGATTCAACTCCTTCCAGACGACGCATGTTGGTGGTCGAACAATGCAGAGTCGTGACAGAACTTATGACACTGTTCTGTTTGCCGACACCATGGCACGACCAGGTTTTGGCGGTGGAACGCAACAAGGCGGATTTGGTGGTGGGTTTGGTGGCAATAACAACAACAATGGGGGCATGGGGGGCTCTTTCAATGGTCCAGGAGGAGGAGGAGGAGGATCCTTTCCTGGAGCACAACAACAACAACAGAATAATAATAACGGCGGCGGTCCAAATCCAGCATTCGGCAATGGACCGTCCGTTGGACAGCAAAATGGACCAAACAATATGAATGGACCTGGTTTCAATCAAGGAGGAGGATCGTTTGGCCAACAACAGCAACAACAGGGCTCTTTTCCACAGCAGCAATCCATGGGTGGTCAATTAGCTCAGGCCCCATCGCCAAACATGAATGGACCGTCCGTTGGACAGCAAGGAAGGCCAAATATGAATGCTGCCTCTGCCAGTCGGCCTCAGGGAGGTCAAGGAAGTCGCGCTCCCATGAAGCAAGTGCCCTCCTCCTTTGGAAGGTCTCAATTTCCCCAAGCAACCGGTTCGGCCGTAAGTCATCTGTTTCGTCGACCACGATTATTCTCAAATTTTCAATTGGACGACGACATTGTTGCTAACCTCCACCTCTTCTTTATGTTCCAAACAGATTCAAAAGCAAATGTATGTCATGCAGGAAAAGTTTGGTGACATTGTACAAGGATCTTCCATCAAGACCTGGGGGTTTTCGTCGAAAAATCAAATGGACCGTGTTTTGTTGGAAATGACGACGACCGGTCGTCCACTTGAAGCAAAGATCGAACTCTGGGAAGGTCCTGATAACAAGCCACAGAAAATCAGAGCATGGTCAGAAGATGGTGCCGCATACCCTCTTCGAGCCCTCATTGAACTGCCGTCCAAGCAAAATACCTTGGCCGTCAAAAATACCGGTCCCAATTTCGAATTTCCACTTTCGGCTCGAGTGGCCGATGGTGACAAGCTTGGCTCGTCGGATTTCTCCAATCCAGTTTCGGCGCAGCGATTGTGGGATTATGGAGGTGAAATGGTGAACATTCAAGGAGGTGCCATTGACACTTTTAAGTTTGGCGACGAAACCGTCAGCGTCCAGATTGTCCTCCAAACCATGGGGTTGCCACTCTGCGCCAGGTTGGAACTCTCCCAAGGACCCAACAATAACAAGCAAGTGATTGATATCTACTCCCAAGATGGAATGACCTACCCCGCAAGTTTCGTTCTCGAGACGCCAGGTGACGGCAAGACATTGCGCATTATGAACTCGGCCAGTATGGAATATCCAATTTACGCATGGGTGGAACCAGTCCTCTCCAGTCCCTTTAACAGCAATGTGGAAGTCATTGGAAATTCTCAAATGATGTCTTCGTCGTCTCCTCAGTCACTCACGGCAAGCAGCATGGGACCACCAAGAAACAACATGGCCGTCAGCAACAACAAGAGACGGCTTCAGACGACTCCCGTTTCCTGGAATCCTCAATCCACCAAAATTCCAGAATCGTCTGGCTGGGCCACGGCCTTTAGTGGATCTCCCCAAAACAGTCTCGCATTCTTTCCCAGCTCGACATCTGGCAATCAAAATTATGCCGCAGCCATGGTCTCGTCGCAAGGAATTTACAGTCCCAACATTTCCGAAGGAGAAGTCCGTCGCTTGTTCTACCTCTGGAATGATGCTCTGGCCACCTTGGATTCGCAAGCGGTGGCCAATCGATATGCTCGTCAAGCCGTCCTGCTTCCGACCGTCAGCGACATTCCACGCACTACCCGTGACGGCATTGTCGATTATTTCAATCACTTTTTGGAAAAGCGCCCACAGGGTGTCATTTTGGAATCCTTTGTTCGAATTGGGGACAACTGGTGTCAAGATACAGGAATCTATGAGTTCACCATGGGAACCACCGGTGACCGAGTCAAGGCACGATATTCCTTTGTTTACACCTTTGAGGGTGGCGAATGGAAGATTGCCCACCATCACTCTTCCATGATGCCAGAAGAAGGAAAAGGAACTGTGCTCGAAGAAGACCAAGTTCGAAGCCTATTTTATCTATGGAACGATGCCTTGGCGACATTGGATCCAGATGCCGTCGCGTCAAGATACTCCAAGAACCCATGTCTGCTTCCAACCGTCAGTGACGTTCCCCGATGCGATTATCCATCCATTAGAGATTATTTCGTCCACTTTTTGGAGAAGCAACCTCAGGGACAAATCTTGGAATCCTACGTCCAGACTGGACCTGACTGGTGCATGGACAATGGTATTTACGAATTCTACATGGGGGCTACCGGTGACTCAGTCAAGGCTCGATACTCCTTTGTCTACGTCAAGGAGGGAGGTGAATGGAAGATTTCTCACCATCACTCGTCCCAAATGCCCGAAGAAGTCGTTCCCAAAAAGTCTGCGAATAGTAATAATAATATGCCGCAACAGAACATGCCTCAACAAATGAACAACAATGGAGGAATGATGATGAACCAAATGAACGGAGGGGGAATGAACCAAATGAACGGGGGTAACAACATGCCTTTCAGCTAGACTGAATGAATCTCTACTTGTATAAACTGTATAGCACAATTTTTGTATTTAAATCTTTTGTCATAGTATGGCATTTTTTTCATCCCTTACAGCTTTTATCTTGGACGATAGCGTTGCTTGGGACTAGTTTAGTCCACTCATTCATCTTCAAAAAATATTTCAAACCAAAAAATTGAATGGACGACGACAACAACCGAAGCACCGCCAAGAACGACCCAACACAAGCCGAGGGGAAACCCAAGGAACAAAAGGGTGAGGGCCTAAAGTCTAACACCAAAGCTCGTCGTCAAATATGCCATAGATGCAATCGTCCCCTCCCTGCTGCCTGCATTTGCGAAGCTCTTCCAGAGGTTCCAATCAAGCTGGATCGAACTGGCATTGTGGTCCTTCAGCACCCCCACGAATTGAAGATTAAGAATCGATCAATCCCTATTTTGGAGTTATGCTTGGATGATTCATCACTTGGTCTTTGTGTGGGTAGAAGATTCGATAAGGAACTCATCGACCCAAAGATAATTGAGATTCTTGAAGCTCCGGATCATCTTCCAGTTCTGTTCTTTCCGCCAGACAATGATGAGAAAGATGTTATCAGTTTGATAGAAGCAAAGAAAATTATTAATGATAAGCTTCCAGAAGGAGGAAAAGTAATTATTGTTGCGCTCGATGCAACATGGAAATACGCAAAAGAAATGCATAGGGCCAACTTGCAAGAGAACCTCTATCCGTCAAATCTAATACGAGTATCGTTGCAGCCCAGCGATTTTCCAAAGGATTGGGTCAGTGGCAGGTTCAACATACGAACCACGCCCAAGAAGGGGGAATCTACATTAGGTTTCATGTCCACAGTGGAGTGCATTGCTTGGGCGGCTTCAGAACTCGGAGGACCCAACAACAGCAAAGACTTGTTTGCTACTCTGATGAAACCCCTTGATTTGATGGTTGCGAAATGGAATGCCTTTTGCAAACAGCCAAAAGTACGAAAGACCAAGGCTCCCCAAAAAAAGCGGCGTAGGGATGAATATGAATCATCATGATAGCAATGCCTTATCGATATATATAGACGATGTATGATTATTATTCCTTATTCAATGGCACAATACCAAAAGACTCGCTTCTCCTTCATTATATTACACTTGCCAATCGACAAGCCAAGGACATCGCCTCACCAACAGCCAAACTATCTCCACTTTTTCCTTTTGGCATGCCAAGGAGAGTAATGTCATTCCCGCAAAGGTCTTGGCATCTACGAGTACTACGGCACCCCGATTTAAAAGTAGGCGAACAACATTTGGAAAATCATTGACAGCGGCAAAATGCAACGGACGGAATCCCAAATTGGCCGTTGCTTCCAAGTCGGCACCATGGTTCAGCAGCAGACGAGCGAGGCTACTATTGTGTCCGGAGCATGCCCTATGTAGAGTTGCATCGAATCTTCTATCCGTTGCTTCCAAACTGGCACCTTCATCCAAAAGCATAGGAGAGGCACTCAGACCGGTTACCACATGCATAGGTGTGCGACCACTATTGTTCTTAGCTTCGATATTGGCACCCCGGTCAAGCAGTAGATGAACCCCGTTGTCAACATGATTCTTACTGCTTCTACAAATCAAATGCAATGATGTCTCGCCATTTTCATTCTTTGCCTCCAAATTAGCGCCTCTGTTAATCAACACGTCCATATGTCCGAGTCGGTTTCTGACGGATGCGTGATGCAATGGTGCAGAGCCATCAACGTCCCTTGCTTCCATATCAGCGCCACCAGTTAGCAAGAGCTCAGTGATTTCCAACGAGCAACCCCAGATTGCCACATGCAACAGAGTAAAGTGTCCCTCTCCTCCTGGTGCTTCCACATCAGCACCATAATCCAACAGTAGTTGAGCGACCCTCAGATCAGTAGATCCGCATGCGACGAACAGAGGAGTATCACCATTCTCGTCCTTGGCTTCAAGATCAGCACCAAAACCAATCCCATGTTGGCCAATTTTCCAATTGTAGGAACCGTGTGTATGGAGAAGATTCCCAGTATAGTACAAGAACAAACAACCGCAGATAGTGTATGTTCCAACGGATTTGCACTATGTGTGATTATTGAAGAGCTGCATTTTTTTACAGACACACTTTCTCTTGAAACATATTGAAACTGTATGTGTCCAGTTTCAAAACTGCGAGATGATGAGAGGGCGACGCAGTTTCAAAACTGAGAATTTTGAAAAGATTTAAAAAATTGTTTTGGTGACGGATTCGGTGGCGGCTTTACCATCGAGATAACTGTATTTTTAGGCAAAGATTGGTGATGTAAAATACAAGCAAAATCTTCTCACATCTTCTCACATCGCCATCAATACCGTAGAGTCTATTGAACCAGTTTAGAAAAGAAATTTGCTTCACCTTTTCATTACAATCATCACATCCATGATTGGGTTCCACTGATTCGTTTATGACTGCATGTGCAGGAACCAACACCACAAAATCGCAGCACCCAGGATTACACTCATCATCCATTATCTGTCATGCCAAACATAAGAATCATGACGACTACAACGAAGAAACAACAACAAACGTTCAAGGGGATCAAGTCACGGTTCTATGTGTGCTGGAGAGAAATGCCAAATCGGCAAAACAAGCCTTATGGAAGGAATTCATGCCTTGCACAAAAGTATCGAATGGTCCCATCCATCAGTTTCTCCGAATGCATTGCAGTTCCCGTAATACTTCCAGTATTACTGAATGAATGCATGTGAATAGACAACTTGCACTTTTCAGCACAACTACAGCACGTCGTCACACCAGCACTCCCGTCACGTCAAGACAACATCAGTGACAGCATATTCGTGAGGCCTCTTATCTTTCAAAATGTGCAAGAGAATTCAATAAAGTCACATCATGAGACATCTATGCTTTTGAAGTAAATCGCTGAGACTCTAAAATAGCGACAGCCGCATCTTCCTTCATGAATAAATGCTGGAATTCACATCAGCACAGTAAGCGTGCTGGCTTTCGCTTCATCACATTATGCGTATCCGTCGACAAACCACGGATATTCCCTCATCCCTCACCGACAGCCATACAATCTCCAAATTGCTATTTTGACATGCCAAGGACAGGGACGTCGTTCCTGTAAGTGTCTTGGAATCTGCCATGGCCCCGAACGAGAAATTAAAAATAGGCGAGCAACATCGGTAAAAGCATTGACTGCTTCAAAATGCAGCGGCCGGTATCCCCTATTGGTCGTTGCTTCCAAATCTGCACCTCTGTGCAATAGCAGACGAATGAGGCCGATGTTGCGTTCGGAGCATGCCACATGCAAAGGTGTATTGCCGCTTGCTTCCAAATTGGCACCTCGATCCAAAACAATACGAGCAGCATTTAGATTGGTTGCCACATGCAAAGGTGTACGGCCATCGTTGTTCCTTGCTTCGAAATTAGTACCCCTGTCCAGCAGTAGATGAACCTTGTTGTCAACATCGCTCTTGCTACTTTTACAAATCGAATGCAAAGGTGCATCACCTTTGCCATTCCTTGCCTCCAAGTTAGCGCCTTGGTTCATCAACAGTTCCATGTTTTCGAGGCGCTTTCCGGTGGACGCATGATGCAATGGTGTATTCTCATTGTAGTCCTTTTCTTCCATATCAGGCAGCACCAAGAGATTAAGAGCTGAGCGACTTCAAAAGGACAACTGCAGATTGCGACATGCAACGGAGTCAAAAAATCATATCCTGTTACAGCTTCTACATCAGCACCAAAAATCCAACAGTAGTTGAGCAAACTCCACACCGGATTCGCAAGCATAGAACAGAGGAGTGTCTTCACCATCGGCCTTCACTTCCAGATTAGCACCATTTTCCAGTAACAACCTAGCAATGTCGAAATTAGAATAATAGCATGCGACATGCAATGGCGTGCAATCCTCAGCATAGTCCACGGCATTCACATCTACAACATAATTACGGATCATCATTTCAGAAATATCCACAAGTCCATCTTCGCAGCCTTGCGACTGCAGTCAATGTCATATTGATGCTCATCTTCTTTCATAGAATCTAGTAGTCGTTTTACTAGCATCGAGTTGCCATCGTGCACCGCTTGGCACAATTCCATGCTTGTCTTGGTCTTGGTCTTTGTCTAGAATCAGGCTAGTGTTTTGGTTATTGCTGTGAAGCAAAGATTACGCAATGACACACGCATCATCCGCCGGGTCTATAGTATGTGGGAATGGAACAACACATATATACTCCTCGAGGTTCTGCAGCTCGTCCATTCTTGGTTACAGACCTGCTAGAAAACTTGAAGGCGGCGGCCCTGGAATTTTCATAGTTCCACGTGAAAGTAAACAATCAAGTGTTTGTCAATTTTTCCTCTGTAAGGAGCCATCACGTGTGGTGTATGTGTGGAGAAGATTACCAACACATCATCAGAGCAGCCAGCCGATGTAGATAGGCTTCAACGGATTGGCATTAAGTATGTGTCTCGTAGTGTACCTGATGCTGAGTAGTACCGGTGTGCGACGATGACTATATATACCTATTACATGAACAGGCATTTTTCATTTTTTCCTCGCGCGGTGTTTCCTGGAAACAGTGAAAAAATATTTTTTTGATAAAAATGTGTTTTGGTGACGGATGAGATGGCGGGACTCCGCGAAGGAAGTTATGGACAGAGCTTATAAGATAGGCAAAGATTAGAGGGTGTCAAATATAAGTACTTGTATGCAAACAACGAATTTTTCCAACATTGTCTTACGTCGCCATCTGTAGCAGTGGATCAGAACCGAATTGAAACTTGGGTGTTTCACCTTTTCATTACTACGAGTATTTCCTATCCGTTTGGGTTCGATTGATTCGTTTGACTGTTCCGGACCACCCACCTAAAATCACACGAGACCTTTTTTTCTGCGCCTTCATCAGCATCACACTCTCGTCAACTCGCTCATCATCAATTATATTATCTGCCATGCCAAACATACTAGGCATGACGACGACAAAGAAGAAGAAACAGCAAGACATTCGGGGAGACCAAGTCACGGTTCTATGTGTGCTAAAGAGAAATGCCAAATCAGCGAAACAAGCCTTGGAAGGAATTCATGCCTTGCACAAAAAGTATCGAATGATCCCATCCGTCAATTTCTCTGACTGCATTGCAGTCCCCATCATACTTCCAGTATTATTCGACGAAGAAGAGAAGCAACAGGGTGAAGACATTCGTAGTACTAGCGAGGGCGAGCCAAGTCCAGAGAACTTCGCCCATGCAGTGGTGGAAGAATGGAAACAAACTTATGAATGGGATTGGATTCGACATGTCGATCGACAACTTTGTCCCTACAGTACAGCAGTCATGGGGAATCAGCACCACTTGAATGCTTCCAATAACAGTCAAGGCCAATTTTCGGATGGCTTAGGCCAACAAGATTCGAATGCTGGTGGTGCCTTGGTAGAAGGTCTGACATCTGGACAACAGGCGTTGTATCATGTGATTCGATATCTTGCGCAGGAAGAAAGGGAACAGCAGTCAAAGCAGCAACAGGGCAATAATGATATTTCATTGAAAAAAGATATTCAATCATTGGATATGACAATCTGTCCCAAAAAGCTGGAAGTGTTTGGAGACGACCGTACGGTGGTGTTGCCACCAACCGCATTTCCAATCTCCACCGTGGACCAACTTTTGGAGGCCCATGTCCTTCAGAGTATAAAAGTTGCTGACGACACCAATAATGAATCTTCGAGCAGTTGTTTGAAGAGGCTTCGTCAAGACTTTTGGAAGCAATTGGCAGCCTTTTACAAGAGTCAGCGGATCGCAAGACGAGGAAAAGTGGACCCCGAAAGCAAAATACGAGAGAGTGGTCATCGCTTGATCTGGCCAAATAGTCAAGGGATTCCAGATGAAACTGGACCCGGTGCCCCTGGTTGGATACGAGTGACGGAACAAGGGATTGGCCAGTCGTTTGATATGTGCCGCGTCATGTTCAGCCGGGGCAACATTTCCGAGAAGATTCGATTTGGCAAATTGGTTCAGCCTGGTGAGCGCCTTTTGGACATGTACGCTGGAATTGGATACTATACTCTGCCTGCTCTTGTCATTGGCAAGGCAGCTCACGTGGTGGCCTGTGAATGGAACGAGCATGCGATTCGAGCCCTTAAGTTCAACGTCAAAGACAACAAGATTAGCGAGGATCGCGTGACAATTTTGAAAGGGGACTGTCGGGTCGTATGTCAAGAGCACGGATTGGTGAATCAATTTGATCGTATCAGTCTTGGTCTACTTCCTAGCGCGGAAGGAGGCTGGAGGACAGCCATCAAGGCACTAGGACCAAATGGTGGTTGGCTTCACATTCATGCCAACGTACCAGTTGCTGAAGTGAATGATTGGTCTCTTTGGATGTCACGGGAATTGTGGAATCTAGTCCAAGAAGAACGCAGCAGTGACGAAGTGAATGAACAGTATATTGGCAACAATGAAGAAGATGCTAGTGGCAATAAGTGGATTGTAGTTTGCCATTACGTTGAAAAAGTCAAGTCCTTTGCGCCAACTGTGGCCCATTTCGTTGCAGATGTCTACGTTGGAAGACCCTCTGGGCTCAATTCCTCGAGCGCTAGTTGTCAAGATATCGATCCTTCTTGTACGACGGCAGTAGTGGTACAGACTGATGGCACTTTGATTCACTGTCCAGAGACAGTCAAACCACCGTCTTGTGCGTTGTCACCCGATGGCGTGCTCTCACAAGAATGGATGAGGTGATTCCGATTGCCTTTTTCGGGTGATATGCTGGGTCTTTTTGATTCATTGGTCGGTTTGCCTTTCTCATAACGCAAAAATAGAGATTTCTTCATTGATGATGGTATGACATTGAAACGTAATTTTAAAACAATTACACAGAATCCTACTAGGACTACCACCATACTTTCATATTAGACTTTCTCCTTTTTCTCCTCGGCTTCAAAATATTCGCCCTCCCACCAGAGGCTGTCATCGTATTCGTCTGGCGCCTCACCCACCGTCTTCATCATGACTTTGCCTGTCACGTAGCCAGTACTTGCGGCGATTGCCACCGTCGACAAAACGGCCAGAAACTGAGCTACACATTGCGTCAATGCTTCATGATTCAAGAATTCCGCATCGGAGTTCATGGCCACAAAGACAATGCTCAGGAGTCCGCCCAAGACTGAGGGCCAGCCATGGAGATTTCCCACGCCGCAAGTATCGTAGATTCCAAACTTTTCTTCCAGCTTTGGTGTGGAATACTTGTACCCGTAGACTGACACGACACCGGCCGCCATACCCAGAAGGAAGGCACCGCCAGGCGTCATGGCCAAACGCGCCGACGAACCAACAGCAACACCTCCGGCCAAGGTCGAGTTGGCAATGTGGACGGGATCCAATTTTCCATGTCCCAACTTTTGACTCAAATAAAACGACGCGATGGTACTTCCGAGCAAGGCCATGACGGTATGAATGACGCAGACATTCTCATTGAGAGAAACTCCTGTTTCTGTCGCCCCGACAAAAGAGGGCCAGTACACCCACAACAATGTCGTTCCAATCAAGGCAAAGACGTCCGAAACTTGACTGGGTTCCGCATTGGAGCTGCTGGAGACCTTGGGTGGACCCAGAGCCTTGGATACTGCTAATCCAAAGTAGGCTCCAAACATGTGTATGGTCATCGAGCCACCCACATCTTCGGCACCCAAAAATCCCAACACAATGACGACCTTGTTAAAGGCGTAAAAAAAGGATTGACAAATGGCCATGACGACGAGTTGGACTGGACTCGCACGTCCAATCACAGCTCCATAGGAAATGAGCAAGGTCGCTGCACTAAACTCTCCATCAACAAAGGTGGGGACTTTGAGCGGCAATGGAAAGGAAGTATCTTCTTTTTCTCCAAAGAGGAAACGGCAGAATAATTCCACTGGAACATTCAAGAGAATGGCAATGACCGTGAGCATCATGGTCAAGCCGACCGCTCCCAGGCCATATTTCTTGAGAAAGGTCATGAGGTATCCAAAACCAAGCAAGAGCATCACCATGATATCTCGAAAGACTTGATACTCGGATGGCGAGTAATCTTCCGGGGAATAGGTCGTCCCAAACAGAAAAAAGACCAGAACAAAGACTTGGATGGAGCCGAGAAGCAAAGTCAGTGTTTTGGTGCTCGCCTTGGCAAAGTCCAAGACTTCTTCTGTCGAGGAGGAGGTGGTGGAGGGAACCAGAGGTGTGCTTTCTGATAATGCCATGCTGTGATAGCTGGTTGTCCTGCTAATTCTCTATTATTAGGGTAATGATAGGGCACTACGACTTTGGGTGAGGATATATGCCATCACAGTGATGCGAAGCTACCATAAGATTCCGGCTATGAACGGGAAGTTGGGAAAGATACTCTTCTAAATTCTTCATTTTTTGAAGAATAATACACGACCCATCAAAAGATATCTGGCGAGCATAGCAGCGGTCGACAGCCAGAAGCAGTGTGGTACTGAGATAGACGTGTTTGACCCATGAAATCGAGACTGGACTCAACGGTTACGCCCAGCAGTTTGGAGGTCGTGGCTATTGGTTTGGGCGATGACAGTTCTTGTGTTCACTATGCCTGATACATCCTAAACATCATGTGTGTCTTCTGGCTGGTATCACAAATCAGTACAGTACCGGTAAACCTGAAATCGTCACCAACCTACAATTAGCATAGCAAGGAAAATCTTCTCACAACAACGCAAAGAAATGTTCACTGAAACCTTTCTCCAAGTTAAAAATCAGGATTGCCTGGAGCAAGTGCTCTCGTTCTTGACCTGCAAGGAGCTTGCAAATGTTGGTAGGACTACGAAAACCCTGCAATATGCTATCTTTGAAGCGAACGATAAAGAGGGAAATATCAATTTGGTTTGGACAGGAGCAGAACAAGCGCTGACCAACAATCCTAGTTGCGACGAACAGGTGAAGAAGACACGGAGAATGGGCGCCAATGCCCGGGAACATTCTCGTATGTTTTCAGCAGCTCCCCAAAAAGTGAAAGCATGGTTCTGCAAGATAGAGACACCGATCGAAATTCGATTCGTAGCTGGCAAATATGCGTGCAAGACAGGATGGATCAATGATGCTGAGCCAGCTTATGATGATGATAAAACTCCCGTCATTGTCGATCTAAAACAAAAGGGACTCAGGGCTACAGTCGTCCATACCACTTCCTTTAAGAAGAAAAGCGATCAGAAAGTTCCTACCCGTTATGCCGAGGAAGTTATGCAGCAGCGCCCAGATATTGAAAAGAATCTAGTGGCGGTAACACGGCAGATGGCAATGTTTCGGATTGAAAGTCACTTCGACAGATTCCATGAGGTCATGACGAACTGCCTTCTCCTCAAGAAGAAGAAAGTGAGCGACCAAGAAGCTCCCATCACTTATGTTGAGGCTTTTATGCAGCAGTGCCCAGAAATCCGAAAGAAACTAGTGGCCGTGACACGCCAGATGCGGAAGTGTGACATTGAAAGGGACCTCGACGGATTTATTGAGGTCCTGTCCCATTACCTCCGAGAAGCTGTGGAATGGCACGATACCCAAAAATATTTTCGGAGGATCAAGTTTGGCGACAACACTATGGTGGAGTAGTTGTTTCGTCCTTGAGTATTTTACAAGTACTAGATGCCAATGATTGCTATGATTGTTAGGACTATAGTCGTAGGAATATATATCCATATAAGCTATCCAATTCTTACATTTCTCTGAAACCCAGAGCTTCCATTTTGCCCATAATACACATTCTTATATACAGTATGTTGTACTGTAGGTCATAGAGCGAAAAGCAAGATGGATGAACGGGGTGTTGAGGAATGGTACATATATTAATAGTACTTCGGTAGACGTATTTGATCCAAAACTCGACTCGACTCAACGGCAATACCTGTAGTCTGTAGTGCATTGTTCCTTTTCATCCGCCCAGAATTATTTAGAGAGGTGTACGGTACTGTAGGTCCTACGTCCTGCTAGTGTCTTCTCCACCAAATAGAGTCATTCACACACAATAAGCGCAACAACGACAGTGGAGGCAAAACTTCAGCGCAATTGGCTGAACAGGGGAAAAGGGGACTATTAGGCTGGTGATCATGTGAGAGTGGAATTCATTCATTCAACATGATGGCACTGATTATTGATAAGCAGCTAATATCAGATCGTCCTATTTTACTCTCTGCCTCCTTCATGGGCCTGTCTCCCCTCGAGACCACAGTACCAGGGACGGCCGGGAAAATCAATATTTACTTTCAAGAATTGTATGCTAAATATCTATTTCCCGGCCGTTCCAGGTACCTACCATAGTCTCCTAGCTAGCGGTGGACGAGCGAATGAACAATCTTAAGGAAAATGTTTGCATGTCGGTAGTTGTCCGGATACTTTGGATTGTTTTCAACCTGACTCCATTATGCCCATAATACAAATCCTTCTACTGGGGCATACCATTGTGCTACTGATTGATGCAAGCATTGTACAGTATGAGGTCAAGGAGGTGCTGGGTTTCCACAATGGAACTTCCTTAGACCTATTTGATCCACTATCGAAGATAGCCAACTGGCGCCTGCCGCCTGGTTTCTTCCGTGAGGGATTCTTTCGTGGTGTGACTCTGGTGGGTTGTGGTGTGAAGCTGGTCTTTTGGATTGCGCGCGAAGCGTGCGGTTCC